AAATGGAGCTGTACAGAAAAAAGAGGACAAACAAAGCACAAACCAGTCTTACTGTAACTACATGTCGACATCGCAAGCAGGGGGGAGAAAAATGTATATTCTGTGTAATAAATTTCTAAAGTTTGTCCGCAGCTCCATAAGGTTTGCTGGAGGAGACGGGATTTATGATCTATACTGCAGCCCGTCACCAGAGGGTGCTGTTCTTGGAGTGGCATGACCTAGCGAGGAGGCAGACACTATCTATTCTATATACAGTCTATGGTCTATGGTCTACATCTGATCCAAATGATCAGCTCGTTATCAAGCTCTGTAATGGCCTAATAACGAACTGATCATTTGAATCAGGTGTGTTGGAGCAGGGAAACATCCAAAACATGCAGGACAGTGGGCCTCGAGGACTGGACTTGAGAACCACTGCTCTAGAGTCATGGTGGGGGCTGTCAGATGATTTTAAATGTTATTAAATGCTGAATTTCAATAGTCAATAACAATACACACACACACACAAACATATATATATGATTTTAGACACAAAAAACAATCGTGTAAAAGTAGTCACTGTTCTTCTTGATGGTCTTATTTGCTTCGTTGGTCCATAAAGGGACAAAGATATTAATTTCAGGCAGTTTCAGAGCCAGTTGAAAACAGGAGCTTTAAGGAAATTCTTACCAGTACCTTGATTTGGGAATTAAATGACTGCAATAAAACATGGTTCCAGTTAGGCTTTTCTCTATTCAATGCAGGTCCTGTATTAAAGTTTTGGACCAAACAAAGTAAAGTATGTAACTGATTACAACATGCCAACCAGGAGTTCATTACTTTTAATCTGATGTGCTGGTTAAACTCTTTCGCTCTTTAAAATTTCAATTCAGAAACTGCCTTGAGTACATAAAAAAAGATAAAACTGCTTTTGATTAAATGTGCTTTATGGGGGAATTTTTTATACTGTGAAATGTACAATCTAGGTGAGCAGAAGTGCTTTTATTTTCCAGACGTGTGAGCAATACAGAGGCTTAAAACAAGAAAGTATGACTGCAGGTTTAAAGGGCAAATCATGAAAGTATCATATCTGAAATATTAAGGTACAAAGTCAGAAATTAAATGAAGATATCAACTATAAACAAAAGATAAATCAAGTAATGACAAACGAAAGAAACAAACAGCTTCCTGCGATTACACTGATTGGCACAGCACAGGATTTCTTGGCATATCATGTAGTGAGCTGGATCATCAGTAGAAGCTTTTTCACATTAAATGTCATAAGATTAAGTGTTATTACAAATAATTATAGCTTGGAGTTGTGGCTTGAAAGCTCCCAGATAAAAAAGAGGGAAATCACTGCTTAAGAGGTTTTACATGTCTTAGGTTTTACTTATTTGGGTATTTAAGGATTTAGACTCATAAATAGCAACAAGGCCCGCAGATAAACTTTGGCTTAGTTGGGGAATAAACAGAAGATGTCAGGTGATAACATGCAGAGAGGTAGACACAACTTGTTTCCCCCAAAACACACATGCACATTGTACAATATATACCAACAAGTGTGCATGCAGATAGATAACTGAAACCCCCTCATTGTCATTGTCTTGTATCTTTGACGTTTTCATGCAGGTATTTTTGTTATAAAATTTCCCGTGCGTTTGAATCACTCATTGTATTCAGCTTCATCTGGGTCTTTAGGAAAAACCCTTGATATCTCTGCTTTTGTTGTTTCCACAGATATTTACAGTAACATAATCATCTTTACTGAACAAGATACGAAAGTGAAGACAAGTTTGATCCTTGGTAAACGCACAACTCTGCAGTGAGTTTTTGGTTCAGATAAGAAAGAGAGAGAAAAAGAGATAACAGGAGAACACCACACGCTCTAAAAACATGGGATGTTTTAGATGAAGGCACAAATCAAATTACTTGATAAGGCATGCAAGAAATACTAATATACTGTTGGACATTACATTTTGACAACTAAAACGGCCCTTTTATTAAAAACAGAAATGTAAACACGTCCTACTACTACATATTTTTTTTTGCTTCAGGCTTTTTCAGGTTCTCAGTAGTGACCATCCCCCCCGTGGCGGAGACAGTGTATATCTTCACCTTTGTGCTGCAGGTTTGTCTCTTACTGGCCATTAAACTGTGAGTGATTTTACGGCTGTTTTGCAGTACTCTGTTTTTACAAAGGAAAATCATACATTAACTCGCTCCACTAGTCTACGGGGAACCCAAAGTCCCAGGTCAGCTACAATCTTCCTCTTTTTCTTGCTCATGGACACTCCAGCAGGGCATTTAAAGTTCGCGCAGGAAAAAAAAAAAAGGGTCCTCTTAAGTGTTTTGTACGTTGATTGTACATTAAATGTGTTTAGATCAGTGGAGTGCACTTTGGAAGCTATAATGTGGAATTTAAAAACAATCCTCTCGTCTAAGCACTGCTTTAGGCTCAATGCCACAGTGCAGATTGAAGTCACAATGGGAGACATCACAGAGTCACGGCCTGTAAATGTTAGCTTTAGTTTCTTTTACATCAACAGTTTACCTATCTCTAATTGGAACATGGCCCCCGTCCCTCCTCTTTCTATCTAAACACATAGAAACACACACACACACATACACACGTTCAGATATGCTCACACAGTACAGTGAGCGCATACACATTTACAGGGAATTATGGGAACATCTGGAGGAGCTCATCCAATGCACAGACAAACGTTTCCTGGAGAGCACCAAAAGAACCATCGGAGAGGCTTCAAAGAGCCCGCCACTGCTAACACAAACACACACGCACATACACACACACACACACACACACCTCCTGGCTGCAGAGGTAAAGGCCAGATCAGAAGAGTGGAGGGAACAGAGTGTCTCTTTGCACTCAGAGGTATTACAGCACTTTAGGTTTACTCTCAGCTCTTAGTGTCTCATCTACACAACCTCATATATCCCTCCTCCTGTGTTAGGGTCTGTACTGACCCACTTTTGTTTTTAAATGCTAAAAAGAACCACTTCAATACGTTTTTTTGACTTTGTCAGGAACCTCTATTTCAACAAAATAAATAGGACAGTAAACTTAAAACATCATGACTTATAAACAAGTTCATTTTTACAAACCTCTTTGTCAAAGCGACGCAGTCAAACACTCGTGTCTCCCAGTCCCAAAGCTATGTATTGAACTGAATCCTGAACCGTTCAGCTGTGTATCAGTTCAGGAGGTCAGAGTCAAAGGCTCCTCCCACCAAGCACTGAATGATTTGGTGATTCGATGAATGAATCTTTTGAACTGATCTTTTTAGTGAACTGTTTCGAGTGATTCAGTACATCTAAAAGAACTGCCGTGCCCATCACTAGAGGAAAGATATACAATGCCACGGCGGAGCCCTAGACCCACCGGGACACGGCGAGAGCTGAGAGTGAGTCAGGTTCACTATGTCAGGGTCAGAATGTCTGGCCTTGGACAAGTCCAGACAACATCCTGTGTAGTGCAGAGAGCCTGTGCACAGGTGGTAAACAATGTTTGACGTGAGATCAGATCCGGACGAATTAGAAAGTAATCGGTTAGGGAGGTTTTAAATAAAGTGTCTTGAGCAAAGATCAGCTGAGTCATCATGAAAAGTACTTCTGAAATGGGTCCATTCAGCTGTAGCATAAGCTAACAAGGTTAGCGTTCATAGAGGTAATATTTAAAGTGAATACAGTTATCGTTCCCCAACAGTGGCGGCTGCTGGTCTTTCAAGGAGGGGAAGCTCATTTTTCTGGCCTACATCATAATTGTATTTGTTTATTAGTATGTAACAGAACAGAGTCGCCAAACACAACGGCAGTCGTTTTTAATAAAGACAAAAGTCGCTGAGGATCGGTAAAGTCTCTGGAGCAGTTAAGAACAACGGAATGAATAACTTGGAAAATGCTCTGGTAGATGTTTTATTCTTCAAGATCGCTGATTCGCTTGTTTAGCTGTCAATCAAAAAAGGATTTCGCCTCAGACAGCTCATCCAATCATGGATGCAGAAGCTTGGAGTCCGGGAGAAAGTCGGGACCGCCCTCTCGCCATAGAACTCCAGTGAAGCTTAGCTTCCATTGGGCGGGACAAAGCCCAGCATTTATCCAATGAGCGTCTAGTTTCGCTGCTGGAACAACCCACTTTGAGCTTCCACATTGAAGTCAGCAGAAGCCCAGCGTCCGACTGTTTGAAGCGCTGAGGCGCTGCGAGGATGAATGAGAACGAAGTTATGCCGGTTACCTGTGATTATCAGCTTCTTATCACAGTGTCTGAACAAAAGATGAAGGCTTTCTAGTGCGTATTTAGTTAATGAAATGTACACACAGCCGTACGTATTTCACCACTTTTTCTTTTTTTGGGGGGGTGACATTTTAAGGGAAGCCGAGCTTCCCTTGCAGTCTTAGAGCAATCGCCACTGTTCCCCAACAGTGGTTCAACACAAATCAAGCGTGGATGAGGTTATCATTTATTATGTGACAGACTGAACTCATTTGGAGACAGTTCATCCATCAACACTTGGTCAATTCTGTACAAATCTATGCTGCAAATTAAAGGTTTTCATGCTAGAGCTTAGAATTAAATTTTAATTCAATACCCTTGCAAACTATTTGTATCTTTGATTTGTGTTTCCAATTGTTTCCACTTGTTCTGAGCAGAAGAAAAGCTGACCCATTTGTCTGAAATCTGGAAAGAAGGCTGAGGGAATTACTATCTAGTATCTCGTAATTTTTCCCTGAACATTTCTACACCTGTTTTCATTCAGAGGTGACAAAAGGGAACAAAAAACTGAGAAGTGCGCATTTTTGTTTTGCTTTTAACAAGTTTTTCTTTTCTTTTTGAACAACTTTGAACAAACACTGAAAAATTGGAAAGTTAATTTCCTCAAAACAAGAACACTTTAAACTTCATGTGTCTTTTCTTTCTCTCTTTCTCCATCCCTCTCTCTCTCTCTCTCTCTCCTTCTGTCAGACATAAGAGAAGAACACAGTTTATCATTATCACCCCCTCTCACCTGAGACCTCACCTCTTGCCTCCCCTCTTGCTCCACTTCCTGACACCCCCTTCCCCCCACCCGCTCGGCCCTTTCACCCTTCCTCTCCCCTGCCACTACCCATCCCTTCACACGTTCTCTCCCCCCTCCCTCCCCCTCCTCACCTCTCTACCACCTAGTGAGCACATTTCCTTACTCCCTCCTTGCCAACAAAGGGGAAAAAAAAGCTTTTACTCATTAGCGGATGACCCTTGCCCCCAGGCCACATTTTAAGAGGCTCTACTTGACTCCTGACATGGCCGTCAGCAATCAAAACATGTGCATTGAGTGCGTATAGGCCGGGAAAACAAGGGAAAAGGCCGCTGCGTATTGATGCTTGGCTTTATGTGTGTGTGACAGCAGTCTGACAGGAGACAGACAGGTTCACTAACTTCTGCACAACCTCTGCGGTGGTTCCCCTGTCCCCAGGCCAGACACACCGATGCCTGGTTAGCCGTGATGGAGATTGATCACTCCATTTCACTCCTCATGAGGCCCGTTTAGCCAGAGCCACATTAGCTTTATCACCAATGTGTGTGTTTACTCACTGGGAGAGGTGACGGGTTTAGGCATAGCGTGTCAGAGTCGCTGCGTAATGGTGTTGATGCTTTTCTAATTGCTCGCAGAAGTTGGATGTGGTAAGCTTGTTTAAGATCTGATGTGTTTGTGTTTCTAATTGGGCAGACAGGATGCGAACACACACATGCACACATGTTGTTTATCCCTCGCACACATGTGCACATTCTAACATTAAAATACAGCATTTTTCTGAGCGCACTGGATTTTTTTTTTGCAAAAGCGAAGGAGTCAACCTGAAAATGTGAGCTACCCCGAGGCTCTCTCCTGTCCAGGTCAGTGTTTTAATGAGGAAGCTGACAGCACATTCCCTGAGGCAGGGTGCTGCTACTGTAGTAATAGCCCTTCATCGCTGACAGATTCATGCACTCTCCTCGTTTGATGTGGCTCTCTCCTTCTGCTCCGACCTCGGCTCGTCTGCTTTAGGAACGTTTTCTTCCAAGGAAAACAGAGCTTTTCAAAGGACAGCAAGCAAGCAATTAAGGTCCTCTTTAACCTGTTTTACTGTGTGGTAATGTGACATAGCTCTGGGTGTCTCTGACACTAATATGTCTGCTCGCAGCAAGGCAACACGGGGTTGGTCAAGTTGAGAAAACATCAAACATGTTGTAACAGTGTTCAAAGAAAAACTCTTCATTTTGACACTGAGACAAAGCAGCAAAAGTCAAAATTCAAGTGTTTTTAAGGAATGTACATTTTTAGAGAGGTCTTTTATTTTGAAGGTTGTGAGGAATATTTTTGGGAATCCTCACAAAGACAGAAAAAAAAAACCCTTAAACTCTGCAACTGAGAAGCTGTGAAACAGTTTAGAGCTCCTGTGCAGAGATTTTATTTAGTTAAAAACAGGCTGTAATAAATCGAGTTGCATCTTTATTGGCTACAAAAGCAAAGGAGACCATCAGCACTAAGATTGACCACTTCCTGTGAGGAAACCTTCTCAAAAGGATCAATAAAGTTCAATCTAATCTCTTATTGATTATTGATGTCTGAAACCACTGCTGCAGGGTGGGAGTGTGCGCCCCTTGCAGACACTGCAAAATAGTTTCTTTACACTATAGAGAAGATTTAGTTGAGTGATGTTTTCATAGTCTGATGAAAGGAAGACGGGATATTTTCATCAGGATGAAATCAGCCAAAATTGAAAAATTGAAAAAGTCAACTCAGACTTTGCTCAACTCATTTGAAAAATAATTAAAAAATAATATCAAAAAATGACTTCATGTCGTTCTCTTAATTCATAGAAAAGTATCCCTTGTCGGTTAGTAATCAGATCAGACTTTGAATTGTCTCAATAAGACTAAAACGGTCCCCATCCTTACTGGGGGTGGTGCTGATATTTAGGACTAATCTCCTGCTCCTGGTCTGGATTATTTGAGTTCAGTCCTTTATCTGGTTGCTGTTGGAAGTTGTGCTTCAGAGCTGCCAGGACAAAACAAGACAGATGAATTCTGAGGAAGAGGACAGTCTTGCCTGAATCTTTGTTCTCACCAGTCCACCACCCAACCTCTGTGTTCATTTCCAGCCTCTGCATCAATGTTTAGCACGAGAGCCTGCGAAACCCAAGCACAGAGCAGCAACGGCGACATGTGGCCACCAGACTCCTCCAGAGTTCTTTCCCCTCCTTCCTCCTTCTCCTTCTTCCTTCTACTCCCCCCACGTCCTCCGCCCTCCAACCCTTGCTCCTGCTGTTTCTCTGAAAACATTGTGTCCCATGGCATGAGCAAACATGCTCGGCCATCTTTCTCTGTGAACCTGTAGAAAGACAGGACCCCCCTCTCTGCTAGGCCCATAAGGCATCCCGACCGCCTCTTGGTGTAACTCAGAACTGGTGAGACAACAAACCTTGAAGTTGGCTTTCTGTGACCTTTAGGAGGTATTTTAATGGCCCTATCTACCTTCTATTGAAATATTTTTGGTTGGGCAGGGTAACTTTATCTCAGTGGAGTGGGAAACGGCTAATTCAGCTTGAAAAGGCTACCCTCTAGTGTTTGAAACTATTATGGCTCACAACAAGGACCCTCTCCTTCAATTAGTGCCATGATTTCACACTGATTTAAAGTGAATTCATCAGAAAGGAATTACTTTCATAAACAGTGCACCTACAGTTTTAACCTTCCTCCTGTGTTAGCTTTTACTACCCACTCACTATGTTAAAGGTCGGTTTCAACCCGTGACGTAAATCAGCTGTAAATTACACTAAAAACAATTCTCTATCATTCAATTTAGTTCTCATCTCCAGGTTACCTTGTTAGGCTTCATTATCCATGAAAATATTAATTATAATATTTTTCGTTGTGGGCCTCTGGGCCTTTCTTTGTCAGTATACCCCTCATACAGACATCTATACTGAACTGATCTCACATGTCTGGACATGCCCGACGTTGTTTTTTGTGCAGAGATAAACATGGAAAAATAAGAATTTCCTAAATCTCACATGATTGGAAGAGGATCTGACTGTCAGTGTGTTTCCTGACAATGCACTTGTGATTATATTTTTGCTCTAATTATTAGATATTGATCTAACCGGGTCAACAGCGACCCTAACATGACACGTGCCATAATTTTAATAAGAGCATTTTATAATTCAGTCAATTTAGATTTTTTATTTCTGTTTTGTTGAAATAGAGGTTCCTGACAAAGTCAAAAATTCTTGATGCAAAAAAGCAAATTTATGTGGTTCTTTTTAGCATTTAAAAACAAAAACAGGTCAGTTTAGACCCTAACACAGGAGGAGGGTTAAATATCTGTACTTTAGATGAGTTTTAGTAGTTCTCTTCTGGATGGAGATGTATCTTCTTTAATTCTGACTCGGACACGTGACCTCATACATGGGGTGCGCAAACCCACTCAGTCATCTGCGCCCCTTCAATCATGTATGATAAAAAGTCCCTTATTCCTGAGATTTGCATCACTTTCATCCTCAAACTAGAAGTGTTGGTTAGATAATTGCTTCTCAAACACATCTATTTACCCAAATCCCCCCCCCCCAAAAAAAGAGCAGAGGAGCTGAAAATAGATGTTTTAATGTGAAGCCTTATTCTTCTTAGCCCCAGTGTCAGTGTTGAGTGAGTTATGCGATGTTTAGTCAATATTTTGCTGGAGTAAAGGTCAAACAGAGCACCAACATCACATGAGCATACATCATACTTTTATTTGGATGCAGTAAGTTTAGCTTCTCCTCTGTCTGTCGGCGGCTTAAACTTGGCCACTGAAGGACAAACAATGATGGGGGAAAAATACAGAGAAAAGGCACAGTCTGTAATATTTAATGGCAAGTAGCAGAATTGACATGGCAGAAATTGAGTTTAATATTTATAAGCATGTTTAAATGAGTGCATAACCACCTGAATATAAAAGCAATTTATTTGCAGCCGTTTGTATCTAAATAGAAGCAGCACTTACCTTACTATGACTTACCTGGATCACCTAAACTGGAAAGTGGAGGAATCACCTGAGTGAGGTTAGAGGCTCAGTAATGACGCGAGACGAATGTCAAAGCTCCAAATGTCCAGTTGGTCTCATCCAGTCACCTTGTAAGTGCTCACAATCTTTGCTGTACAGCTCTTGTATCTAAAACTATGTGGACAAGGCATCCAGTGCATACTCCACTTCAGAGATGGTCCAAGAAATGCATTCAACCACCTTCTTTTTAACTTTTTTTGGCCTTGTCTTTCTCTCCGGGATATTTATTCTTCTTGTATAATATTACATATTTCGTTTTTTTAGCTTTCAATCTGGTAGTATTGAACACAGCTCTACTTCCACCACCTCAAAAAGCGATCGTATGGCATACATCGCTAGTGGCTATCAGACTGTTTTCACTTCCAAGCTTAAAAATATTTCCACACTGCTGACATTTTAGCCATGGGGTTGCTAATGCTAATGCGATGCAAATGTAACAGACGGTCCTGATTTTGGTTAAGTGTGGCTCTGGAGGCGCAGTATCATGTTTATCACGTCTGCTTTTCTAATTCAGTATACAGCTATGCAAACCCAGAACAGTGGGCATGTGTTTGAGTTCTGCTGCAAATCACGTTCAATGACAGCTGGGGTTAGTGACCAGGGTGAGACGCTGGGGTAAGTGACCAATCCAAATATATGTATCTGACCTGAAAGTAGAGATTGGGACATCCCTGAAAATAATCCACACAAAAAAATGTAGTGTTTTGTTGACTTAGTTAGCTTGTGGGGTGCTAGTTTGTTTGTGAAGTCTTGAATTCATAAAATCAAAGTCAGACTCCAGTTCAACTCTGGCTGTGAGGCTACGGCAAAATAAATCAACTCCACTGTGGCAAAGGTATACGCTTTAAAGTTTTATATCTTGCGTGAACAGACAGAGCAACTTTTAACTGTCCTGTCAGCTTACATATGAAAAACTAAGGGTTCAAATGAGTTAAAACATAATTTCCTCAATGTTCACTTTGGAAAAATAGTAGAAAATGACTAAAGAAGAAAGGCCTCCATGCTGTGTTTGCCTATCCAGTCTCCCATGGATGCTGCTCAGTTGTGTCACACCATCAACCCTCAATCTCACGACGCAGGTGATGACAGCGTTGTTGTACTTAGATCCCTACAGGGTTATGATCAGCGTGTTAGAACATTATATTGGCCCTGAAGGTCCAAAAAGTGCACAACAACATTCTTCACCTGCTTGGCCGGAGACTCTGAACCCTCATGGTTGTGTGGGGTCTGTGTGGAGCTCTGCGTTTGTCTCCCTCACCGAGGACAGTGAGGAACAGTAAATATTTGAGAGAGTTATTGCCGGGATCGGATTAATTACATGCAGTCTTGCGTTTCTGCTATGCATCCTTTGTTGCAGGAGAAGTCACACAACATTAACAAGCTGTCAAGCTGTGAACTGACATGGTTTGTCTCAGTGGCTAACTGTCAGTAGATGCTCTGTGCATCTATGTAAGCACATTGGTTACGGTGTTTAAGCCTAGCACTTCTTTATTTTGGACGTTTCATGGGTGTATGACACAGACAGTGTGTAACAGTGGCAGTCTAAACCAAAAGAGTGAGTAAGGAGGGTGGGTGGGGGTGAGGGTGGGGAGGTAATGGAGTTTACTAAACCAAGTTCCCGTACATAAATTGACATGTGCAATTAGGGAGATGTACACAGTCCCCCAAGTCTGTTTAAGATCTAGAATACTTTCCTAACAGCTTCAAGATGCCCTGCTTTGGCTTTGGTTTCCAAATCTAAATCGGGTTTGACCTTGTTGAAAAACGGTTCTGGTGGGGTCCCCTATGTTCACTTTGGCTCAAGTCCAACCGCACCGAACGCATGTGATGGCAAACATGCAACAAGAGAGGTTTGGTGGATGAAATTTTGACCTGCGCCCTAAATTTCATCAACCTAAACACTGGACTCTGCAAAGGAGGTCATAAACACTTTTTGGTTTCCTGTTTATATGGTGCATAAGGATGGGGGAGGCATTAAAAGTGGAGGAGCTAGAGTACTTGGCCTGGAACCTTTCAAAATAAACTGCCACAGTCAGCCTTTGCAGCTGTCTTTGCGCCATATTTGTCTTCCCGCCTTATTTTGACGTATAACCTCTTCTTGATCAGACAAATTAAAGTACCAGCTAAATATGTAGCAACTGTACTTTTCTTTAAGCTTATTTTGACGCTTAAATGGCCGACTGGGTCTGCAACGTGGCATCTCAAGGGTTAAAGACAGCTGCCAACATCTGTAGCTGTGGTTGGCTTTTTAATTGTGAGGCCCAGCAAGACATCGAGCAGCATGGAGGAGAGGGGGCTGGCAGGCCGCATTTTTCAGCTGAGTGTTCACAAAGCAGCTTTCCGGCCGGCCATGATGGCGTCCAGGGGTGTACTGCGCTCCTATGAAATATTAAATCTGCTCAACCCCCGAGTGTGGACAGACCACCTGCAAGCGAGCAAGCGTGGCGTGCGGCGAGCCCAGGGATCAGATGTCCCTCAGCAACACACATGCACATACACACACGCGTACATAAGGAAAAGAAATACACACCAATGTCCCCACACAGGATAAACCTGTGGGCCTGCATATGCTTACACTAATAGACATAAACACATGCAAGAAAAAAAACAGTGAGAACATGGAAACACTCCAGATCTCTGTGAAAACATACTTCCTGCATGTGATACTGAGCCCTTCTGCAGAGCGCTAAGTGAGGATTATTTTCATTGGGCTTTTTTTGTGCATGGTGCCTCGACGACATCTGTTTAAACTAGGATAATAAATTCACCCGTGTAACCCTGGAGAACAATACATACTTCTTATTGTTTCCTTTAATTCATCAGCAAAAGCAGTAAAGAACAATGACCACAACAAGAATGAAACTGCTCTGCTGGAAGACATCTGACTTTTTCAGACTGCGAGGAGAAAAAAAAATTAGGCCTATTTCGAAATGCGGCCAAAAGTGCAACGGGTGCTTGTCGACTGCCGTCCCCTTCAGGGCCTCGTTCATTTGCACGTTGTGCAGTCGGTCCTCAGCCTCCCCTCTGCTCCCCCGAGGCATCTCTGCCTGCCCAGATGTGCAGCTGTTTATGTGGAGCACTGGCCAAAGCAGCTGGTCTGCCCTTCACAGTCCTCAGAATGAACAGAGGAGGTCGCTATTTCCCCAAAAAAGACCCTATACTGTGTAACTGAAAATAGTGAACAGGCAGCATGTCAAATACTTTAGGTAAATTATTTTGAAGTTTGGAAAATTTTTAACTTCAAGTCTCAAAAAGTGTTGGGGTTTGGGTTTGTTAACCGTTGTGGTGCATCACACCTTCTTAAAAAACCCTGTAAACATTTGGAAACCAAAGAGACCGGTTTCTGGTGTTTTGAAGGTCCAACTCGTGCTTGTCGAGCTTGGGGTTTCTTGTGCCATATCATTTTGTTTCATAGTGGTAACAAGTCAGGACTTTGTTTAGGACAGTTTAACACCTGGATCCCTGTGCTTCAGTGATGCCATTTCAATACATGCAGATCATGGTTTGTCATTGTCTTGCTGTACTATCGAAGGTAAAAGTGAAAAAAAGTCATACCTGTAAAAACCTGTAGGCCATTCAGGATTGGATTCTGGATCTTCTGATAATCAAATATACAGTCGATGATAAAATCCCCAACTACGGTACTTTATAATTTCATGTCAAGGAACATTATTCTAACATTACTGGGCATTTATATTAGTTTGTGCCAGGTGCAGTGGTGATTTATTTCAGTTCAATCTCATTTTATTAACTGCACTCCAAACAATTCATCCTGGCAATACATGCTGTATACACCAGTGACATCTTGTGGTCATTTTGTGTCATTGGCTCAAAATAAAAGCTATTTTTGTAATGCACATTTTCCCTTTAAGAGGCCACAGTCAGACACAACTGCCCATAAGAGAAAATGATAATGAAGAGTTTTACTGCTCCTTGAATTTTAGTTTCTTTACTTTTGTTGATGGAGATATTAACTCGGAATAGAAAACTTATTCGGTCACTAGGCCTTAACCATGTTGAAATTAAGAGAGAAGTAATTTTGGAAAAAAAATCATGGTTAAGGCACCCCGGCTGAGTTTTAAGTATACACATAAAGACACTACCGAGGAGCTGGGTACTTGGGTAGTTTAAATCCTCTTTTGATTGATATTGTAAAAGTTTATGATCTGTATTTGATTTTCATGAGTAGTCTGTAGTCAACAAAATTTCAACAAAACATGGTCTGATTTATCTCATCTACATGCAACAGACATAAAAATATATGAATGTTTACCTAAAGATTTTTCCCTGATATTTAAATTTGTTGAGATGTTCAGTGATACCAACTGAGCTCACAGTGTTTCCAACCTGGCATTTAGAGTCATTGATCACCACTGCATGAAATGTATGTTGATCAATATCCTGACAGCCTGCTCCAGCTTTCTGACTGTAGCTCAGAGAGTTCCTCAACAGCCCCTTTGGTTTTACTCTTCTTTGTAGCATCTCACCTCTATAGATTTTATGTCCAGTGCTGTCAGTTAGCTTATCCAGGGCCGCAGTACTGTACAGGCCACCCCTTTGCTCTTCCTTCAGATTTTCACCTCAAGCACAGGAGATGTATCACAAATCAGAGCAAACATGAACCGATGTCAAAAATGTTCTCTTACGTCAGACATATGGAGGAAAGTGCAACTTACTTATTGATATGTTGTTTTTTCTTGAGGTGCACATTGCAGTTTTCAGTCCCCAAACAGCTCCGCAGCTTCCCTGACCAGATCATCTAGAAATTTTGCAAGGCTGCAGACTTCGATCTCCCAGTCAGAAGTGCCAGGGGCCTAAAACTCTGCTAAGATGTACTGTATACCTGGTCCTTTTTGGCAGGTACTTCAATGAAAATTATTCAAATGTGCCTCGTATTTGTCAGTTAATCTACGCAAGTGAAAGTACATAATTTAAAATGAACCCAAAGTCCTGAGTACTTGATGCTTAATAAAATGTGGAAAGAAAGTACTGAAGTAAAAGTAAAGGTAGGTCTACTCATTTTAAAAAGTAGTACCAAAAAGCAACTAAATTAGAGTAACATCCGTAAATGTTACTCGCTGTACTTTAAGTGTCCCCCTGTTTAACAAACACTTCAGACCTAAAATCTCCTTTTAAATGTCAGTACCCTTACTAATCAGTGAATTTGAGAGACTTGTGCATCAATCTGTGACCAAACTTTCAAATGGATTATAAGTTATGTTGGTTAGCACAATACTCCATCTCTTTAAGTATATTAAAAAATTGGTGAATGACTTGATTTTTAGATGCTGTTTAGAAAATAAAAATTCATGTAACATTTAAAAAATCAAATTCAGACTGTGTTCACTTCTGCAGGGCATGTAGGCCATCTGCTGCAGGGATTTCAATGAAGGTCAGGCTGTTGGATTTGCTGAAGCTGTGTACTGCATTTGAATGTTGTTTTATTACAGTTACAAAACCACAGCATACTTCACCATTTCTATGAAGAAAATTATACCACTACCTGTTTGTTGGCAAGAATAAGACCGTTTGGGTCTTATCCTTGGTTGACCAGAAGGTGGCAGAAGAGGTTTACTGGCATTTCACGACATGCCCTCAAAACTTGACTCCTCTTGTGCACCTTACTAAACTGAACTAAAGATACAGAGCAAGTTATGAGGGGGAAAATAGCAGTGCTTTATTTGAGGGGTAGGGGTCGACAGTCATAAAGGTCCTGGTCATACTTAACAAGGGTCAGATCCACTTTAAGGACATTCTTAGAAATTATTTTAACAATCTGCAGTTAAAGCATGTATGGAAATCTCCTCATGCTTTTAATAAAGAGAAATAAAAAGAAAGTTATACAGGAGTAGAAAGCATTGCTCGTAAATTCTGCAGACATTGACTTGTCCTTGAATATATTTGTGAATGAGTCCGTGCAGAGGAGCTGTCTCCCTCCCTCCTCCCCTCATTTGGATAAATGTCACGGATTACCTAACAGGCGAATCAGTGTGCTTTTTTGCCATTCAAGAGGAGGTAAGATTGTCATTTTGTTGCCTTGGAGACTACAAATCAGTGGCATCATGCAGTATCCTCTTGTCCATTCCCAATGAGAGGGTTCATCCGCTGCTGTCGTCATCAGGGGCTGAAGGGTGGAGCCTCTGGACGCACCTGCGCTCTGATTGGCTCCTTCTGGTTAATGAGCTACCATTGAGGATTTTGGGGCTCGTGCGGGGAGGAGGTGTGTCTGAAAGCCCGAGCGAGCACACGCCTCTTACATAAAAACTCAATATAACTGTGCTGCTGCTCAGACGCACCAATTTTAAAAGCGGCGTTGTTATCCTCTGTGAGCTGTGTGAGGAGTTTTTTTTTAAAACACAGTTACTTTCGGTTTTACGCGAGCGTCTCGTGCTGTTTCCTCGGGGAAACAGTCAAAGTAGAGAGAAGAGAGAAGCGCGTGGCTGTAATTACCTTCTCTAATCAGCAGAATTAACAGCAGGTGTGAATTCATGTCTGTATTCTCCCCGCAGATATACTGGTGAGTACTCACATCTTGTCGACTTTTGTGTCTTTGTCCCCGCCTAGTTGCTCGATAAAAAGGTGAATTAGAACCCACACATTGGATTAGTTAACTTCGCACCTGGCGTGTAGCAACAATAAAGTCTGTATAGTTGTGGTTTGTGTGAGCTTGGTGATGCCCCCTTTGCTGCTACACCCACTTTTGTTTCCCTTTGAGATTTTCTCTTCTGTGGGGTGTTGCCCCTGACACTGGAAATGTCATATCACAGAAATGGAAAGAGAGAGAAAATTGTAGGTTACCTCTTAAAAAAAAAAAACACTCAAGGCAAAGTGTTGTCATCCTCAAGCACACTTCAAAGGTCATTGTGGTTGTATGGTGTTTTCTTTTTCTATTCATGGATAAAATGCACTTAAATAACCCCCCTGTTTAACCTAGAGGGCATGAAAGATCACTTTTCTGTATTCACAGGCATTTGGATTGAACATGACACTTTCATCCTTTAGTGCTGCAGGTGCAACGCAGTTAGAGGAGAGATGCACCCTGCTCATATCTATTACTTCTATCTATTATCAGGTTATTTTCTCCTGCCAGTCAGCACCTGAACGTCTCCATATACAGGGATGCTGATTACAGTCTCATTTACTGGAGTGTGTCTGCTCTTCTCTTATCTGGCTTGTTTTCCTGTCTGTTAAGAGGATATGCAAGTAGCTTTTGGTGGATTGTTTTGTGAGCTGTGTTGAAACCTCAGCAGACTTCTGGCTGTCTTTTTTTTTTACCAGGAAGTTAAGAGTCAACCTCTTTTACTGTAACCACACGTTGCTCACTTGCATGTGTTCTTACTTACATTAAGCGTTTACTTCTCTAAACAGAGCTTTTATTACTTTTAAATTACTAGCGTTTAAAAATGGAAGGAAAGTTCAAAAGCTGTGTGCTGCAAAGTCTGCCAAATCCTCTCCAAATGTCTGCACAGTGGCTTTCTCTCCTTGTGAACAGGAAGACATGAGAGTGAAACAGCTGAGGTGAATAAGATTGTCACTCCCAATGCATGATGTGTTTACTGTGGCATCCTGCATCCAACCCATTCACGCCAGCAGACTCCTTCAAGTGTTACTCAGTCTCCAAACCACCCACATACCTGCAGAGCTGTGGAAATCTTCGCCCCTGTTACCACACAGGCTCAGATTTATGATGGTGGTAGTAAGAAGTGTGGGGTGGCAGCAGAAGGGGAAACAATGTTGATAATGCAAGATGCAAATACCTCTCTTGTGCAATGAGGTTGTAGCTTTGGGGGGGGACAGACATGCAAGGAGCTGGCATGTCCATGACAGGTGGACAAACCTAGTGTCATGCTTAGGTAATATCTCCAGGAAGTATGGTCACTGAGTAATGAGGTTGGGTAGATGTTTGACACACCAAACTTGAAGAGTCTGCTTCTTCCACCGGTCATCTGGCCTGTGTATTTAACTGCACACAACCAGTGGTTTTAATCCGCAGGGTTTAAAATAGAAATCCAACAGTGTGTTCATTCTCTTTATATGGTAGTTGTTAGAGGTGGGGGGATTCCAAATATGCACTGGAAAAGACTTTTGTGATTAACTCTTGGCCATGTCTTATGCAATTTTTTAGCTTTTAAAAATATTGCATAAGCTCAGTCTTGTTGAACGAGAATGATTGTTTTCAGGATTAATTCATCAGCTGACTCCGTTACTCAGCATCTAAAATGATATGTGAGGAGAAATTTACAACTCAGAATTTGCCACGAGGTCAAAAGCAATCTTCACAGTTCACACAGTTATTATATTTAAGAAGCTTGAACCAGTGACATGTTATTGGAACCTGTCCTGAGAGATTACTGTTAAATCTTCCAGAATAAGTGGATTGTTCGACATAGTTTAGTCTGGAAGTCTGCATCCATGACATGACCAACTGGTCTTGGTCCTGTGCTGACCTGGCTGGACATGGCATTAGGAAGCTGGCAGGACCAGGTGTGCATTATCTTGACTGGGTCAGGAGGTAAAGAGGTTAACCGGCATCTGCTGCGCCGGCCTTTTACATTACTTAGTGTCCTAAATCATGCATCCTGTGTTGTTGACGTGACTAATGTGTGCTTTTCCACACAGAGTCCGGTCAACAAGCTGGTCCATGTCGAATCTTGCGTAACATGTGCACTGGTTGATGACTTATAGAACACTTAACACCCCCTCTCTAATAAAGAGAGAGACACGGTGTCCACACTTGAGGCAGTAATGGATGTGACTGTGGTTGCTTTGTGTTTGTTTCCTCCCAGGTCGACTTGTTACTCCTGCGTCCCCACTTCCTCCTCATTGTGCCCCTTTATGTTTTATTAGGCCGATGTTCTGTTATTCTTAGCCGAGCAGGATGTTTATACGATCCCCGAACAGAAATATGACTGGCAAGGCTTGAGTGTTTATCTTTTCTCCCCCCCCCCTCCCTCCCTCCCTCTCCTCTTCCTCCTTTCCCCTCCCTCTCTGCTCAGGTCGTCTCTGTCACCGTTCATCCCTCCTTCCCCCTCCTCTGCTCACTTTTGCATGCCTGCCTCACCCCTCTCACGGATGAAATGAGTTCAGGAGCACTCCCTGCTGACATTAGTTTTTTTTTTTTTCCATGTTAAACCTTGCGTATCCTTCAAGGCTCCTGCTTTATTTTTGGATATCCGGGTATTGTTTTGATTGAGTATTGCCTGCTGTCTGTACGGTGCTTTTAAAGGTTATGGTGATTTAACCAAGGGCATTACAATCTTCATTTTTGCGTTCAGCTAGTGGTTGAGCGTATTTAAAGATTTCCTGACATAAAATAAACCAATTTGTCTGTCTGCTTTAGTTTTGGACATGATAAACAAACAATGTTTAAGTCGCTGTTCTTCTAGTTAATGGTCTTGTTTGCATCCTTAAGGAGACAAATGGATGAACTGCATCCTGTTTCATAACCAGCTAATAAAGGAGAGCTTAAAGGATGAATATGTTCACTTTTCTTCTCCTAGAGTCTCCGTACATGAGACCTGAAGTGTGTTATGACTGATGGTGCTTCAGGAAGCCGTGGATGAACAATGCGGAAGTCGAAAAAAGACCGACAGAAGAATCTGAAATCATTGACTCCTTTCCTCACAGGGTCCTCGGTGTGGCTTATTGTGTCCTTGTGGCAAAATTGAATAAGAGACTGTTACGCTCACTCACTGAAAATTTGAGCAAACAAATATTTTTAACTGCTTAAATGAAGGGTAGCAAAAAAGAAAAAAGCCTGGAGTTAGTCAATTACATAACAATTACACAACATTGCAAACATTTGCCCTCAAACTACTTTTCAAACATTCTCAAGAGAAGCTTTAGGGCGAAAAAAAGAAGTGGGTTTTCTGTCCACTTCAACGAATTAAAACCTTTTTTTATTTGCATTTTACCCCTAAATAGAAACCCTAATGTGCTGTGAGACTATCAGCAAATTATCACTAACAAACATCCTTTTTTAGTTTTATAATTTATTTGCCAGTAAACATGCAGAAGTAGAGATCTCTTCATGGAGGGTATTTTCAGTATGCGCTCCGAATGAGTCATGAAATGAGACGAGAATATTGGGCTGTGCTTTACTTAGAAATTCCACAGCCGGTGTCATGTTGTAATGGCAGATGAAGTATTGTAGGTTTTGACATGGTTTATTTTTGAAAGGACTTCTGTTTGTGGAGCGTATCAAACACCGATGATTCAGTTTCCACTTTGTTATCTAATAGACTTTGATGCCTGGGTGTTTTTTTTTTTTTTTTTGGTAGCTGAATAAGACTGTGGTGAATGGTTGAATTAATTCTCTGGAATACGTTTACATAATCAGCCCTTATTTTAACAGTATTTCATTCACTACAACCGTATAATTTTCCACTGTTCTGCTGTGTCCAAAAATAAACATTTTATTTAAGATTCAAAGTAGGTCAAGCGAGGCCCACAACTGCATCCATTGAAAGGGATAATGTGAGGATGTGAGCAAGTGTGGGCTCTGTTTTCTTTGTCCGGTATAGCAGCGGCCACACAGACCACAAGCTTGCGGCCACTGACCACAAGGCATCAGGCTTTAAATAGAGAGCGTGAGAAGGCCGTTCTGCATCTCATCCCAGGACTGCGTCTATGTCAGGCCTGGGACCTGCTTGAACTTTTTTTTTTCCTTTTTTTTTTTTTCTTTAATCTTTTACTATGACAACGCTGGATAGTGAACACACCAAGCATGGATAAACAACCTCTTATTAGTTTCGTCTAAAATGGAAAGTTTTCGCCGAGCTTTGATGAAACCGAGAGCAAAGAGTTCCACCAGAGTCAAATACCACAGCACACCCCCAGTGCTCTCTCACAATGACTGTGTTCTCTGGTCTGCACTGCAAGAGCACATCATCTGTATTTAGACATGGCCACCTTATGCAAGCAGCAGCAGCATGAGCCGTGCAGCTCTGCAGTGCATTAGCACGGCACAGCAGAGCACTGGCTGGATGTGAGGTTGTGCTGCGATCAAGAAGTGCTGAGTTTAAGGAAACATGCAGGTCAAACAACCTTGACTTTGAGAGAGTTTTAATGTGTGGGTGTGTGTTTTTGGGTCATTTGAGAGATGTGGTGTTAACAGGTGTCACACTTTTGCCTACCTGCAAGAGACACTACATCTTCATAAAAGTTTTGATATCTAAAGCACATCGCTGTTACCGTCACACATTATCTCAAAGATTGTTTTCTCCACTCTTGCAGCCCAGTGTTTGTGCCCAGCCGAGATATGACTGAGGTGATGATCAATAGCACCCCCATGGAGGATATGAGGCTGAGCCCCAGCAAGGACAGGCTCTCCTTCCAGGTGAGACACTCACACATAGTAAAACAACTCCACCGTCCCACTTCCCTGCACAGCACATTTATTTTATAAGCATTGCTGTTTAATAGAAGCTCATCTATTATTATGACTTAGTTTGACGTCAATGCAGGGTGGCTCGGCAGATGCAAGTTGGGGGATTTGAAAGAGACAGTCTGATTCTATCAGTTAAAAGCATACAAATGCAAAAAAAAAGTAATTTTGGATTTTTACTGGGTCAGATGTGTATTATTATTATTGTTATTGTTGTTGTTTTTATTATTGTTTTTATTATTATTTTATTTTTCATTATTTTTTAAATTTTATTATTTATATAATCTAAAAATCAGTGTCTCTCTCTCTCTCTCTCTCTCTCTCTCTCTCTCTGTGAGTCATCTATTTTAGAGGGGTTAGACTACTATCATGAAGAAGCTAACAAAACATATCAACCATAAAATGACTCAAAGTTGATTATGATTCTGGATTATCTTCAGATTTAAAATATCATCACCAAACTGCTCATACTCATCTGAAATAAGCACCCTGATATATCGCTAAGAGGCCATATGAGGTTACAGACACTCACAGCTTTGAACATACCGAGGACAAAGAACATGAATGTCAAGTATTTCTGCAGTGAGATACAAAAATAAACCCTCCAGATTCAGGAGAGGAGTGAAGCAGCAATCAGGTGCTTTTGACGTGGAGCTGCTAGCAGCTTTGTTTCATTGTCAGCCCAACAGGCCTATCTTGGAAACTCAACTACTTAAACACACAACTGCTGCTATTTTAGTGATGCATGGATGAGGTGTGAAAACATGAACAAGGAACGCTATTTTAACTCTGAACTCTCGGTTTTGTCAATTTCAATGGTAATTTCAAAATCTGGACAGGAAGTGGGCACTGTGGTTCATAAAGCGGCATCTTAGCAGGTGGACTAGAGTCTTGAATATCTCATGGCTGGTCTCTGTTGGGATACATAACATGGACTTTCTGTTAACACTTTCATAAGTATAACACAAGAGTGTCAACTGTGAGGATGTAGACTGACCCAGAGGAAGAGCCTTCCTTCCTCCCGTCACAGTTCACACCACAGCTGTGAGTCTGTCTGAGAGGATGAGAGAAGCGGATGACGGGGGTGGATTGGAGAAAAAGAGGATGCTACTTTTCCACTGTTTTCATCCTTACTCCGTATTTCCTCATCCTCGAGGTCTCTGCCACTTCTTAGAGAATCTCTGTGTGTGAAGCAGTGATGCTGCCTTCACTCACTTCCTCCATGATGTCTGGCACACAAAACGGATATAACCAAGGAGTGGAGACGGATGAGCAAATTCATACTAACCCACTGTATTATTATTCCAATGTCATGATTCAGGCGTATAGTATGCGTCCTCCACACCCCCCAGAACATCCCAAAATAGCCGGCATTGTGCCTGGGTGATGATGTGTCGTCGCTTCCTGCCACTGAAAGTGAAACAAGTTATGACATGTGTTAGTGAGGGGTCCAAAGGCAAGGTCATTGGCCGCCTAACTCCCGTCGGTGCTGACGCACAGCAAGGATTGGCAACGCGGGCCCGGAAATGCAGAAACACACACACAGGCTTTAGACATGTACGCAGACGAGCTCACGCACACAGTTACACACGTCTAATCACACCTCTTGGCGTGTCTCTGTAAGCAGCTGTTTTCAGAGGATGTAAAAGCCGCTGATAGAAGCATACATGCTTTCATAAGCTGACAAATTCCCACATTCGCTGGGCATATTTATAGCTTTTTGTGTTTTTCCTCCCTTCTCATCTGTCTCCTGTGGAATTCACAGCGACTCGGACACAGCTGGATCCCGTCTATCTCTTTCCCCGTTCTTCCCGTCTCGGTCTCTCTCCTGCCTCATCTAATTCTTTCTTTCCACTCGGCTCCTTGCCCAGACAGCGACATTGCCCTCCCCCCCCTTTGCTCTCTCGTCCAATGTCTTAGAGTGAAATATGCAGGTCTAAAAATATTCATCCACTTTATCCAAACAACAGCAAAAATGCTGTTCTTGGACCAGGAGTGGCAGGCTTTTTCCCCCTTGGGCCATTTCTCTGGTTCCTAAGAACAGAGAGTCTGAGGTCGATGTCCAATCTTACCAGAACGGGGCACGCATCTAATCTTTCCTGTCAGATCGTCTCTCATGGCCCGTCACTTTAGATCCTAATATTTGCAAGCAGCATGCTGCGTTTACAAGGAAGCATATCAATCTGGATTTGCAGATGACTCTGCTGATTTCATTATCTTTCTCAAATCGTTTCCTATCTGCAGGGGAATCTAAGTGTTCAGCTCTGTTTGTTCACTTTTATAGGGATGGAGTTTCTATTTCTGCTCCGGCAAACCTTTCACCCTTGTTTCCAGATAACTGTTGATTCGAAATGCCCTGATTATGCTCTTGTATAATCTTCCGAGTAGTGGGTGAGGCGGCGTCGGATGAGTTGGTAAGCAGCTACTAGCTGCTTGGCACAATGCCTTCCAAAGCATTTAGATTAAACATGGTGCAGCATTTACCGTAAGTCCCACTGGACATGCCTCATTTACCCATACAGAGCCACTGATGTAACTCCTGCTTGTGCAATCAGTTTTTGGGTGAGCCCCCGACGTGGAAAGCTAGCTCTGCCGTTGGAGGAATGTGGGCTGTGCCGGAGCAGGTACACCAGCGGGGCTTTAGGGAACATTTCCTGTTGCAGTTGTTAGGATTTCACATCTCTAAATGTTGTTGTTAAAAGACTGTCTCTAAGATCATTAATGACAAAAAGCGATAGCTCTCAAAAGTAGAAGTTGGTAGCTGTTGAAATGTAGGGATGATTTGATTCTGCTTATCAATTCAATTCTTTAACGGTTCCCTTATCAATGCCTTTCTTTGATTAAAAAAAAAAAGTAGACTATAGGTTTTCAATGTTGACTCAAAATTTTATTGAGTCTTTGATAACAGAAAAAGATTTCTGCCACCTTTTTGTGAGAGTCTGAAAGTAATCAAACGAAAACTATTTGTACAGCATTTACTTTGTTGGTATCAAGTCAGATTAGGTTGACCATACTCTGGATCCCCAAAAAGAGGACACAGCTTGGAGTTGAGCGCAAAATTTTGGTCGGGTTTTTTTTTTTTTTTTTGGTTGGGTCGAGTGTTTTTTACGAGCTTCAAACTCCGTAAGTCCACGCTACACAAACTCAAAACTTCCATACAAAACTCGTCTCTGTTCATGTTCGCGTAGACTGCCTCTTACAAGACCGTTTTCCAAAGCACCCGGTAGCAGTGTTGTTTTCGACGACGATGACATCAACGTCAACGAAAACTTTGCAGAATATATGTTTAGCCTTTGACTGACAAAATGCTCATGTTCATCGTCCACCACTAACGTTTTCGTCTGGTCTCGTCAACATAAACACGCATTCTTCTCGTCACATTTTAGTCATCCAAGACTTATGTTTAGCTCGTCAACGTCACATCTTTGTGGTGGGGAAAAAAAGGGGCGTTGACGAAATATTTTCATCAACGTAACCAACTCTGCCCAGAAGAAAGGAATCGTCAAGGGAATCATTAAAATGAAATGTAAATGATGTCGATGGATTGAACCATTTGGAACCGGTTCTCGATTCCCATCCCTATTAAAGTGGGATTTAGTGTTTTGGTGGGCATGTAAGTTTTACTACTCTACTGAGCTGTAGCTGTTGTTTGTCCATCAGGAGTTAACCTGCTGTATGTTGGTAGAAATATTGTTGGTTTTAGTTCATGCGCTGGCACAGCTAGAAGACTCCTAACTGAGTCACATTCTGGATGAATAACCAGATTTTTATCCCTCTCGTATTTCTGCAGATATTCCCCGACCCCTCAGACTTCGACCGCTGCTGTAAGCTCAAAGACCGTCTGCCGTCCATCGTGGTGGAGCCAACGGAGGGAGAAGTGGAGAGCGGAGAGCTTCGCTGGCCCCCAGAAGAGTTCCTGGTCAGCGAGGAAGAAGAGGAGGAAGAGGATGAAGAGGACGAGCAGAATAACGGCAGTATCCCAAACGGACAGCCCATGCAGAATTCGCAACATTAAGGGCCGTGTTGTAGCATCCGCACCCTCTTGTTTCTTTCTGATAGACTCTCTCTTTCTTCACACTGGTTCCACCACCGCTCCTCCAGCAGCAGACTCAGACAGCAGACACACATTCAGTGTCTCGTGATACCATCTCATGACACCAAAGCATCACTCCCACAAAAGAAGCAATACACACACACACAAAAAAGAAACACACCCTCACATGGTGAATTATCCTCCCGGTCTGCAAACACACCGAGACCGACCTGAAAAGAACCGACACACACACACACACACACAATCATAACCTACACTTTCTTCTTACCATGCCTGTCACCGTGTGTGTCTCAGCCCGGATTGGATGTCCTGTTGGAAAGCGGCAGCTCTGAGCTCCATGGACAACTCTCACACTGCAGGGGGGGCTGCAGCTGCTCTGTGTTTTTTAAATGGCTGGCATCATGACCCCAGAGACTGGCATACAGAACTATTGTGGTACCCGTGGGGATTATCGTCTTCAGTACACCGTCTGTACCTGTGTTCGGTTTCTGGATTGATATGTTGACTATTGTGATTGCCACTGCTGTCCATAGATTCGTCCGTTTCTGAGAAGTGAATGTTTTGTGATTTGAGAAGTGGGTGTTTGTGTAAAAATGTCACTGGGATTTTTGGTTCCCCTTTACCAGATTCGTCCATGATACTTTCAGCGATCAAATGTCAGACAAAAAGAGCAGAGAAGAATCTAAACCAGCTCGCCCTGCCTTGCTAATGTGATCAAACTCATTGTACAGTTACTTGTTATGCACTTAGGGCAAAGTCAGAGTTATGATCCTTCCATCGGCCTTCTGTCAAAATGTACTCCGATGACAAAAAAACGTCAAGTTTATGTAAAGAAAGCACGTTATTTTTGAAAGAGATGAGGTGTTAAAAATAAAAAAGTGTAATATTTGATAAAGCAAAGTACAAACCCAGTGAAGGACGTGTAAATACTTGTTCCCAATGAGCCAAACCTGAGGCCTTGTAGTGTGCTGATCTTGTTTGTACTCTGGGTTTGGTTTCCTGTTCAGAGAGACAAAGACTGAGAATCGCTCCGAGCTATATGCACCTGAACCGAAAGTCAATTGTCCTCTTAGTCTTCCTGTTCATTTACTTTATCTGTCTTTTAAAAACAGCCATACAGTGAGGTTCAGGTCACAAATAAGTCAACGCTGTAGGACAAGAGTTCACACATACAAAAGGCAATATCTTTAAAGTGTATTAAAATCTTAAACATGACAGAATTAGTCCTGTATTTGCCAAATGTTGTACATCTTCGCTCTCTAGTAGTATCGTCTGTCTCTAAATCTGTCTGTATTGCAGTTTCTAAACTTGGTGTTCTTTTGTTCACTCTTTCAATCACCACTTACTGTTTGTGGAGCAGTCAATATAAGTCATTAGTGGAAAAGACGCAATATGAAACACTGTTGTACAAGCATGACTGAGAAATGTCTGTTGCTTTTTTGATTCCTCGTTTGAGTGGCATTAGGGCTGTGTACAGAACATCTCTCTCTTTTCTCCTGTCTGTCACCTACAGGTCCCACATTGTTTTTGTAAAGCTCAGGGAGATTAGCCGCCATCTTTTCTCTTTTTTTTTTTTTTTGTATTTAGACCACTTTTCTCTGTGACAACTACAGAGGCTGTAAATAAACATTTGAATTTGCTATCCAACGACATGACTCTTCTGTGCGAGTACTTTTCCTTTGAAGAGTTACTGCCGTGTTTACGGTGTCGGCTGAAGTAAATGAGTCTTTTACTGGGGCACTCCAAGCGCAGAGACTGAAAACTTCATGTGTTTACTTTATTTTCCTGTATGTGAACCCCCTTCTCTTTCACCCACTCGCTTCACCTGCAGTGGTTAGAAAAAAAAAAAAAAAAAACTGCAGCGCTTCCTGCCGTGCATCTTAAACACAGAATCTCTCTATGAACACAGATGCATGCACGAAAAACACGTACAGAAAACAAGCCGCATGCTTCTTCCTGTCTTCAACTTGCACACACTTAGACGAAAACAAACCTCCTTTGCAGTATGAAATCATGAGGAACATTGATTTGACCTGCCAACCTTTTGGAGACTATATTTAGGATCGCTAAAAAATAAGGATAGAGCATGGTTTGAAAATCCTGTGGAAGCAGCTCGTCACGCTCTGCCCATAAACAGTCACCACAATGATACAAGACTAATAAAATGTGGTCGAGTGGAAAAGTTCTAATGGGGAACTGGGGGATTTACAGGAATAAACAGAAAGCTTTGTGATCACTATTACAGTGGAAACTTTTCAGGTGATTTGCAGCCACGCTCTATATTCATGACCCACCAGGTCAAGTTTGATTGCCTAGTACCGGGAACAGTCCATCAGGGTTACAGCTGCAGGGTCTTCAGGCCTGATGGATTTGAAGGTGGTACTCTCGGGTCACTTCCTGGAAGGGGAACAATGAACTAACAATCTCTCCTGCTTCCTTATTCTTGGAAAAAAAATAGAGCAGAAAAAAGTTATTAATACCCCCTTGTTGATAATGGTGGAGGAATGTCCTTTACCCCCTTCCTTAATGTCTGCTTCTTGATCTCAGTGGAAAATGTCATGAGATCATGGAAAGAAGAAATCACAAGAAGTTAGGAAAGGACAGACGCAGTTCCTCAGAGAGTGACTCGCTGAGCTCGCATCCAGCCACGCAATCATGTGACGTCAGCCGGAGACCTCTGAACTTTGCGCTGACTTTCAAATATGTCTGCAGAAAGTAATACTGAGAAAGCAATATACTTCACTTTTAATAAAGAAAGGTCCTGTGTTTCTGGGCTTTTGGAGATATGAAAGGAAAGCCCTGAAGCTACTTTTCAGAGCATTTTGACATTTTCGGCAGCTCCTATCTTCAGCCCAGTGACTCACAAAGAAACATTTCCTATCTACTCCTTTCTTTAATGTAGCTGTAATTAAAATTTAAGCAACCTCCGTCACCCGTTCATCATGTGGCGAAACTCTGCGCTGAACCTAACAATAAAATAAACCATTTCGTGGCCCTAAAACACTCATGTACTGCACTATTTTTGGTCACGTACGGTTTCTAGATTGATACGATAATTACTGTGAATGTCACTGCTGTTTATAAATTTGTCTCTTCGGGGTTGGTGTTGTGTAATTTTCTGTTTTTTTTTGTGCACAGTACATCTTAAAATTTACCCTCCACCCCCTCACATGTTTGACTCATTGACTTTTTGAGATTTTTACATCAAACATCAGCAGAAAAAGGGAAGCCTGGATTTATAATTCAGAAGTGAGTAGACAGTGAAAGTAAAAACACGCCTCTGTGATAAACTCATAGAACAAATGCATGTCACGCATTGAGGGCACAGTCATGCTATGATCCTCTCATCACACTGACCTCTTGTAAGCCTTTTTACAGACATGCTTACAGGATGTAATAGGATGACCAAGCAAAATGGGACACCGTAGAGAACTTCATGTTTCCAAAGCAGGTTATTGTTCATACAGGCAAAGCCAAGTGTAAACTCAAAAATTACATATTAAACAAAGCCCTGACACAGTAGCGGATGTGTATCTACTTGATCTGAATAAGCCAACCGCTGGGGCATGAAGTGGCTTGTACTTAGGTTAGTTCACATCTTAGTATGACAAAGACTGGGAATCAATCTGAACTGCGCACACCTGAACCAACGATTGTCTGTCTTCTTTTCATCTTTTTGGATCGGCCATGCTTTGACAGGTGTGTTTCCTCTTTCAAGCTTGAGTTAAGTCATAAAACTGACACTGGAGGCTGAAAGGATAATGTGAACGAGAGTTCAAAACAACAATGTTTCCATAATCTGGACAGTTCAAAGTTTAACTGCAGGAATTTTCAGTTACATCAGCGAAGCGAGAGCTCCCGTAAAAGGTCTGGAAAACCTTTCCTAATTTGATGGAGTTCAACGTGAAGACAAAGTCAAAAAAAAAAAAGAAAAAGAAGAAAACCCTCTCTGCTTTGAGATAATTCTTTAATTTAATCTCTAGTTTGGTGGGCTGGAGTCACTCTAGGTAAGGTCTGTCAGAATTTTCCAAACAGAATTTAGGAGCAGAAGAATTACAGCCGAAGGTTTGCTGAAATTTTGCATGCTGATAAAACCAGAAACACCCAGCAGAAATACAACAAAAAGTGAGGTTTTCATCACTTAAGAGTTTGGAAACTATTAACAGTCCTCCTGTAGGCCTATTAGCTTTTACTACGCACCCACGATGTTAAGGGCTGTGTCTTAAATCAGCTGTAAATTACACTTAAAACAGTTCTCTATCATCCAGTTTGGTTCTCATCTCTGGTTTGCCTTGTTAGGCTTCATTATCCATGGAAAAATTGATTATAATATTTTTTGTTGTGGTCCTCTGGACCTTTCTTTGTATACCCCTCATGCAGACATCTATACTGAATTGATCTCACATGTCTGGACATGCCTGAAGTTGTTTTTTGTGCATGAAAAAACATGGCAAAATGAGAATTTCCTAAATCTCACATGACTGGAAGAGGATCTGACTGTCAGTGTGGAGCCTGACAGAGCACATATGATTTCAGTTTTTGCTCTAATTATTAGATATTGATCTAACCGGGTCAACAGCAACCCTAACACGCCAAGTGCCATAGTTTTAATAAGAGCAATTTATAAGGATTAATAATAACATTCTTTCTGAACAGCTGAAAATATCTTTGTTTTTCTCAACTGTCCCATATGAGCGAGTAGCTACTCAGCTCATGATGGCTTATCCTAGCTTATCCTGGTAGATCAATACCAGTAAACCTAATTCTCTCCCTGGGTGAGAAAAACACTTCAATCACTTACCAAAGCTCAGTATTCAACATGTTGCACCTTGTTTACAGATCAAACGATCAAAGACCAATATTAAATATCTTATATCTTGATCATTTTTAAAACTACAGGCCTGAACTCTACTGCACAAGAAAACAAATGAGCAGCCTGACTGTGCCTCAAGATAAAGAAACATCGAGTTTAGAGTCAGTACTTCATGTGTTATGTCTAGTTTGTTAAAAACACAGGGGAGAGATAAGAGCAGAAGAGGATGTTCTCTGTTCACTTTTGAATAAATGACTCTTAATGATGTTTATTTTGACTTACTTTGAACAAAGCTATTTGGGGCTTTTATTTGGCATACTGTTCATTTCTCTGCACACTCTCACCATGCTGTCTCTGCTGTGAAAAAAAAATAAAAAATCCCCACACTGTTAATCAGTTTCTGAACCACTCAGCTGGAGGTCAGAGGTGTCGACATTCATTTTCCAGCCGGTGAGATGAGTACCAGTGACTCTCATACTGGCAGATGGGGAACGGAGTGTGTCTCGCACACCATTGTTGGCGTGAGACACAGTATCTCTAAATGTGAGCGAGAGAGAGAGTGTGTGTGTGTGTGTGTGTGTGTGCCGGGCTGTGTATTAAAACTGTTGTCAGAGCACTCAGAGTGAAGTCACTGATAGCTCTTCTAACTCATTCTTGGAATTCTTTCCAATGGAAACAATCCCATCGCTGATCCCAGTGTGTCAGCAGAGTCTGACCTGCCAACCCCTGAATTCTCCCTGACTCTCAACCGTGGTCCACATTAACTCTGTTTCACTGTCACTCCTGTACACATAAACTCACACCAACCCCTTCATGTACCCATAAACCTTCTCTCCTCAATAACCCCGTCAAAAGGAGGAAAATAACGTCCGTGTGATGAACTCTTTTTTTCCACCCCCTCTCTTCATTTCACACCAGTTGTTTTCTTGTTCTTTCTATTTTTTGCTCTCCCAGACTTTCATCTAGTTCTGTTGTTTCAGCAAGTTTCCCATACTTACATGACAGTAGAAATGTACTCTGCATTCCCACAGTGCTGGTTATGTAATGTAAGTTAGCATTTCATTATAAACACTAGCCTCTGTTCTTATAACCTTGCTATTTTAGTCTTGCAACCTTACTGTATAAGCCACCCAGGTTTATTCTGCGTGTGCATGCATAACTGTGTTTCTGTGTTTGTGCAAAGCTTGCAAATGGATGCGTGTGCTCCCAGGTTTTATGTATAACCGTGTCTTGGTATTACGAGTGCTGTGTGCGTAAGGGAAAGATTCTTTTCCCATGGTTCCTCAAGTGTGAGAAGAAAGTAGAGCTCTCAGGACATGAAGCAAAAAAACTTTTTGGTTATTTATAACCTGTCTGGAGACGGCCCACCATGCGTAGACACATATCTGGCTCTGTCAACAAGAAAAGAACTGGAGGAAGATACGCTGAGGGGCATACAACAAGGAGGGGGGGATTAAGAGGGGAAAGGGTCAGGGAAGGAGAAAGGATGGATGTTGAGGAGGTGGGAGTAATATTCATCTACAATGACGAGAAGGCAAGGACAACTTTCCTCTTGACAGGTAGAAGCCTCAAACAGGACCAGACTCTATGGTGTACAGCTATCTGCCCCATGTAGATCAAGAAAGGGAGACACAAGGAGAGGCAGAAAACCAGAGGTAGCTGAGACAAACAAACAGAGGAACAAAAATTTTACCTTATGGACCATAACAACAACAACAACAACCAAAGATACAGACTTAAAGGGATATTCCGGCGTAAAATTAAGTTAGGGTCAAACACACCATAACGTAAGGTGACCAGACGTCAGAAGTGTTTCATGAATGAGAACAAAAATGTTGCGTGTAGGCTAGAACGACGGTTATTACAGTAGCTGAATGGGTTCGGAAGCACAAGTAAGCAGTCCTGAACAACAGTGTACTACTAAATAGTACCAAGATGTTGTCCCAAGTTCCCCCCCACCCCCAACCCCCGCATGGAATGTCCCCGGATTTCATTACAGAAATCTGGTCACCTTACCATAATACCGAGTTAACACCATAACACCCCCATCGAGAGACGAATTTTGCTGACCACTTGCTTCTCTAGTTATACCAACTTTAGAAACAACCGCACAATAGCAATACAGAGAGCCATGTGCTCAACCAAAACACCACTCTAAAGCCACGAATAATGCTCAGAACAGCCTCTAACTTCATTAACAGGACATATAGGGTCACAGACATAGTACTAGCCTCCAAACATCTTTTAAACTTTGCCTCATTTCTTCAGCAAAGAGACTAAACACAACTCACCATCTCTCTTCCAGCAGCCGCTTGTTTGTATGGAGACCATCGACTGCTGCGGGGTGACGCAGCTCAAGGAAGAACATTTATGATCATTACCATTTCCTTGAAGTAATAATCATCACATTTATCATTTTGCACTGCAGACGCGGTAGTTCTTCTGACTTAGCGTCTCGGTCAGGTTGCATTTCCATGAAGAAATGATCAGAAATGTTCTTCCTTGAGCTGCGTCCCCCCACTGCAGTCCATAATGGACTCGCCCGGAGGTGAGTTGTGTTTAGTCTCTTTGCTAAAGAAATCAGGCAAAGCTAAAAAGATGTTTGGTGGCTAGTACTAAGGCTGGGACCCTATATGTACTGTTAATGAAGTTAGAGGCTGTTCTGAGCATTATTTGTGGCTATAGAGTGGCGTTTTGGTTGAGTGCGTGGCTCTCTGTATTACTATCCTGCAGTCGTTACTAAAGTTGGTATAACTAGAGAAACAAGCAGTCGGCAACATTCATCTCTCGACAGGGTGTCTAACTTAGTGTTACAGTGTGTTTGACCCTAACTTAATTTTACGTCGGAATATCCCTTTAAAGGGGCATTGCAAGTAATAAAAACAGAGATACAACCACTATCTGCATTAAAACTACAATAATGATAACCTAACTGATAACAATAGAAGCTGTAGCAATCCACTGACATGCTTCCACTGAATAAATGACTCATCTGAAAATCTCACAGCGTTGTCATACGCACAAATCGGGACCACAAAGCAATTACTGCTTTCCAAAACAAGTCCTCCAGTACTTCAGCATTAATTAGAATCAAGTACTCTCAATACTGCCAAGCCTCTCCCTGTATGTACACGTCAACGGTCTCTGCTTAAGAGACAAAATGCACCTGCTGAACCCACCACCATAGCACATATTTGGACAGATGAGTCTACGCACCCTGGGACTTATTCTTTATTTAACATGGTGATGTAACTCACCGCTCCATCTCATCCCCAAGCTTTTATAGCTTTGATCAATACAAGTCTGCTCCAGTAAATCTGCATTACACTGTATTTTTGTATGTTAATGTGCTAAGCCACGGACTATTGCTCTTCCAAAGGCTGTTGTTGATATAAATAGACTGCTTGCCATCCTTAATCCTTATTGCCTAGAGACCATGCTTAAAAACGAGAAAAGAGACACAAGGGAGAGTGGATCAGAGTGTAAAAGGGAGATATAAACACTGAAACTTAGATGCAAAACTGGAGTTAAAGAAATGTGCGAAGCGCTGCTACAGGTGTGAGGCCAATGTTTGTTTTCGGTGTGACGAAGAATAGAGTTAAATCATCCATGACGTCCCCTCTTTGAAATTCTGAGAGCTCAAGAGGTCTCTAAGAGGCAAGAATGTTTAAAAACCAAAAAAAAAAAAAACTGTTTTTTTTTTTCCTATAAAGACTCGTTAAAGTGCTATCAATAAACCCCATTGAAAATAAACCAAAACACAGTGCACAATGCCCAAAAAAGTCCCTCTGTCTTTGCAGGATGATGTTGTGTAAGTAGAAAGGCATGTCCACATGAATTAAAGCTGTTATTCTTTACATTTATCTGTTAATTTGACCCTATAAAAAAGTTTGATATCTCTTGGCTTGCCTCACATGTGGATTCAATAAGAAAACATAGCTTGAGTGTACATGTTCTATGTTTTCCATGGATTAAAACGGCTCTGGTTCTTACCAAAGGGCTTAGACGTTTGGACTTCTCAAAGGGGGATATGATTAGAAGTACCTGATCAAATTGCTTTTGTTGAATTATCTCTGACAAGCGTCGTTAATCATGTGGATGTGCTTCTCGTTTGAAGGTGAGCTGGCACTGAAGTAAAAGAGAGAGAGAGAGAGAGAAAGAGAGAGAGAGCTTGTTTTACTGTTCTCCTCTGAAGTGATGCGTTGACCCTTGAGGAGTTATACTGACAGAGCTATACAGTTCACTCAGTCTCTCAGATAGAGTGCATGCCATAGGGAGCAGGTCATGGAAAAGTCCTGAGTTTGACTAAGTGCACTCTCTCTTTTACCCCGTCTGTCAGTCCGTCTCTACCTCACTCACACGTACAAACACACACAGCTGTGCGCACACACGCAGGAGAGAGAACATGTGTACGCTCCGATACGCTCAGACACATTGACCAATCTTACACACATCACTGAATGCTGAGGTAATTCTGTAACAGTAGAGGAGCTCGAAACTGAGGGTAAAGGAAACAAATGACACATGCAAGGATTTACTTTAAAAGGCTATGTTGAGGTGAATCGGTCTGGAGGTTTATCACGAAACCTTGCTTAAGATCAGAACCTCCCAGACCCTTAAAAACTGACATACAGTAATGGAGATAACTTTCATAAATGGTTTGTGTCAGTGTTTTAAAGATGATTTACAGATACTCCTGCCATTGTAAAGGTTAAACTTTAAAAAGTAAGTAGGTTATTTGCTGGAGTCTGTTAAAACAAAAAAGACACTGCCGGATATTTACTCTCTAAACACATCAACCAAAGGTCAGAAATGATGAACTACTTTGAGTGCAGGGTTGCAGACTAGTTTTGTGATTCTGTATTAATGATTTAAAGGTTTAATAATCATATAATTTAATAGGTGACTTAAAATTTGCACCTGAATGAAAATATAGTTATAAATTTCAAGGCTGTTACTGCTACTGAATATCATGTTGTGTAGTTTTTGCTCATCGTTTCATACAGTGAGGTTAGAGAAACCGTTTCAGTCATTCTTCAGGCTAGATTTCTGATAAACCACTCACTCTTATTCTAGCAAGGTTTGACTTTTATGCATGGTGTCTAAATTTTGTACACCTCATGGTACACATTTACATTTAACACGTCAACAGCAGACAACTTTCTGTGGAATCACCATGAAACATAAAAAATCATTTACATTTAAAAGTGCAGCTGTGTACCCCTCACTTTCAAAAAGGCAGAGGAGTTCATAAGATGTAACAAAATTACACTTGAGTGCACAACTCAAGAGTTGTTGGGTAAGCTTTCACTGTATTATGGAGTAGGTCAGAGAAGAAATAAACAGTGTTATGTGTTGATAACTCGGCAAATAGCGATTAAAGTCCCTCATCTATTTTAAAAAACCTCAAAAGATCACATGGGCTCCTTAAAATGAATGTTGTTAGTGATCTGTTTGTGTCCTATTTTTGGTTGTGTAATCAGTTTTAAAAAAGGAATGAAACAACTCATTTCTGTAAGAGCAAAAAGTTTTCCTTTAACAGTCTGAATAATTTTAAGTTAAGAATAGACAACAAATCAAGAGGAGGAAAGTTTTAATTATAACGTATTCAATTTGCATCCCTTTATTTTCGCAGTAAGTAACTTTTTTTTCCATCGCAACTTTTTTTTGCATCATTAACTTACGTTGTGGCTTTTTTTTATTTGCATCCCATTATTGTTGCAGTAATTTTTTTTTCCATCTCAACTTTTTTGGTGTGATTAACTTCCGTTGTGGCTTTTTTTATCTGCACCATTTCTTTTTTTATTTGCAACGGCCTTGTTTTTTTTTTGTTTTTGTTTTTTTTTTTGCATTGGTAACTTCCGTTGTGACCTATTTAAAATTTGCATCCCTTTATTTTCACAGAATTTTTTTTTTCCACCTCAACTTTTTTTTGTGTCATTAACTCACGTTGTGGCTTTTTTTTAATCTGCACCGTTCCTTTTTTTATTTGCAGTGGGCATTGGTTTCTTTCTTTTCTTTTTTTTGCATCAGTAACTTACGTTGTGGCTTTTTTTATTTGCAGTGGGCTTTGGTTTCCTTTCTTATTTTTTTCTTTTGGCATCAGTAACTTCCGTTCTGACTTCTTTTTTTTTGCATTCTTTTTTTTATTTGCAGCAGTGGCGGTTCTTGGCCACCGTACATTATCACTGAAACGTATAGTAAATGGTCAGCACTTCTCCACTTGATGTTTTCACCATTGCTCTGTACAGTATGTTTCTTCTCATTAAACTTCATTGTAAACATTAGATAAAATACAGCATCTCATTTAGGGACAACATACATAAATTAAAACAAAGTGGAGATTCAAAAAGTCACAATATATGCACTTTATACAATTTCAAGAGCCTGGGGCTGCCTGTTTTGCTCCTCATGCTGCCTCCTATCGCTCCCTGTGCAAACAGCACCCCCTGTTGGTGAGAGGCTGTAATGATAGGTGAGAGGTGACAGGTTGTAAGGTCGGGTTAGCAAAACCGTAGAGGCGATGGTCACTACGAGGCTGCAGTATTAGTAAATGTAGGAAAAGGCATTAAAAGAAATCGAAGTTCCCTTTGGCTAGCGGCTGGTTTTGCTGATAAGATACCGGTTTTGGAGCATCTTCAGCGGGCGTAAGCTTTGTGGACTAGCCCGTCGGCTAACGTTAGCTGAGTCGCTAAGTTGCTATGTCGCAACCGAGTGTTTGGAGTCTCTGCAGCTAACACAGCTAGCTCGTACAAGGAGAAAAAAAACTTCTAAGTCTGGAGGAAAAAACACGAGAGGTGGGTTCATTTTAACACGAGGATAACGTGTAACTGCATGGTAGTAGTTTGTGCACAGGACGGACTTTAACGTGAGCTCAGAAATGTTTGTAAAGATGCTGTGTAATGTTTACGTGAGTTAGCATGCACGTTGTTTGTGTCAGTGATTGGCACATTAGCCCGAAGAAACCTTGGATTTACAGAGGATAGACTCTCCTGTTAAATCCACTTAAGTACACAGACCACACGTTTCATGTCAGGAATTGGTCTGTGTTTTATTTACGTACTTAATACTAATTCTGCATGGGTTTAACTTTCCATAGGCCGTCATCTTTAGACTAATAAAGTGCAAAATCATTGTTCATTCTTGACTATTCCACCACTTTCCCAACTTTTAAATGACTTAGATGGTGTGATTTGACTTCTAAACTCTCCACCGTTGTTTGATCATATCTGCAAAGGTGCTACATACAAGACAGGTTAGTCATGAAGCACATATGTATACATCGTCAGGTTTATCCAGGGCCTCACTGTTTGTGTCACCTCTTAAACCTTAAATTAAGTCTTGTCTAACTAATATTTTCTTTGTGGTTTAAGTGCTTCTCTAATCCACCTTTGGATGGTGAAAATTGTGTGTACAGATAAAGGAGTATCACATGTGTACAGGTCTTGATAAGATTGCATATAAAGGGTGTGGTACTGCCTGTTATTCAAACTGAAACAGCCACATACAGATACCTTACTTCAAACCTAATCCTTCAAATACTTCAAAAAAAGGTCAATGAAGCTTCTTATATTCTTGAAATTTATTGCTGAAGTTGTTGAAGGCGTTGGCAGTGTACTGGAGTGCATCAAGATGAAATAAATAAAAGCAGGTAAAAAACATTTTTTAAATGAAGTTAAACAAATGAAATAAACACATAAAATCATAAAATAAATAAACGTGATAAAAGGACTATAAAAGACATAAACAGAGAACACACATCTCTCATGCTGAGCTAAAAGTCTGGCAATAAAAATGAGTTTTAAGACGTGATTTAAAAGTAGAAAGAGTAGGGGATGTTTTATAATTTGCTTCTCTTACGTTAATAAGGTCAAAATATAAGGAACACCTTTGAGTACGAAATGTTCCAGTACACCATCACTACCTGTAATATCTTAACATCTGTATTGTTTTTGTTTTCCCACCTGAGTGCAGTACGTAAAAATGCACAGAAGACATAACTTCCTCATTCCAGGTCTGCAGGGTTGAAATACAGGTGCCGCTCCGAGGAACTAGTTAAATTCTTATCATACTTTAGTTTAAAAAGGATTTATAATACAGAAGTGTCAACCTTCTGGAAAATTCTGTTCATATGTGCACTCAGTACTTATGCTGTGCTCAAGTTACCTCGGAAGTCAGAAGTCCGAGCTGAAAAAGATGTCGCACCCGAGTTACCAGTGTTTCAGTCACCAAGTCGGAAAAAAGCAAAATTGGAGGTGGAAACAAGATGGCTACATCTACGAAAGTTATTTTAGCACTTGCCCTGTCTGAATATAAAGCAAGCGCTAAAATAACTTTCGTATACGTAGCCATCTTGTTTTAGGCCTCAGATTTTGCTTCTCTCCAATTTGGTAACTGAAACGCTGGTAACTCGGGTGTGACGTCATTTTCAGCTCCGACATCTGACTTCAGAGGTAACCTTAATGCAGCATTGGTTGGGGCTCCTTCTGCACAAAAACATCAGTGTGACGTTATATGGAGGCAACAAGTCTGTGGCTCTGCTTGGTTGTTATGGAAGCCCAGGTTACTTAAACGTGGCCCTCAGCTCATCGGTGTTGTTTCTGGTCGTTTTGGTGTCGTGGACAGGTACCAAGTCCTGCTGGAAAAGGACATCTGTATCTCCTTAAAACTTCCCAGCAGATAAAAGCATCTTCTAAATCTAGACCGTAGACCATCAGCAGCAGATTACATGACCCCTCATGTTATCACAGACTGTGGAAACTTCACACTGGATTCTGTGCCTCTCTTATCCTCCTCTAGACTGTGGGACCTTGATTTTAAAATCAGATGCTACATTCATCTAAAAACAGGATTTTGGATCTCTAAGCAGTAGTCCAGTTCTTTTTCTTCTTAGATGCTTATGGTGGCGTCTCTGGTTCAAGAGGGGCTTAACAGTAGGAACATAACACTTACAGCCAATTTCCTGGACACGTCTTGGTGTAGTGGTAGTGAACGGTAATCATAAAATCCTGTCAGTCTCTGGTACTTTCCGGTCAGGAAGCTTACTGTACACTCAAGATGTCCCTTAGGTTTTAGACCTGCATTTAAAAGTCTTTCCCATTAATTTCACATCATTATATATTTTGCCTTAATTTCTCTTTCGCTCCCCCTGTCTGTCTGGTACACACACACACACACAGACACACACTTTACTCAAGCTGTTGTTTAGCCTAGACATGCTTGACCTCCTAACTCTGCTTTGCTCTGCTGGGATGTCTGGTCTTGGCTTAAAGTAAGGAATGCAGAATGTCTGCCAGAGATTTCAGAAGTGGAATAAAAGGCGTATGCGCTTTAATGCTTGTTGCGTTGTGTTTGTGGCAATGCTCTCAGCAGCTCTATTACTATGGAGATAAAATAAAGTCAAATCGACCCAAATGGAGAAGACATAACAAGTTCCCAACAGGAGTAGTGTTTGCGTCGGAGAATGGAAACAAAAGCACGATAAAAATAGTGTTCCCTCCCCAGGTGTACACACCAAGTGGAAGAAAAACATGTTTATTTAACACTTTGATATCCTTAACTCCATTTACTTCTCATGCTCTGTCTCCAGTTGTGTCATACTTCTGTGGTGTTTGCTCAAGCGCACTCGCCTGATGGTTCCTGCAGCCGCCCAAGGGTGTGTTTTTTTGCATTTGTGGGGACATGGGGTAATTGTGGTATTGTGCTGAGCAAGACTGTCGTCTCACCTCTGCCGTGCCTCACATTTTCCGTCGTTGGAACCAGTAACCCTTAAACCCTTATTGCCTGGATAATAATGCAGGCAAACATGTTTGCATCTCCTAAATGCAGCTTCAGCCACTTTGGTTGCCGCCGTGAGACTTGCTGCGTCATGTTGCCGCAGAGGGTGTCGACGAGGGAAAGATGATGGGAGAGTTGGAGGAAGGGTGGTGTGAACTGGAGGCTTGCGCAATCATAACAGTAATTGAGGTGGAAAGGCGTGAACTGCAGTTCAAATAAGAGACCAAAACACCTGCTGGATGAGGTGGCTCCCTGTAGCATCAACTCAGACTCCCTGCGTCAGCAAGGCCAAGGCCTCATTAAATTAAGACTCCCTGTATTTCCCCTTTAACCTTTGTCTCATGGGACTTGGCTGTAATTGACTTTCTCCACTGCTACGCTCAAGATCAGTGAATTTTCTGTGTAGGTTGTTGAAGAATATTTTACTTTTAAGGCCTTTTAAACAAACCTGGTTCAAGGTACAACTTGCTTAACTTGACACTGTTCTTCAGTTTGCTTATTTGCATCATCTCTCGACATGTTTAGAAAAGAGGTAACTTTCTTAAAGAGAGTTTGACTTGGTCACTTTTAAAAATGCTACTCATTCAGTCCACACAAGTTTTTATTTTGTTTTGCTAAATGAAGTAGTGTTAAGAGATAAAAACATGTTGACTGAAAGTAATGACAAAAATATGATCACTTTTTATTGACCAAAACTAGACTGAAAATTTTTGATTATTATTATTTTTTTGACTACATCTAAGTGGCATTTTCTCTTAGAGATTAAATCTAAAACAGCTGCTAGAAAATACCCCTATGTGGGTGTGCCATGTGTAGCCATATTTAAGTGGGACATGTCTCACAAGTCTAACGTTACCATTAAAAGCCAAAGTGGTCACCACTGATGTCATTTAATGACAAGGGATCCCCTTTGGTATCTCCAGATGAGCCCCTTTAAACTGTCACATGTGTCATCGACAATTGAAGGGCCCCGGCTGCTTAGTTTTAAATTTCAGGAGGGTTGTAGGCTCAGTTCACTTCCTACAGGGATCTGGTGGACATGTGGCATTTCTGCTATGTCTCAGCTACTGTAAATGAACAGGCCTGTCAGTATTCAGTCTACTTGAACAGTTTCTGATCATATGTTTCATCTGAGTTTGTGTTTACTAAACTAAGGTTTTCATTTCATTATTTGTGTCTTCATCAAAGTGAGAAAGTTTGAGCCCTAAAGGGGGGTCAGTGGAGCTCAAAATGACACCAATCAACCAGAATATTATGAAAACCTGATCACCAAGTGCAGCCCAACACAAGTCTACTTTCATGAAGCTTGTTTTGGAGTTAAGATTTCTTTGTGGCTGTTTTTTTTAAACTTTTTTTCTGGTGTCCTAAAACACTTCCTTTCCTTGCCTCCTAATCTGCATTAATGCCAACTCTTAAAGGGATATTCCGGCGTAAAATTAATTTAAGGTCAAACACACCCCCTCGAGAGGTGAATGTTACTGACCGCTTGCTTCTCTAGTTCTACCAACTTTAGTAAAGACCGCACAATAGCAATACACATTGGTCGGAGCAGCCATAAACAAACCTCAAACAAAACGCCACTATAGCCACAAACAATGCTGAGAACAGCACCTAACTTCATCAACAGGACATATAGGGTCCTAGCCATAGTACTAGCCATCAAACATCTTTTTAACTTTGCCGGATTTCTTTAGCAAAGAGACTAAACACAACTCACCTTCTCTCTTCCAGCAGCCACTCGTTTATAGAGAGACCTCAACCAGTCCATCATCGACTGCTGTGGGGTGACGCAGCTCAAAGAAGAACATTTATGATCATTTCTTTATTATTTCCTTGAAGTAATAATCACCATATTAATAATTTTGCCCTGCAGACGCGGTAGTTCTTCTGCCTTAGCGTCTCCGTCTGATTGCATTTCCATGAAGAAATGATCATAAATGTTCTTCCTTGAGCTGCGACACCCCGCAGCAGTCGATGATGGACTGGTCGAGGTCTCGCTACAAACAAGCAGCTGCTGGAAGAGAGGAGGTAAGTTGTGTTTAGTCTCTTTGCTAAAGGAATTAGGCAAAGATAAAAAGATGTTTGGTGGCTAGTACTGTGGCTAGGACCCTATATGTCCTGTTGATGAAGTTAGGTGCTGTTCTGAGCATTATTTGTGGCTATAAAGTGGCTTTTTGGTTGAGGTTTGTTTATGGCTCATCAGACCGCTGTGTATTGCTATCGTGCGGTCATGACTTAAGCTGTTATAACTAGAGAAGTAAGCGGTCGGCAACATTCATCTCTCGATGGCATGTCTAACTCGGTGTTATGGTGTGATTGACCTTAAATTAATTTTACGCCGGAATATCCCTTTAAATGAGCTGTCGTTAATGTTAAACACAAGATCTCCGGACATCAATGTCAACAGCTGTGGGATTTTTCCAGTGATTGGTCGTATTTAAAGAACATCCGAAAGTATTTGTGCCAGTGCACAGACTCTCCAGTCAGTAAATATTTTTGAAGCCACAGCTTCACTTGATTTAATGACCACACACCCACAATTTGTCACCCACAGTCAGAGAGGTTCCCCTATTTACATTCCACAGTCGGAATGTCTGCCCTGGATTTTCCACTGTTTGTGGGAAAATATGTCAGAAGAACAAGAGAAGAGCAGTGTTTGCTGTTTGATGGGACTGAGGGTAATCCCATTTGTTTCATATTACAGAGTTACCCCTCTTAAGCTCTTTTTCCAGAGTGGAATTCCAAAACAGAAATAAATTCTATAAACGTCATCATGTTTTATCCTCTTCCTTAATACTTCGGCTCAGCCCTTCAACTGCTCAATCCCATTTTATTAATGTAACTTTAATCTGGTCTCATCTCTCTCCAGATGGCTGTGTCAGTGCGGGGCCTCTACTTTGTGGTGACCCTGTTTTTGGGGAGTTTCTTCGGAAGTGTCTTCATGCTGGGTCCAGTCCTGCCCCTCATGCTGCTGTCTCCTGCTTGGTACCGCTGGATCACCGACCGCATCGTCGCTACCTGGCTCACCTTGCCTGTGGTGTGTACATCAGCTTAGTCTTTACTTAGCCCACTTGTGCGCTTGCCAGATGGTCTTAAGGCACCTGTGTACGGCCCAGTCACGACAACCTGCGTCATTTCGATCTTATCTTTACCCCCCTGATTAATAAGATTTTATTTTTGTCTTGTATTATTTAGTCATGTCGCCCTTGAGAGCAATTATGCAAATCTTGTTTACAGTGACCACAAGAATTATCAGCATTATTAATTTATTTCCCTCTTGTTCCTCTGTCTGCTTTGCATTTATTCACCACTTTCCCCCTTCCCAGTCCCTCTTCTCTCCCTCTACCATCTTTGTAAATGATCCTCCCTTACTCCCCTCCATGTTGTCCTCCTCTTTCTCCACGCTTCTCTCACTTTCTTTGCCCCCTTCTATTCTTTCCTCTGTTGAATCTCATCTTCATCCACCCTCCTTCCTCCGTGCTGCCGTCTCTCACCTCTGCAGTCTTTGCTGGAGCTGGTGTTTGGGGTGAAAGTGGTGATAACGGGCGACGGCTTTATTCCCGGGGAGCGAAGTGTGATCATCATGAACCACCGTACGCGTCTGGACTGGATGTTCCTCTGGTGCTGTCTGCTCAGGTACAGCTACCTTCGCCTGGAGAAGATCTGCCTCAAGGCTGCCCTGAAGGCTGTGCCAGGCTTTGGTGGGTATACAGGAGGTGCTGGTACGCACAGACATGCACACTGCAACAGACTTTACTATAATACCTGCTTTGCAAAGCATTCCCCCAGGAACATAAGATTATTGCAGAGCAGTTTACGTTAGAAGAGGAGGTGAAAGAAAACAAATGATGGCAGCAAGATTATAGCAGTTTACAGTTATAAAGAGTGTAAAATGATGTGGATGCAGTATAACATTATAGTCATACAATAAATCGACCATATCAGGGCTTGACACTAACTTTTATCGCAAGGAGCGCATGTGCTCCTAAGTTGAAAAAGTGAGGAGTAGACAAAGAACTGAAATTGATCAAATAATGTGTGTCTTATTGTCCGACCTTTGAACTATTATTTGAAATCAGTTTTAGGTCAATTGGTCACATGACATGGAAGCCATTGAAGAAAATGTTCAAAATTGGCCTTTAAATTTAACATTTTTTGGAGGACAAATCAGGTCAATAAAGTGGTGTGTCTTACTGTCCGACCTTAGTACTATTATTTTAAATCAATTTTAGGTCAATTTGTCTCATGACATGAGGCTATTGAAGGAAAACTGCCTTTTTTAAGATATCAACCGGTAATTTATTGATGGTCCCTTATTCCCTTATGCTGCAATATCGCAGGACGGGAAAATGTCGCTGACGCTTGTATTGACAGGATACGGGTTCGGAAAAAAATACTGCCGTCCGAAATAATCACACAAAAAAAACAGTCCGGGTCAATTGGTCACATGACATGAAAGCTATTGAAGGAGAACAGACTTTCCTGAGAACATTAACTGGTAATTTATTGATGGTCCCTTATTTAACACCAACGTTGACAGCGAGGGTGCCGAGTAGATTTAACTGCGCTGCTGTTGCTATTCCAGGTTATGGAAGTGAGTGAGTGTTTTCAAAAATATTTCGTCAACGTCATCCTCAACGAAAACAACACTGCAGAATATATGTTAAGCATTTGACTGACGAAATGCCAATAAATTTTGCAACTCTGTTAGTCGTCCACCACGAACGTTTTCATCTAGTCTCGTTTCGTCAACATAAACGCACATTTGTCTCGTCACATTTTAGTCATCTAAGACTTATGTTAAGCTCATCAACGTCACATATTCGTCGTGGAAAAAAAGGGGCGTTGTCAAAAATATTTCGTCAACGAAAACAACACTGCCCCTAAGTACATTTTACAATTCACACACATCTATTTCTCGTCGCAGATGTGAGTGAAACGGTCGCACTGTCGAGCCCTGCATATACGTGACTCTCTTCGCTCCCTGTTCCTCTGTGTGGGTTTGTACCAGGGTTGCTTGATCATGGCAAAAATCACAATCACTGTCTTTTTCTTACTGAGATCACACTTATTACACACCATTACTCATGATTAGACGTCGTCATCATTTGCATTTATGGGTCTAAAAAATCTTTAAAACTTGCTGTCTAAAGTGTTGCACAAACAGACTGTTTTTAATAAACTGACAACTGAATATCATTTACATCTAAAACAGTATAAAAAAGAGAAGACTCTGGGGCACTGTGTTTCAGAGCTTTGGTAAACACAAGGCCTCAAGTCAGATGCTCTTCCAGGAAAACAAAGGGCCTGTCCTCTTTGAAAATTATAGTGAACGGGTTGAAATAATTATTTTCATAAGGAAGACGTTTCTATTTTCCAGGCTGGGCGATGCAGGTGGCCTGTTTCATCTTCATCCAGCGCCGCTGGGAGCAGGACAAGACTCACATGGAGAACATGCTGGACTACTTCTGTGACATCAGAGAGCCCCTGCAGCTGCTTCTGTTCCCGGAGGGCACTGACCTCACAGGTGAGACGTGAACAGGGCAAAAATCTCGTCCATTTCCCACATTTGTGTCTCCGTTACCCACCAGCTCGTGGCGGTTCTCCACCTGTCTTGCATCTTTGCTCTGAAACTGTTATGCAAACACAATTTCCAAGTGATAAGACGTGGCCAGATCCCCTGACACACAACCCTCAAAGTAAGTTCAGCAGGAACGCTCAGATCTCCCAGTCAAAGCAGCAGTGACACCGGTGTCTTAAGCCAGTTCAGATCTCAGATAAGCCAATCAAAGTCCCGAATATCTTTGCAAGGGGAAGCTTCACTTCTGTCGACATACCATGATGCCATAAGGGGGTTACATCATAATTGGTTTGCAGATTGAGAGTTTTTTCACCCTTTTTACACTCATCTGGAAGTGCACACAGGTCTGTTTTTAAACCACTCAACCCCCTAAGCTTCATTTGACACAAGAAACAAAGAGAACTAAACAGTATGTTCTGTCTTCACGTCCTTAATACTTAATTTAGAGACACACAATACAGACCCCAGTCTGCAGGATCAGGTCCTCAGTGTACTTAAGGCTGCCTCAGAGTTTCTGTGACCCTGACTGACACGTGTAGAGAACTGAATGAAACATTTTACCAGATAAACACTAACAGCTTTGTTCCTGCGCTGAAGTAGAAATCGTATTAGCACAAAGCCTGTCCATAGTCTCTCTGTCCTACCAGTGGGCCTGAAGGAGTTTCTTGTTACATAATTTGACTTATGAGTCATGATATAGTTTACATGGGCCTGCAACAAGTTCCTGAAGAATGTGGGGTTAATAAACAATCATCTTTCCTGTGTTTATGTCCTCCTTTGGTTTTTACAAACGTGTACACATTTGTCACCGGTTGATTCATGGATCTGGTCAAATCCTGTGACAAACAGAGATATTGATTTACTTCTGTTTCCGTATTTGAAGTGTTGTTATTTTTCTCCTCAACCCATTGTGATCGAGATTCGAATCTTCAAAAGTTCACAAAGTGAGCTGAGATCTTGTCGAGGACACAGAACAAGAGGCTTTAAAATGACATTAAATAACTTTGCGTTCTGTTAAGATGTATGTAGTTTGAATGAGTAAACAGTTCAAAGTTTAAAATATGTTTCATCATATTTGCACGTGCCAGCATTTTGAGTTGACAACTAAAATGAACTTTCTTTTTCAGATAACACGAGGACAAAGAGTGATGCGTTCGCCGCCCAGAACAGCCTGCCAAAATTCGAGTACGTGCTGCATCCTCGCACCACTGGATTCACCTTCATTGTGGACAGACTTCGAAAAGGTCAGCCGCGATCCGCAATCAGTTGTTTCTGAAACCGTGACTACGTTAAACACGACGACGATCCCTCTCATGAAGAAGGTTTTGTTGTTGGTTTCCAGTCAATCAGCTGACTGAGCTGTGGGACACCAGGTCAGACACGGTTATGGAAATATTCTATCAGCAAAACCAAAGGGAGAAATAACACACCGTCATGATGATTGTTCTTAATCCAGTGACGCTGTTTGTGGAACAGTGATCATACCTGTTATTCTTCAAAGTGTCAGACCTTTGCCTCATCCTACCACCAGCCATTACAACACCCCTGAGACGCTCATGTTTCCCTATGAGCTAATTCTGGCAGTCCTCCAGAGTCCTTAAATACCACCTCTGGCCCTGTTGTCTCACCCCCCCACCCGCTCCTGGATGCTGAGCGTGGCACTAACTCTCCAAGCAGGTGTTGTGAATCAGTGTGATGTCATCAGACTTGGCTAATTCCCCTCTCCCTCTTGCCGCACCGCTGACTGACATGCTGTGCATGTTGTTCTTTGTCCAAGTCCGCCGTGCTCCGCTCAGCTCTATTTTTACTGCAGTGGAGCTGAGCTGTGCAGAAGCAGGCGCTGGCAGGTGTCATCCTGTAACATTTGATCTTTAATTTAGAGTTACTTTTGTGTTGTAGGGCCAATGCACATCTTTGTCATAGTTTCACAGGGCTTAACATGAACTTTTTTCACAAATGTGCTCCTAAGTTGAAAAAGTAGGGAGTAGACAAAGAACTTTAGGGGCACAAGGAAAATTGATCAAATAGTGTTTGTCTTATTGGTCGACAGAAGTACTATTAGTTGACATCAGTTTTAGGTCTTTTGGTTACATGTCATGGAAGCTATAGAAGAAAATGTTCAAAATTTGCCTTTAAATTTAACACAAAATTTTTTTGAGGACAAATTAGGGAAATAAAGAGGTGTGTCTTATTGTCCTATTATTATTGTCCTTATTATCTATTATTTTAAATCAATTTGTCACATGACATGGGAGCTATTGAAGGAAAACAGACTTTCCTGAGAACATCAACTGGTAATTTATTGACGGTCCCTTATTCAACACCCGACGTTGACAGCGAGGGTGCAGAGTAGATTTAACCGCGCTGCTGTTGTTATTCCCAGTTCTGGAGAGTGAGAAGACACCGGTAGATCCTCAGAGAATGTCCTTTGGATATTCAACCTAATACTAACTTCACCACGGTATTTACATGAAAAATCTTGTGTTGCCTCAGGTGATTTTTTTTATGCGCACATGTGCCTCTAAACACATTTTACAATTCGCACACATCTAGTTTTAGTTGCAAATGTGAGTGAAACAGTCGCACTGTCGAGCCCTGTTTTAGGCAAAAGAGAGGATGACGCATAAGGTCCTTACACACCGGGAACGACGCAAATATATGATGCGAAGTTACGAAATATTCAGACGCAAATTTCGCGCGATGCGATTTTGCAACTTTCCCAGGGGAAAAAGAGACATGTCACGGGTGGAGGCGAGAAGACTGACACAACAGCAGACTGACTGTTTTTCAGTTCTGATTAGACACTAGTGTCGAGATGGTGTCTGAAATAATCGCACAAAAAACGCTCTTGGTGTAAAAGGACCTTTAGGGTTAGGATGTATAAAGATGATATTCTATAAGCATAAATGATTTTGTCACTTCAGCAGGTGTCATTCCTGGTCATTTAAAACTGTGTCCCTTTCTCCAGGAGACAACCTGGATGCTGTCCATGACATCACAGTGGCGTACCCCAAGAACATCCCTCAGACCGAACGCCACCTCATCCTGGGGCTTTTCCCTCGTGAGATCCACTTCCACGTCCACCGCTACCCCGTTGCCTCACTGCCTCCTTCGACTCCTGAGCTGGAGTCTTGGTGCCGGGAGCGCTGGGCCGAGAAGGAGATCCGCCTGCGGGACTTCTACTCAGGCCAGCCGCGAGGCTTTGATAGGGAGGGTGTCGCTCGGGTGCCACCTTGTAAGACAGAGCTACGCGTGGCTCTGATCAAAACCGCCTCTCTGCTGTACTGGACCAGCTTCATCGCTTTCTGCTTCACTGGCCTGTGGCTGTGGGCCCCTTTCAGGCTTTACTTCCTGGTCATGGTCGGGGTGTATGGGGTTCAGCAGAAGATGATCGGAGGGCTGGAGCTGCTGGAGCTGTCCTGCCATCGATACTGGAAGTCCATGGCTGCCGATGTAGGTGAGAAGGGGAAGGTCCTGGACGGGAAGATGCAGTGAAGAGGGAAGACAGGGTTGGCCAGACGATGACATGTTTCCATCTACGCTCAGCAGCGACACTGAGGACCCAGCGGTCTTTAGGGCTAGAGCATCTCCCTGAGGGGCCCAGCGCTCCACGCCTTAGAAAGGGAGTCTTGAATGAAAACCTCTTGATGGTATGCATGGCTTCAGTTTGTATCTTTCAGTTGAAGAAAAACGAGGAATGCTATGTACTTAAAGCTGTGCTGGATCCTACCAATTCATCCCACAAGATGCGTCACCCCCCCGCCTGTGTACGTCCCTCCCTGTAAATTGCTGTTATCTAGCTCGCTGTCGGTGCGTTTCACCCGTTTATGTTGTTTGTTATGCTTGTTCATCCGAAAACCTCAGTCTGGACTTTGTGTCATGAAACATCGCTGTTGGTATTTGTTGTACTGCTGCCATGTCTTATCGACTGACTCAGTTTTTCGTTAAGTTGCCCTTTGTTTTGTATTGGTGTCATATATTCTGGAGCAGAGCCATAGTACAGAGCACCTGTACATATGATGACTTGACTCTCAACTATATTCAAATCAGCACTGTATTTTGATTACACTAAGGAGACGAGTCACAACAAATGGTCTCTGATTTAAGATGGGAAGTAAAGAAGCGATTATAATTCCCAGAGAATTCAGGAACATGCAGGTATATACAGTATGTGTACCATTGTTTACCTTTATGGGGTATATTTACGCTTTTATACATATGTTGGGGAGTGGATGTTCCCCATATTGTCATTTCAATATTGTATCATGGTGTTTCATGAAACATGAATTTAGTTTTTCTGCTTGTTTCTTCAAGTAGCTTTTGCACATCAAAGCCAAAGTTGAAAAAGTAAACCTGAATTTTTTTTTTCTTTAATTACCAAACAGAATGTGGTCCGTCTGTCAAGTGGAGGCAGCTTCATCCTCCACCGGCATGGACCCCTGCAGCTACGCTGATGTAACACTTATAGCTATCAACTCATCAAGATCAAAGATCTGACTGAGGTGTTGCATGTAGATACGTGTAGAAGCAGATGAGCTCTGTGCCCTTTCAGGGAATGAAGGGATGCCTTGTAGAGGCAGGTTGTGGGTGGTGCTGGGGTGGAAGAATGTCCTGTTGGGACAACATTACCCCTCGATGTGCAGGGTGGCATAGAGGACCAGACTTGGAGTGGAAAACTGGCCCTGAACTCTACCTAATCCAAAAAAGCCCTGTAATGCCCACCTCTGCCCGTGTCCCTCTCTAGAGGACTGGCATTGATGCGCCTGCTAAACTCAATTAGCAAATGACAGCTGAGAAAGCGGCTCCAATTGTGCCAAAAAAGGACAGAAATTGAAACAAGATTGGAGCGGCTCTTCAGCCACACTTATAGCCACTGACTCTCCTTCCATCCAATGATGTTAATCAAGGGAGTTATGAAACATTTGTGTCTGGGACAGTCTGTAGCAGTTTCTGTAACACTGTGTGAAAATGTATTCAAGCCAACCACTTCAAACTTCCTTTTGTGAGACAAATATCCTTCATGTTCAAACCTCACAAAACAAGCATCTTTGCTTTAGTTCAGATGAACCTAAAGCTCCTGTTATTCAAGATGTAAAAGGAGCTGTTTTTAGTCACTGTGATTTAGCTGTGCTAATATTTTATCATCAGCATGTTGTAGTTTACCAAACATGGTACTATACCTGTCTCCTCAAGCCTGAACCAGCTGAAACCTTTCTGTGTCAGTCTCTCACTCGTGCTGTTTTCTGCTCATTTTACAATCACTCTCTGATGCTGGACCTCTTTAAAAGTTTTTGTCCTCAGGTATACACAGTGGACACTGTTGGAGTCAGTCTCTTGAAGGAGGGAAATATAAATAAATATATATAATTAAATATACTCTATCAAGTCAGTCGTGTCCAGTCTTGTTTTTCTTTCGGCAAATGTATGAAATTCTGACTTCTTGACACACTTTCCCTGTGAAGAAATGATATAAAAGCTTGTGGTAGTGAGGTAAAAGAAGCAGTGATAGTATGTATTTATTTCTGCAGAATATCACCCTCACTATGATATCATCAAACACCTCAGAAGTCTTTTTATCTAGAATTTACCCTTACACTCACTACACTGCTGTAAGCAAGTTATCAAGACCTTGGATGCTCGTGTTACACAACACTGGGGCCACCTTTTGTCTGCTTCACACACACACACACACACTCACACACACTCACTCTAGTCTACCAAGCACAACCAAAAAGGTCAGGAGCTCTGAAGGTGAAGTGCAGTCGCCATAGTAACTAATGTTGATTTCCGTGTCTCCTAGCAACGGGATGTAGAGTGATGTCAATGGAAAGCATGCTATTTTCTCCCGCTGACAGAATGATGTCACTCCTTTGTGTGTGTGTTCGTGTGTGTGTGTGTGTGGAGGACAGACAGAGAGGGGACTTTATTTCTATATTCTATATCTCTGCTCTCTGAGAGGTGGGTGTCATGTTGATATCCAAAGAAGAGGATGAGCTAAAAAGAAATAGCTGTCCGTGGACAATGAATCATGGGCCAATTAGGAGTGCAATTATACTCCTGGTCCTTTTTATGGTCCCTCCATCATTCCCAAATCATCCTCTGCACTTGATTGGACTCCAAAGTTGCTCTGATGGGTTTGACAGTGGGTGGAAGGAAAATAGATGATGCACTGGGACGCCCGAGTGCATCAGTTCATTAGTGTATTTTCCTTTCCTGTTAGACATGCAACCACAAAAGACTGCAGTTCTTATTAGCAGTCATTTCTTTTCAGCACTCCAAGCACTAATGAGGGTTCGAATACAAATGCCACATATCCTGCTGAAGTGTCCAAAAGGCTGTGGAAAAAACAAAGCCCCTGCTGTGAACACACACGTCAAGACTGTGTCACACCTAGATCTGTGCCACGTCTATCCAAGTTGCATGTGGACTAATAGGATCAAGACGGCAGTGTGATTATCTTTATCTGGCCCATTGGCTTTTTCAATAAAGACAGCAGATAATCCTGAGGGTTAAGCTGGGACAAAGTCAAAGAGAACAATGAATTATAAAGCAGGACAGTGAGCTCTCAGGAGACGGAGCCTCCTTTTTTTCCCCCACAGTCATGTCCGGCGCTCAAACGGCTCCAGATATGTTCATAAAAACATCAATCTTCTCAATCTGATTACACTCCAGAACCTTCAAAACCAGAGCAAGCGACCACAGAGGATGCAAAAATAGCTGTGACCAGGACACAGTGTGTCCAATAACAAATTAATATTAGTCTGTGTGCTTGGTGCAGGGGTGTCTCCTAGAGCGACTGCAGAGCAGCAGACCTGTTGTTGATTCCACCGCTGTGACACCACAGACATACTGACAAAGAAGCCTTCTAAAAATAACTTTACGGCAGCACTGCAATATTAGTAGGAGGATTAGGAGGGAGTCGTCACCGCCTATTTATGAACCCAATGCAGTCAAACTGCAGTGTACTGAGCTGACGGGATTAAAACAGTACTAACAAATGAACAAATAGTGTCATTAATGTAAAAGGTTGGCTTCTCTTTCAGATTTTCCTTCAACAACTCAGTCAAAATGTGTGTTCTCCTTATTTTACTGAATAAAATCTGATGGGCTTCATTTCTTTTCATGCTCCAGAGAGTAAAATCACTGAAATGTATTAGCAGACTGCAGTGAAGCTCTACAGAGCCTGCTAGGCAGGCAAACGTCAGAGGCAGGCAAGGGACTCAGCATCATGTATCCAGGGGAAACATCCTCAGAGATCAGCCTTATTCTCTGTGTCCTACTGCCACCTAGAGGTCTGAGGATTTTCGCTTCACCCTTACATGGCCCTCGGTTACTTGACTTCTCAGCTTCTCTGAGTTTCTTCTGAATCTAAGGCTACGTTCACACTGCAGGTTATGATGCACAATTCAGGTTTTTGTTAAATCCGATCTTTTTGTGCGGTCGTTCGGATACATATCCAATTTATATCCACATACAAAAGAGGCCTGGGTCTCTTTTGTATGTGTGTAAGAATTGCACTGTTCACACTTAAAAGAAAAAATCAGGTATGTGTCACATATGGTTAAAAAATCGGAAGTGACCTGCAGTGTGAACACAGCCAGAGAGACCGTTTTGTATACGCTTACATGCAGTTATTTTCGAACTTGTATTTAAAACACATATTTTAAGAGAGTGGAGAAAAGGACAAATTTTAGGCAATCAAGAATTATCTAGACAAAAATACACATTGATTAAAACATGTATGGTAAAAATCTGACTATTTGACATGTTTAAACGCTCCAACACAAGAAAATAAGACAATTAACCCACTAATACTAAATGTTTATTTAGAAATCACATCAAAGCAAATCTTAATTCAGCCATACAAGAACTATTTTTCAACCTCTAAACAAGAAACACGATAAATGTTTCAGATGATAAAATAATGATCATTAAGAGTAAAGCAAATAAAACACATCGATAAAATGGTAAAAAAAAAAAACAATAATAATTACAATATCCGGTCTTAGTCTGCACTCTCTGCTGACTTTGGTGTATGGATGGATGGTCTCCTGCTGTAGCCATCAATAGTTAATGTAGCTTGTTTTTTTATAGAGCTGACATCTTGCACCGTCTTGCATGACCTTGTAAAGGCGAGCAAAAAGCATAAAGTGTCAGCACTGAGGACCGGACTGTTCTGGTTTTGCGCCTGCAGGCATGCACAATCTGAAATGGCACAAAGTCTCACCAGGGCCATGATGCAACGACCCGCTCCAAAAATAACCTCAAATGTCACACAGATTGAGATTTTTTTTTTTTTCCCTTGCCATTTGACATTTTGATATCAATTTTCATACAACACTGACAAGTAGAAACACAGGCGAAGTCAGAGGATAAAGACTTCCTTTAAGCTTCTTTGCTTTGTGTTGTCAGAAAAAAAAAAAAAACATACTGTCATCTTTGAACAAAATTGAAATAATGAAGTACACACAGTCAAGATAAGGATTGAATCAAACATATTTTCAACGTGTTTTTACCACACAACTTCTTGAAGAGTAATCAGCAAGTGGATGTCTGCTGCTGGCTTTATCTTTGTCTCTATCTGATTGCTCCTTTCAAGCCCTCTAAAATCCATCCCCTCATTATCCTGTTTTTATGCCAGCAGGGAGCCACAGTACATCTTCAGCACATCTCACACTTTCCTCTTTTTTTTCACACCAGAGACACATGGCTAGAAGGTTAACGTTCCCTCTCTTAAGTCACTATAGCAACATGTTGCTCTTCACACAGGCACAAAAACCATGGTAACAGATGTATAGCAATGGAGTTGAATTACATCTATGGGCTAAACTGTATGATTGTCTACTTTACAAATAAGTTCAACACTAAATACTGCATAAACGTGACAGTTTGTGTTCACTTCGAGCCAGTCATGTCTATCAACATAAACGTGAGCCAGATCAGAACAAAACTCCTTTGTCGTCAAACAATCGATACTTAAAAATGACATCAATCTGTGCAGTTCTTATGGTTTCTTTAGGATGGGAACAAAGATTTTAAACACTATTACAGTCATTGCACAACTAGCTAATAGCAAGAAACTGATAAAGCTCAGATAATCATGGTCATAGTTGCATTCAGTGCTCACCAGTGACAAATACACTGACACGAAGTTGACAACACAGAAGCATAGGCCTATTAAAGCAATATAGAGAGTGACCGCTGATTTGAAATGATGTGTAAGCTCAATCACAGCTCCACAGTCTGAATAAACGAAACAACCAGAGTGAACATGTCTATTATCATGCATGTTAAATATGTTTAATCACCGCTGAAGGGAAAAAAAGTGTGGCGCATGCCTTGTGCAGAGATGTGAAAAATTCTGTGTGACTGTGCAAAAAACACTCAAACAAGTGAAGGAACGATCCCTATCTGTGCTCCCAGCTGGTTAAGAGTGGTGCCCCGTGACGCATAAATCAGAGAGTGTTTTAGGGAAGCTTATTCAGCGAGGATAGTGCCAGCAAACCAATCTTCTAATCAGCAGAGGTCATGGGCCAGGGCCTAGGGGAGGGGGTTGACAGGTGAAGCTAAAACTTCACAGAGCTCTAAGTCTGCATGTGGAGGTGCGCAGCGCAAGAGGTTAAAGGAGAAAGGAGAAGGAGAGGAGGAACAAACAATCCAGAGTTAGGAGCTCATGAGTTATCTGAAGGGACGTGCTCCTCGAAGCCTTCACTCTCCCTCACTAGCGCCCTCTCTAGGATGACACGTCCTTCCTTGTACCGTTGACTGTCCTCGGTGGCAAACTCGTAGATCCAACCCAGCTTGCTGTTGCAGTTTTTGCAGCTGACGTCCCTCACCATGTGTCTGCCAGTCAGCATCACTCTGTCCTGTACTTCACTGTACTGCAGGTTTACCACCTGGGGGGGTTGAAACACAGGCATGCACACATTTTAACACAGGTGACTAGAAAATGAATGCATCTCACCGAAAATAGGCAAAGCTAAGGACGCACTGAGTAAAAAGTTTATTCATTCAACAGTAGTATTGGATCAGTATCGGATATTGGCTGATACATTTATCCCAGGTATTGGTATCGGACTGGATCAGGAAAAAAATGGATTGGTGCATCTGTAGTCACAGCCATGTATCATAAATGTCACTGTACCTTGTTGAAGAGGAAAGCTCTGCCTGTGGCTCCTGTGAAACGTGTTGAGATGAGCTCAGACCTGTTGGTCAGGATGGTGTCACAGTTGGCACATGAGAAGAGGCGTGTTCCTCCAATGTGGTCCAAAAAGATGCGTCCCATTGTCGAATCTGTGTGCGTGAATAAACTACAGCCAAGATAAGAAAGAAAAATAAGCTATTTACAGACAGCACATTTATAGACAACAGAGATGCTTTAGCAGTTTGCACCCCTGTGTGGACGCTTCTAGTAATGACACACACAAGAACCAGCCAAAAATCTAATGAATTAACTCAGAAATGAATAAATAAGACACTAGGGCTGGGTGATAAAACGGTAACGATATATACAGAAAATTTATTTCCCTCAATATCAACATAAAACATGGTCAATATGCTTTCTGATAGTCAGAATTCTGCCATGTTTTGGTAGACTATATGAATAGCCAATGAAAAGGGGAGTTGCTCCGGGTCTGCTGGCTGCAGATACACGCAACTGCACTGTGCACTGCAAATTATATCGAGTACATGTTCTCGCAAGGTCGGGGAATACCTGAAGGTTACAATACAAAGGTTACAAACCAGAGCAGAGCAAGGGGCTCTTAGCGCCTGTGCAGCCAAAACAGCCGACCATTCAGTCCACTTTCTCTAGCGCAACGCCTTACGACAAAACGTCGAAGAGACACAAAGACCTCACAGATGCAGAAGCTTATTGTGTTGCAAAAGACATGCTATCAATAAGCACGGTTAAATTTCATTTTTAACATCGTGATATATATCGATATTGACTGATATGAAAACAATATATCGTGACAAACTTTTTCCCATATCGCCCAGCCCTAAGACACACTACACATTATAAGTCTATATCCAAGGTGTATGTACACAAACAAACAGGCTATATGCGAGCCACAATAAGGTTAATGCGAGTACAAGGAGTATCAGCTCATTCTTTGACCAAATACAGCAGTACACAGCCATAATAAATCCCATTAAGTATTTCTGCAGTTTTATTTAGAGCTTTTTTGTAACCTGGCCTTGTTGTCATGGCTCACTAGCAGCCAAACACCAACCAAAACAAGTACTTTTTGTTCCTGACTCTCTTGTCATGAGGACTGTTGACTGTAGATGGCAGCTCAACTTTGAATGGTACTAAAAAAAAAGGCATTTTTATTCAATAAATATCCAACCCTGCTTTTAATATTTACCAATCTAGCTTTACTGACACATGATGGGTATCTCCTGTGTTTACCTTTAGTTTTTGGACATTATGTTCTGGTTTAGTCTCTTAATCAAATAAACAGATGCTAAGGTTACGTTAGCCTCGAGCTAACATGAACAACAAACGACCAAAACCTTCATTTCTCGGTTTGTCAAAGATGACGACGTCATAGCTTTGCAAATATATCATAGAAGCAGAAAACGTCTTTACCTGCGATAATGTCAGCGGTTTTAGAGGAGTGTTTTAGACGAATATCTGTTGTTTATGCGGCCGTCGTCGTGGCTTTGTTGTTCTTTTTCAGCTGTTCCTGTCTGCGCCGTGCCTCGAGCTGCTGCAAGCTAGTATCAACATCCGGTGATGACGCCATGGTGGCCTGTGCATGTGTCTGCAGGTTAGGGACCGCAGTTCTGGGACCGTAGACTTAGATACGTCCCCCCTTGTAAAAATTCAGTAAAATGAAACGATCTTTTGCCACAGAGATGTACACTGACGATGATAAAGTTGTAAAGGATCATTTCAAACTCTAAGATACATACAAAAGAGTTGTAGCAGCTGTAGGGGAGAGTGGGGTAAGACGAGCCATTTTTCATATTTCGGATCTACTACATCAAGGCAATCATAGTTTTGCCTCTAACTAGTGTATCTGCATATATTTCAAGATGTTGTGCATCCCGGCAAACCAACAGAATGAGTGTAAACACAACTGTCTTGATAATACAGCATGCAAAAAAAAGTGGTCTCCTATGAGTTGTAGAAGCCTGTACCAGATGATCCAGTGGAAATATTGACATCTAGCGGACGGATGACACCAATGCAGCTCATGTATCAAGTCTCTTCACCTTACCTTCGGTGAGTTCTGCTTTTTATTAACTACTCATGTTCCGAAATCTGCATTTGATACTTCTATGAATTATATATCAGCTCTAGATTTAAAAAAGAATATATATGTTATGTTGTTTTTGGCAAGAAGAAGGAGAGGATGAAAGCTCTGACTTCAACTGAAGGTAGTGCAATATTTTCATATTTCACAGTGAGCTTAGATAAAGTTAAAGGCCTAAAAAAATCAAATTTGAGGACCTAAACAAATGTTGAAAATCTTGAAACTTTGACACCACACCAGACCCGGTGATAACTTTGATTCTTTAATGTTTTTGGACATTGGTATTAAAAACCGGCCTCTGCAACATCTTTTAATTGGAAAGGTGTACCGCCAGAGGCTTTTGCGTCATGTCTAGACCTAAAAAGAGTCTCTAACCCTAACAGGCAGGTAAGACACTCAAATGTAGCCGGCATTCTGATTGGGTCAGATTTCCAGGGAAATCAAACACAGAAAATTATTATTTTAATTGGATGAAGAATATCAGAAACTGGACATTAAAGATAAATATCTGTAAAGATTTAGGAGTGGAAAAAAAGAATGCTCTAAACACTGTAAATGCTCTTTGAGTAACCAAAGTTATATTGCATGTTTTATTTCATGCACCAGAATTTTCTTCACATTGATGACTATCTGAAAAATCCCAAACACTGAGATAACCTGCTGTGAACTCTGTTGAAGGGTCAGGCTATCTGCAAAGCCAATCTAGGAACAAACTCATAAACAACTTGGCAATCTAGTCATATCTCATTACATCTCCAAAACTGAACCTGTCCAGTTTTACTGAAGTGCTGGTTGTTAACAAGGATTATGTAAAACTGGTGAGCAGCAAGAAGAGTCCTGTGAATATGCTCTTGACCAATCAGTACAAGAGAAAATGATTAAAGTGAGATTAAAATTAAATTGCACAGTGAAAGTTTATCCATAAGATTAAACACACTTCTGTCATCTCTAGTAATGATTTACCTACACTGCACTGAAGGCAACAAAACTAAGATTTCAAATGTTGAGTAAGGCAGAAACTTTATGGTTGCGTGTCCTTTTACAGCCAAATGAGTTTTATTATGAAATTAATCTACGGCTTGGAAAATCTCTGTGGTTACTATCATTATGTCTACAAACTCTTCTGATGCTCAAATGATGGATTGGCTGTACGAGGTCACTGAAGACTTGGAGAGTAAAATCTCTTAAAATGTGATTTTTAAAGGTTTTCCGACTATGTTTGCGCTGACCCACCACTGTTTTACTTTGGGATGTTGTTTTATTCCATTTAAATTTGTGAAATTAGAAGATCTACTCACTGATCTTTCATCGTATAAAAGATGGGTTTGTTACAAAACATCTAGACGCCCCTCAGGTTTACAGGAAGAACTGTTGGACACAGACACACAGTGATATAAGGCAGCGGCTGTACGACTGTAGTTTAGTCGATCGTTATCCAGATAAACTGATAAGATTAAGATATGATGGAGAATAAGAGTGCGGAAGAGTCACAGAAATAATCATTTTTCACTCCACATGAGAGGTGGCTTTCCTCTTATTTCCCCTCTTCCTTCTCCACCCCCTCTCTCAGGGAGAAAAAAAAGGAAAGAGCTGTACACAAACCCCTCAGTGTGGACGACATTCAGTATCTCATCACATCATGACCAGACCTGCACTCCTGTTCTTGGTGGCCTTTATTGGAGCTTGTGCTTGGCTTACAGGTAAATCACAGGATCTTGTCACATTTAACTCTATTTCTTTACAATTCTATCAGTTGCAGTTACCGAAAATAATAATAAGTCGCCCGTCTGCTTTTCAGAGGGTTAGTTATGAATGTTTTTAACATAACACTGAGGCATAAAGGAACCCTTTATCCACAAACTGCTTATTGCTCTACTTTTCTTTACTAATTGTAGCTTTTCTAGATTATACAGTAAAAGAAATGTGTTTTCTTGATCATCGATTTTTGGGTGGAAGTGCAAAAAGGAAACTACATTAATGTTTTTTTTTTCCGCCTTTTTACAACAGATTGGGCAGTGTCTGTTGACTCAAGTAGTAAATAAAACAACTTAGATAAAGCCAATGAAAACTTTGGGAATTGGTCTGTTATGTCATATTTTATACTTTTCGATGTTTTTTATTGGCTGTAGTATCTTATTGTTGACATTTTAAGCTGCGTAACCTTGTAAAAAGTTGTGTCCTAAACTTAAATACTTCTTTTTATCATCCTTGAGTAAAATCGTGTTTCTTTTGTTATATTTAGATGCCAGAAATGCATTAAAAAATGAGCGATCAACAGAAGAATCGGAGCAGGTAATGTGTTTCAGAGTCATAAACATTCATTAGAAAGTATTGAGAGTTCAGTCTAGTCTGGTTTTGCATCCTCTCCACTCTGAATAATGCTGATTATTTTTATTCTGCAGACTGACAGTTACATGCCCATACTCTGCCCATCTTTGCCTGCGCCTTCATCCCCATCCACCTCAGGTACTCATCAATTATTTTGTCAATTTCGACCACTTTGAGTGAATCATCTGTTGAGGCGCCATATGTATTTTCAATGTTGTTATCTGCTCAATAGAAAGTGGATGTAAGATCTAGCTATAAAGAGTCACCTAATGTTGTATCATGAAATTCCTGCCTTTTTTATTCCGCTGTTTTCTCTCCATCAGTTCACACTCTCAGACCGGCCGATGTCTCCGCTCTTTATGTCCTGGGAATGCCACGTTCGCACAGGTAGAAAACAAACAATAAAAACCTCAAGAATACACTGCCATTAAATCAGAAATGACAAAAAGAGATGGTTTGTCACTCGCTGATCAGGTGTTTGTTTTCCTCTTCAGGGAGGAAGCCGCCAGAGTGGTCAGCAGAGTAGCTGGTAAGTCTTTCAACTCTCACCTGCAGCTTGTTGTTGCTGTTCTGCACTCACAACATGCTGAGTTTTGTTTCTGTGATTATGCAACTGTGTTTTTAACTCTAGTCCTCGTCTTTTATTTTGTTAAATCGACTGTAAACTTACTCCATCACTGATTAACTTTGCTGGGAATGAAATGTGGAAACAGGCACTTTTTTTCTCACTGTGCAGAGGGATTATACATCCATAAAGTTGGAGCATTTACAGTTTACAGAGCTCTCAGTTCAAGGTCTCCATCAAGACCATGTCACAGGAAATGTCGTCAGACTTGTGGCAAAGCTCTCAGAACAATAATCCTATAGTTGAGTTTATCTGTAAAGCATGAGACAGGGGCCATAAACACATGTCACTGACCTCTATTTGACACAAAAGCTAAGAAAACGGTAAATGAAAGCTCTCACTTTATCAATAGAACCACTTTTCTCCTGAATTGCACAGAGTTGTTGTCCATGTTTAACCTCGAAGGCATCACTCAACATGTGGATGAAAACCCACCGCAGCCCAGGTAACACACAGACGCACATTACATTAACAGCCGCTCATAATTTTAACTCTAAGGTTATTGCTGCAGGTGTGTTTAATTAAAGTGAGTGTGTGTGTTACAGAAGCTTGTTAAAGGAAGCAGAGCAGCTTTCACTCTCCCTCTCACGTCAGGTACACATTAACACACTCACTGTTTGTTTTGTGTTTCAAATATCTTCCTTAAAGATAGCTGTAAACTGGATGAGCTTGTGCTTTTTGTTGTGTTTTTTATTTTTATTATTTTGTGAGCAAATTTGGCCAGAAGCCTTAAAAAATAACAATATACAAAATAACCAGCCTCATCTAATGGTTCTGTTCGCTTTAGTTGGTCATTTAGAGGCAAACTTGTTGGTTTAGACCTTTTATAATTTTCCCATAGGTCTGACATTTGGGTGTTTTTGCTTTTATCTGAGAAAGGTTGATGGATAAAGTAGAAAACTGTGAAGATAGCATGAGGAAATAACATTAAAGTTTCCTGTTTTCTTCAACTTTGCAGGTGACAGAATGGAAGTTGGTGATGCTGTTTGTCCCAGCAGATTCCATGTGCGCCTGCTCACCAAATGTAAGATTTTATCATCACAACAAAATCATGTTTCACTCAGTGGCAGTAAATATTGTGAGGAGTGTAAAGCTGTTTCTCTCTGCCTCAGGTGGCTGCAGGTGTCAAAGCTGCTGTGCAGGAGGTGGAGGCCGCTCTGCAGCTGTTACAAGAAAAGGTATCGTGATTTTTTTTTGTTGTTTTTAAAAAGTTCTGCAATGAAAATACAGAATGTTGAAGAAAAACTAAGATACTGGTTGTATCTCTGCAGTTGCATCATACTTTGGTACAGGTTGTGGTGTGGAGCTCAGATCAGCTACAGGACAGGTAAGTCTTATAACGCAGTGTGATCATTTAATTCAAAGTATGACATTTTATTATTCTGCTGTTTTAATTACAGCAGCAATGACATGCTCTTCTTTAATATTTTGTTGCAGTTGTGGATGTACGACAGATAATAGAATAAACCAGCGGCTACATAAAGCAACCCTTCTGAAGACCCTACAGGTCAAACACAGTTTGAATAATGGCATATGTTTGCTTTGATGAACTGTATTCATTTTCTCACTTTAAGAAAATGTCCATTTGTCTTGTAACAGGACTCTCTGAGCGATGTCTTGCACAATCCGAAGTGGCAAAGTGAAAAGTCAGACTTCACTGCTGTGCTGCAGTCTGCACCTGCCGTCCTTGAAGACATCTCAGACTCTGTAAGAACGACAAGCTGTTTCCACATGCCAAGTTACAATCAATAATACTATAAATTACAAATTAAAGGTTGCACCGCTCTTCCACCAGGAATAAAAGACAGCTAAACTGGCTGATGTAAAACTGCTGTCTGCTCCCTGTTTCTTTGTAGGACCTGAACCGAGTCGCTGTTCAGCTGTGGGCCAATATGGTGAGTTCAAACCAATCACAGTCTGAAGAATACTCTATATGTTTACATCAAGATGTCTGACAAGAGCAGAGTACTGAAAACCCTAAACATTCATGCACATGCTGTTCTGACACTTGAATTGACCTCGGGTCTCAGTTATAAAATAACCCACAGATAAGATTCGCCATGACTCCTCAAAGCCAAAGCAAGATGGAGCTGAATGATTACAGTTTATTACTCTGACATGAAATGAGATAAGAGATGTTAAGATTAACTCAGTGAGATAATCCAGCAGGATGACTTTCTGTGGCTTTGTTCCATCCAAATCTTCACAGATATAAGAATTATGTAATTACTTCTTTTAGATGCTGTGTGGTAATTTTGTGGCTGCGCTGGATGACCCCGTTTGAACCTAAATTCTTTAACCAATCATGACGTTTCCCTTCAGATTCAATCATCGACGGGTCAGGCAGAGGTCACGGACAACAGCCTCATTAATATTCCCTGTCCTTCCCAGGTGAGGCACACTGTCCTGTACTTGCAGAAGTCAGGACAGGACAACGTGGAAGTACAGAGTGTTGTCCTTCAGTCACGATTTTAATGTTTAAAACCTGAAACAGTGGTTAAACCTCATTTAACTCACACTTTCATTCTAGGAGCACCCTTTTCTGCGGACTCAGATAAACTCCCCCGCTGACAGAGAGTCGAACTCCTCTCCAATCACAGAATCTGTATGTTTTTAACTCTTATACTCGAGTGCTGCGCTTAATCACAGTTCAGCTCATTTCAGTTTGCTGCTCTGTATTTTACAGTCGATGGGCACTGAGATAAACTGCACTGATCGCAATCCATCTCCTACTACACCCACCTCAGGTGAGAGTATATTTCGATGGCTTGGTCTTTACATCTGCTGTGACAATATGGGAAATGTAGTTCCATCTGACGTAGCTTAGATACCTTATCCTCTGTGTAGTTCATGAACTCAGACCTGGAGACATCAAGGTGGTGGCAGCAGTGGGTGATTCATTGACAGTGAGTGTTTCTACACAATCGATTACTATTTTTGATCAATTCAACATCTTTGCTAACCCAAAAGGAGAATCACATCTCAGTTGTTGGTTCTTCTTTATTTCACCGTCTGATGTTCTCTGTAGGCGGCTAATGGCGTGGGTGCAAAGGCAGACAACCTCCTGTTGGTGATCAATGAGTACAGAGGACTATCATGGAGGTGAGATCAGCTTCAGGACCCGCTTCTTTAAACTCTGAAATGCAGCGATCATTTTGTCAGCTCTATTTGAACTAACAAGCTGTTTCCTCTATTTCTCTCTCTTTTTTCAGCATTGGTGGAGATGAAAACATCACAACTGTGACCACTTTACCAAGTAAGTGTTGATCCTCTTTGATTTTTAAACCACCATAAAAACCATGACTCATATCTTAATTCATTAAATGCAGGATGTCAATAAAAACCTGAGATCAATTACTCTTTCTTATTAAAATCAATATTAGCCATCATCCGTGTGACTGTATATTCAAGGATATCTTTAATCATCAACACCATCAAGATATGCTGAAATAAAATTTTATGTCATATGTTTATCAGAGATTTTAAATAACTTACTCCGATAATGACAAATGAATGTATTTAACCTTCACAGTTCATTGCATGTGGACAATAAATTATGTAATTCTTCTGTAAGAAATCATATCACTGTAATTACTCTTGAAATTTACAACAGAGAAATCTATGATCTGTGTGGCTCTGTCTGCTACAAGCTAGTTTTCACAATCGTGTGTGTGAAAGTTAGCCTGACTATGTCTTTGTTAATGTTCTGCAGACATCCTGAAGGAGTTCAACTCCAACCTGACAGGCTTCTCTGAGGGAATAGGCAATCAGAACACCCCGACAGCCTTCCTCAACCAGGCTGTAGCAGGAGCCAAGGCCGGGTCAGTCATCATTTACTCCGTTAATATGAATATTCCTTTAAATTTGCAGAAAGTATGACACCAGGAGTACCAGGAATTCCCACATTTTTAACATTCTACCATTAAATCTTTGTAATTTCAGTGATATGGTACAGCAGGTGCACGTACTGGTGAACAAAATGAAGACTGACTCGGTAAGGAAGTGTTGACCTACAAAATAAGCCGTGATGTAACCCCTGTTTCAGTTTTATGTTCCCCAATCATCAAATTAATGGAGTGTTAATCTCTTATCTTTTCCAGCGCATTGATTTCCACAATGACTGGAAAGTCATCACCATGTTTGTTGGAGGCAACGACATTTGTGACTTCTGCACAGACAGCGTGAGTTCCCATATTTAGTCTATCAGAGTCTGTACAAGCTTAGAGGTTACACTTTGATCATTTCCGTATAGTTGTTGTTCTTTATTTGTCTCTGAGAGCAAAAATAATTGATTCATTATTTTCAATTTGCATTTAAAGGCAAAATCAACCGAAACATTAGAAGTATTTTGTATTAAGGGTGTATAATTCATCGATGAACAAACTGTTTTAGGTTTTATTTGAATGTTTATTTCATGCTTTGGTCTCGTGTCTGTCCTCATCAGGTTTACTTCTCGCCCAGGAATGTGGTCAGTCGTATCCGTGAAGCTCTGGACATCCTCCACCGTGAAGTATGACTTCCTCCTATGCAGATTTTCCTAATCCAAATCACAGTCAGTCGTCAAGTGTGTCTGTTCATAATCCAGGTGCCTCGTGCTATCGTGAATCTGGTGGAGCTGTTAGACATTGTTCCACTACGTGATCTGCACAGTGATAAAACTCTGGGCTGTCCCACCTGGTTTGTGAGGTTTGTAACTTTAAACTGTGCAAATCCAGCAGCTTAATGAAAAGAACAACATAACTTAATAGTCTTTATATGTTTACCCTCCAGTTTAGTTTGTCCCTGCATACTGAAGCCTAAAGAGGGATCCTCTGAACTGCAGAAAGTCAGAGACTTCAATGTGGCCTATCAGGTACATAAAAAGAGATTTTTTTTGTCAAACAATCACAGAAAAGTCAAAGGTATTGATAGCAAAGTGCATCAGATTGAAGTAAAAATGCTACATTTACATTAATGAATTCTCAGCCATCATATTTCAGTCGTTGTTTGTTCTTTTCATATTTTATCTTTCTGTTCAGCTTACTATGAGAGAGCTAATCGACTCTGGGCGGTACGACACACACAACAACTTCACAGTGGTGCTGCAGCCTTTCTTCAGAGAGGTTTTCCTTCCCTATTTAGAGGTACGATTTGACACACCTGAGACACAGTGTTCCTCATGATATTGATGTATCTTTTGTCACATTTGTATTCTGTTCCTGTATCCACCTCTCTTTATTTTCTCAAAGGATGGTCGGCCCGATCGCTCTTATTTCACACCTGACTGTTTCCATCTGAGCCAGAAAGCTCACACCCTCATGGCTCGTGCTCTCTGGAACAATATGGTAGTTTTTCATTTATCAGAACACATTTATTATGTCTGCATTAGCCAATTTAGTTTAACAAGTTTAAAATGAATCACTGACTTCTTAATCTCTTAGTTCGAGCCAGTGGGTAACAAGACTTATACACAGGACTTCACGGCAGGAATCGACCTGAGGTGTCCCCCTGAGGTAACTTGTCACAACCCAGAGTAAAACTTCACGCTTTATGCTTCTGGTTTCATTAATTTTGACTTTATGTGTGTTTGTAATTCTTATTCTGTTAGAGCTATCCATTCATCAGGACAGCTATCAACAGCAACTACACCTTCCCAGGCCCTCCCCCAACCCCTGCTCCTGTTACAGTACGTCATATCAATCTTTCAGATCGAAGATGAACAGTAATCATAACTGATCAATGAGAACAACTTAAAAGAATATATATAAGGTTGTTTTTTTTTCAATTTCAGAACTGGGGGAGTGACTTTTATTGTGCAAACCTGGCTCCATCCAACTCTGTGCCCACATCAGGTAAGCAATAATTGCTCAACTGCTGAAAACAAATGTAAAGGTTAGAAGTCAAAGTTGCTCATGTGGATATTTTCTCAGCTCACAGGGTTCGACCAGCTGACATCAAAGTAGTAGGTGCTCTGGGAGACTCCCTTACGGTAACTCAAGAACATTAATTATCTTTCTAAACCGTTCAGTCAGGAAGTCTGTCATCACGGATTTAACTATTTATTGTAAAATGGAAATATAGTTTAACTTCATGTTGTCGGCGCTGATACAAAGATGCAATCAGGTTTGCCAGGCAGTGTACCACAGGTTTCAAAGACACAGCATGCTACAGTATGGACAGCTAAAACAGATTACATAAGGAGTAATGTATAGTTAACAGGTGGCGAGAAGGACCCAGACAATCCACGATTAAGAATGCTAACAGAAACTAGGTTTTTTTTGCCACAGTGTCAACAGGCAGTGGTGAAAGTGCCAGACTTCTTTTTAGAGATTGATATGACGTGTGATCTCTGGTGTCGCCTCTGCTGTTGAAAATTGATAACCTTTGTTATGAGGTTTTTTCCAATCAGAGTTAAGTATTTAGCACAACTCATTCATTAGAGATACAGCCAGGTAATAAATATTGTTGACACTGTTATTATTTCATGACTTATTCCAAGAACATATAAAGAAGAAGAGTACACTGCATAATAATTATAAAGATTAATAGAATAGACACAGGCCAAGTAGAGAGAGAGACATTCAGATAGAAACAGATGTTTAAGAATCTTTGTAAATGTAGCAATAAAAATAGCAAAAATAAATGTTATTTTCTCCATACTGCAAACTGAAGTTTACAATAAAAGAGACTTATCATGAAGCCAGGGTTAAACAAGAGAACAAGACCCAAATGCAGAACAAAGGATTTAATTAAAAAGGAAATAAATGAAAAAACAACAAAAACTTCCTTTAAAATATGATAAATATTTAAAATATGAAAAGGCACTAAAGGAAAAAAATACAAGGAGACTAGGATACAACTACTACTACTACTACTACTACTACTACTACTACTACTACTACTACTACTACTACTACTACTACTACTACTACTACTACTAGGAAAGACACTCACCTCACACACAGTGAACCAACAAGGACAGAGGGGAAGACAGGGACTATATACACACTGGGAAACGAGCAACAGGTGAGGCTAACGAGACACAGGTGAAACTCATAGGTGATTAACGAAGGAGGGAAAAACTAGGGAAGTAAAACCAGACTAGAAACAAAAGGAATCAACAACTACAAGATAAGACTGGACTACAGGGGGACAGAAACACTAAAGAAAATACACACTTAAACAAAACCATAAGAAAACTAAATTAACAGAACATATGACACTACTTTGTACAAATAACATATTTTGTTTTCTGCATGCAGGCTGGCTTTGGTGCAAAAGCAAAGAATCTGCTGCAGCTTCGTACTGAGTACAGAGGGGTGTCGTGGAGGTGAGAGCTCGCACTCAAACTACATACCAAACAAAAACATGAACAGCTTGTTTAATCCATTTTATCCACTATTTGTTTCTGTGCTTTTGCTTGGTTAGCATCGGAGGAGACAAACAACTTGAGACTGTCACCACATTACCAAGTCAGTCCCCATGCTCCTCTCTCCTGGTGACATGTCATGCACGCCGGCACCACTAGATAGCAGAGTTAGACTGCAACAGAAACCTGTCATCTGTCTGCTCTTCTGTAATCTTCTTCTTTCCTTTACATTAGATATTCTGAAGAAGTTCAATCCTAATATCAAAGGAGTGTCAAAGGGGCAGGGGAAATGGCAGAGTGGCTTCAACGTGGCTGTATCCGGAGCAAAAATAGCGTGAGTTCTTGCTCTCTCTTTCTTTGAACTTTTATTAGCTTTGTCGGTTCTTTGGAAATATTTTGTTTGAAACGTTTTGTGCAGTTATGAAAATGTCTTCTGTCGTGCAGAGGTGTTCCAGGGCAGGTCCGACGCCTGATCGACCTCATGAAAAATGACACTGTGAGTGTTTTTGGATGTGCATCAGTAATTATAAAAGAGAGTCATATTTGTTCCTGATTCTGTTACATATTTTTGTATATAGAAGGTGGATTTTGAGAATGAATGGAAGCTGGTGACCCTCTTCATTGGAGGCAATGACTTGTGTCAATACTGCAATGACCGGGTGAGTTATTTTTAGAACGTGAAATAAAGGATAATCCACGGATGAAGGGTATTTTCAAAACTCTCCTCTCACCAAAAACAGCCTTTCACTGAGTCTCAGTACTTCAGCACCTCTCATAGTATTTTGCTCTGCTCTACTCAGAGCCATCTCATGATATCACTCCCCAAACGGGACCGCGCTCTGGAGCAGAATAATCAAGCCTTGTGAGCAGCCCTCCTCTAATTGTTTTATTGTGTCGGAGTAAAAGGAGAGCAGACACGGTTTCTTTTCAATGAGCACATTCTGTCACTTCTCCCCTCCGACGCAAAACAACCCCCTTCACTCCCTCCTCTATCTCAGCTACTGTCTGCATTAAACAATCACACTACGGGGCACACTGACAGGCCTTGTTCTCCAAGAGGCATAAACAACGCAGAGGTCAACCCAGACTCTCTTCTTCCCTCGCTGTCTCATTTCCCTGCATTTCTCTTTATCTCTCTCTCCATTACGCTCCACTGACAGGACAGTCTCTCTTTTAATGTTTGTGCTTTGAAGCAGAATATCAAAGCAGAGCATCAATTTGAGATGAGCTCCGAGTCTGTAGTGGCAGCTTAGGGTTAGCTGTTGCTCGTACGCTCATACATGTTGCATGGGATTGGCTCTTTGGGGTGATAAGTCCCTTTTTAGCCTCCAACTTAGCTAGTTTTCTTACCCTTAATTTATTTGCTGTTTTCTTGCCATAACAGACTGAATTTGTTAACAAAATGGAAACAAGTGTCTATCATGAATTAATAAGAGGCTTTAGCACTGTTTGTGATCTGATTTTTACTTTTGTTTCAAACCTGCAGGCCTCTTTGTCACCCCAGAACTACAGCTATCACATGATGACAAGCCTGGATATGCTTTATAAAGAGGTATAACAGTGTTAGAAAACAAGAGCTGATAATGCATCAAAAATGTGTAGTTTTCCTTCCTTTTACGCTGCAGACATTGTCAATTCTTGTTTTCTGTTGGCAAAGTTGGTTAAAGATCTTTGTTCTTTGGCTACAGGTTCCCAGGGTGATTGTCAATGTTTTGGAGATCCTTGAAGTTGAAGGCCTACGTCGGATCAAGAGGGATAGCCTTGGGTGTAATGTGTTACAACCGTACGCTCATCGATCCGCTCATACCAAATCAATTCTTCATAATTCAAAACCAACCAGCTGCAGGCAGATTGCTCCTTTGATTCACGAGCATTTCTTCAAACCCTGTCATGTTTTAAATCGATTAGTTTCTTTGAGATTACCTTGTCCCAAAATCCCCAGTAACTTCACTAAAAAGAGTTGCATTTATCAATCTGAATTGTAAGTTATTCACTAACAAGCAGCTGAGCGTTTGTCTTTTGATCCTCAGGTTTGTCTGCCCGTGCTTTTTGTTACCAGGAGAGGATTCCCCTGAGCTGGCAGAAGTCAAACGAATCAATCGGGAACTACAGGTGAGCAGACAGAAACAGTGAAGCTGAACTGTATAAATCAAAGTCCCTTTTACTACTCAGAGGGAGGTTGAGTTTAATCTCTTTCTCTCTGATACTTGAGCTTCTCTCTGCAGAGAGGTGTTTGAGCTGAGTTTGATACTATCAGGCTGTTTAACATTCATTTGCCTAACAGAAAAAGTCCCTCTGTGCTCCCTTTACATATGGGTCTAAGCTGTGCATGTTAACACTCGATGTGTAGGTGTGTCCCAACTTGTTCAGAGCCAATTGCTGTGCATGGTTTAACTAAAATCCTTTAGCGGATAAGTCCTCCAGATGAAGAGAATAGAATTATGAATAACAAATGCTTTATCGCTGAATAAATTATCAAAGATTTGTATGAAAGAAGGCTCATCACAATTCCTCAGAGGTCAAGTGATGTCTGAAAATCACTCCTTTTGTCTAACTGACAGTTAAAAATCCAGAGATACCGCGTATGCTGTTAAAAATGAGAAAGCAAAGCAGCAAAGGCTTACATTTTTTTGCAGGGGCGTTTCTAGAGTTTGGGCCAGGGCATGGGCAGGGGTGGCCGGGTACACTAATAAAGAGCATTTACCTTTTCCGCGTTAACTTTCAACTTAAATAACTACCATTAAAGGATGAAGCAGTGATCATTTTCCTATTTCTGATTTTCGGATTTGAAAAAGAAAATAACAGTGGCAGCATGTACTATATATTTCGCTAAAATGAAAATGTGCTTCATTCTGATATATATATATATAAAAAAAAACCGCTTGTACCATCATAGCCTAAGTGGTTGATTTAAACTTCAGTCCTCTTTCAAGATCTGGTGCAGTGAGTCAGATTTAAAGGGGGGCAAGAGCCACCCCTGGCCACCTTTCTGGATAGGCCCCTGTTCTAAGAAGCTAAAGCAGAAAAATGCAATTTATTTCTGTTGAAAATGAGCAAAATTAATTTGATTAAATTAGATTAATTTTCAAATTAGCTTGAGATTGATTAATTTTTTCATTGCTTGTTTTAGCTAAATAATTGGCTTTAGGATTAGAGTCAGATTTGGTTTTCCTGGGCCAGGTTTCATGGGATTTGTCTCAGGATTGACACAAGACAGGCCTGTGAATTCAACTTTGTATTTGTAATAGTGTAGTAGGAGACATATTGTGCATTTGTAGTCCTAATATGAAAGTCCTACCAATGCTGTATGTTTTCCTTTCAGATTGTCACTGAAGAGTTAGTGTACGGAGGCCGCTATGATGGCAGAGAAGATTTTGCAGCGGTCGTGCAGCCGTTTTTCAAGAATACTATTGTTCCTTTGAATGTTGTAAGCCATCTGCAGACCTCCAAACTTCTACACACACAAGAATAAACATACGCCTAAGTTTGTTATGAGTCCTTCCACTTTACAGCACATTATTTCTAAGAGGTAATATTTCTACTCCAGGATGCTAGACCTGATGATACGTACTTCTCTGAAGACTGCTTCCACTTCAGTGAACGGGGTCATGCTGACATGGCTGCAGCTCTGTGGAATAACATGGTGAGTTATTTTAGGGCTAACTGTGTTTGTCAGTGGAAATAGTTTGGCTGAGTCTCCTGGAGTAACCACATCTCACTGCAGTTTAGCCATTAGCTGAGCAAATACGTGCTCTGTTTTATCTCTAGTTGGAGCCAGTGGGTAAAAAACAGACCTACAACAACTTCAGAAACAGCAGAGACGGTCTTAAGTGTCCCTCTGAGGTAAGAAAATCGACACACAAACACTTCCTCAAAGACCCAGTGGTGAGTTATGTGGCTCTGTGTCTATTATAGCCAATTATAAAGGAATGTTTTTGTGTGTTTTAGGAGCATCCATACATCTTCACAAAAGTGAACAGCCTGCCCATGACAACCACCACATCAGCACCACAAACAGGCAGCACATCTCCACCCCACACCGCCACCACCCCAGCACCCACTACAAGGAGCACAGCCCTGCCTCTCGACCCTAATTGCACCGACACCGTGCCTGTATGGCTTGCTGCTGTGCTGGCCGTAACAGGGCTCCTGATTGGCTGGGGTGTCACCTGGCTCCTCCTCTCCTATAGGGCAAGGAGCAGCAAGAGGAAGATGATGAATACAGTGGAGATGAAGGGCACATATTTTTGATGTGCTGCTCGCTGTAACTTAAGACTGGATAATTCTAGGGAAAAATGACAACATGTTGAGGAACATGTAAATGATGATGAGACTGTTTTATATTGTTAGATATGAGAAAGTAATCCAGGAACTACAGGAAGTTTACTACAGAGCTGGAAAAGGAACTATTTGCTTTTTTCTCAGGAAAAGTTATAAAGAAGAAAACAACAAATTCTTATCGGCTCTTACTGTCAAATCAACCTTCACTTACACGTTAAAGCTGGTTTTACAAGTGATGGAGTAAGCTATGCAATGATCCACCACAGTACAGACACTATGGAGGTTATTTCCAATAGTAAACAAAACTGATGTTCATTAACTTATTGCTTGTATTATAAAGACTTGATTAAGATTAAAATGTATCCAATTTCATTTTTTTCAACTTAAGTTTTCTGATCAATGTTATGTTGTAAAAATACCAAGCCTGCCTCAAAACTTTTTGAGTCGTTGAATGAAACTCTAAATGTGAAAAATGTTACTAAGACCGAACATTTTAAAGTGAATCTCAAACTGCATAACCATTTTGTGTGTTGGTAAATGCTAGGACGTTCAGTGTGATTCACCGTTGTTTTCATGTCTGTTTTTTAAATAATTTAAGTACCTCTGATTGTCACAAAATGTTTTTCTAATAAATAATTTAAACAACTTGGACAAACTCAAATCTACATTGCTGACATTTATGACACGTAGACGCAAGATACTCTGGCCTGCTTTTCCAGGAATATCCCTGTATCATACATTGCAAAAGTTATCCATGCACAAATGCTTGAGGAATAGCACTAACTCACCATAATGTTTCAGAATTATGGGTGGCATAGCTCGCTGATAAGACATTAAGGGGCTATTTTATAACCTTTTTAGAGAGACTCTGTTCACCATCTTCCAAGGATATGGTGAATCTTCCTCAGGACCTGATGTGCAATCTGGACTTCCTGTGTTTTCTTCCTCTCTGATAAACAACAGCATATAAATTGAAACTGCTCAACCTGCTGGCTTCAAAATTAAACCTTTTCTTGGTTAAGAAATCATTTTGGTAACGCAGTATGTTTCAAACCTTTTTGACACTAAAGCTCATATTTGAAAGCTTGACTTATACAAACAACTCAGCACTACATCTTTAACCTTCCTCCTGTGTTAGCTTTCACTATGCACCCACTGTGTTAAGGGTCGGTTTCGACCCATGTCTTAAATTAGCTATAAATTACACTAAAAACAATTCTCTATCATCCAGTTTGGTTCTCATCTCTAGGTTACTTTGTAAGGCTTCATTATCCATGAAAATATTGCTTATAATAGTTTTTGTAGTGGGCCTCTTGGCCTTTCTTTTTTAGTATACCCCTCACATAGACATCTATACTGAATTGATCTCAAATATCTGGACATGCCTCATGTTTTTTGTGCATGGAAAAACCTGGCAAGATGAGAATTTCCTAAATCTCACATGATTGGAGGAGGATCTGACCGTCCGTGTGGTGCCTGACAGTGTACATACAATTTTAGTTTTTGCCCTTATTATTAGATATTAATCTAAACAGCGACCCTAACACGACAAGTGCCATAATTCTATTAAGAGCATTTTATAATTTAGTTAATTTAATTTTTTATATTTTTATTTAGTTGAAATAGAGGTTCCTGACAAAGTCATTTATGTGGTTCTTTTAAGCATTTAAAAACAAAAACAGGTCCCAACACAGTAGGAGGGTTAATGGTCATTGTAGTTACTTTCCTTACTCAGATAAACTATCTTTTTAGATTACATTTAAAATAATGGTTTTATAAAGCTATTTTAGTGCACTAATGACAAACTGATTTTTGTCTAATAAATGTATATTTACAGGTAGTTAAAAGCATGTTTTCCCCTCTCAGTTCACCTCTTGTCTACGGTGACTGTGCTCTTGACAACAGCGCCCCCTGGTGTTAGTAAGAGGAGCCGAACCGACCAGCACTAAACCATAGCTGTTTGAAGATGGCGGAGGGTGAACTGAACGTGGACAGCCTCATCTCTCGGCTTTTGGAAGGTGAACTATTTCTAAACGCTCTTCAGTGTCACATATGGTTGTCTTTTAACGCTCTTACGTCGTGGTGTAGGCTTAAGACTAGAGGTGGTGCGGGTTGCTCACAAAACGCAGCAGGAAATGTGTTAGCATTGAGGCTAACTGCAGCCAATAGTAACGGTGCGCTCCCCCGGCTAGCTCTCGTTAACGCTCCTGTTAGCTGGTCGTGTTTATAAACAGACAGCGGTGAACGCCTACATTTGTCAGGGTTTGCTGTGTTATCTTAGTATCGTTACTGTTCGTAAGGGTATTTGAGCTTGCTGTGGTTTAAATTGAGTGTTGAATATAAGTCTCGGCCCGTGTTTTTTTTTTTTTTTGGTCGTATTTTGGGTCATAATTTTTGACAATATGTGCGGCGGGTACAGTGTGTTTCGAGCAGCAGCAGAGGTTGGGACGTTTGTCGTGTGGCATTGATCTAAAGGTTCCTACTGAGTTAAACCAATGTTACAGTAATTTTTGGATAAACTACGCTATAAACACAGATTTTACACCTGTCCTTTTAACCTGAATGATTAAGGAATGCTCTTTAAGTTAAAATTGTAACAATTCTTTTAGTGCTCTGGTCCTTTTTTAAGTGAATCTGTTTGGAAAGATGAGCTGAAGGACTATGCAAGAATTACTTAATATTTATGACCAACTTTTCTATCTGATATTGCACATTATCATGTGTTATCCTTAACAACGCACTATGTACACCTGTGCAGTAAAATACAACCAAATAAAACAGTTGGTCCACAATTTCTAGTTTCAGAAAGCTGCTAAATTTTCATACATGTGATTATTATACTTTATAGGGGACATCTTTGTTATTAACAAGATTTTTTCCTGTCTGTTTTAAAGCATCTGTACTAAAAACAAAAGAAACTAGAGATTAGTTCAACATTTTATTAACAGACAAAGTAAATAACCAAGCAAATTGAATGAGATACACTTCGAAAAATATAAAAAACCCATTTTAACTCAACAGTACAACAAAAGTAGATAAATACTAGATAATACAGTGAACTAGTTTACAGTCCTGAGTTTTTTTGCAGGTATGCAAGAACCAAAATAAACAAATCGCCCCCTCAGGTATATAAAAGATGCCTTAAAATGTAAACATTAGATGATGTAAACATCATTTCAAACACATTTGTTGTGTTGTCGGTTTTTGAGGGCACTGATCAACTTACCCCACACATGGGGTGAGTTGACCATAGGAGACCACTTTTTTTGGTATGGTGTATTATCAAGACAGTTATGTTTACACTCATTCTGACATACACTTCATACACTAGTTCGAGACAAAACTATGATTGCGTTGATGTAGCGATCTGAAATATAAAAAAATGGCTCATCTTACCCCACTCTCCCCACTTCATTTTCAAAGACACAGTAGGTGGTGGAGGTGTAATTGCCTGTGTCTGATTAAAATGTGGTCCTTATATTTTTCTCACTTCTTTAGCAAAAGTGAAGAACACTTTTCAATATAATGCGCTCTAGTGTACCACCAATGAGATGTAATCAGACAAAGGATGTTAAAAGGATTTAAGTTGATCTTGTGTTTTCATGGTTTATCAAGTTATTGCTGTTATTATGATGTATTTGGAATCACAGGCTTTATGTGCAGAAGACAGGGCGATGTGAAAGGCTCTCTCTGTGTTGACGATTCACCTGCTCGAGAGAAGGCAAGGACTTTTCTGTTCCCTTGTGAGGTTTCATTTGAGTCAGAGCAGACCACTAAGGCAGATTCAGCTGTCCTTGGCATACTTTCCACAAGTATCTGCGCAGGGATGACACACTATGCCAGCACTGAAATACGAAGATTTCTCTTTTGTATAGTTAATTGCTTGAAATTGTGCTGTGCGAACACTTCCTTGTGTTTCATTTTCATGTGTTTTTTGCTGCCAAGTAGTGAAATTACTTGGAAATAAACAGCTTTTTGTCTTTTATTCCTATTCCCGAGAGGAGAACCACGTTTCCATTTCTCTCTCTGCTGGAAAGTCTGCTTAACCTTCACACATTGTGTTTTCTTCATTTATTTATTTATCTATTACTGCAGACTTTGCTGACATGATGTATGGGAGTTGGACTTCTTTCATAGGTGGTCAGTGTTGCTGCGATATGCAGGGTGCCAGATGGTGATTGTGTCCTGTTTGACTTTTTTTTTCTTTGTTTTCCTGCTCATAACACGAGCAACAACACATGACTAATTGATTTGGAAGTTCTTGTTCCATCTTGGCTTTTACACCTAATTGCTCAGCACTGAAGTTCGTGTATTGTCAACTTTTTCAACTGTAGAAATCCAAGAACAAGTGAAATTGTTTGGGAAAGTGATAAATGACCTTTAAAAATGCCACCTTAAGATATTTCTGTCCTTACTTCACTGTGTAACTTATCGCCTCTCTGTATGAGTCTGTATCATTTCAGATGTTACATCCAGGTCTTGTGCCTGAATATAACCTATAAGAATATGTAAAAACGGTAAAGGGTTCATTGAAACTATCGCCCAATCATTGACCCCTGCTACTCGCTCTAACCGAAGTCAGACTTCCAAAATTACAGTAAATTAAACCTTGAAAAAAACTGTCACAAGTTGAGGTTTAATTTGTTTCCCCAGCTGTAAATTTCTTGGTCTGTTTTGCAAAAGGCTGATTTTTTTTTCTATTTTGAAATCCTGTTGCAATTATATCAACAGATCAAAACTCACTGGTCTTGATTTTCCAAACCAGTATATTGAAAAGACCTCGAGCCTTTATTTTGCATCCTAGCGCCATATTAAAGCTGACCGTACATTTTTGCTGAATGAGAAAATTGTGTCTTGAGGGAAATCCAAGAGTGCTTATTCATTGGAATTAAACCCTGACGCGACACTTTGCGACTTTCCCCCGCACACGTAAATTCACAAAATCATACGCACATGCAGCTGTATGGTTCAAATCTTTGTCATTGCTTCGTTTTAGCCTTTGCCCTGCAATGTTCTTAATCTCTTTCAAAAAGTGCAAGCCTATAGAAGTTCAAACAGGGAGAGATTCAGAGCTAAAGCCCAGCAGGATAAGAATCCAGGCTTAACTCGCTGCTCTGATGAGGCCGTTTGAGTGAATAGCCCTGCTTCTGCTGTTTCATGCTTCACACTATTAGTATGAAGCAGCGCAGATACAGTTGATGGATTATAAGCAAAACCAATGGTGTAAAACAGGACTTCATTATGGTTGGTGCAGCCTCAGAATAGTTTCTGGCTCTTAGAATCACCATCTGTGGGGATCCATATTCATCTGGTTCACTCAGTTCTGTCAGATTTGGTGGGATTACATGACTGATGAGACTGTGGCAGTGAGGGAGCTGAGTGAAGTGTGTACATGCATGCATACTCTCAAAGAACTTGAGGAATTTCTCACCAATACCTTTTTTTGTAATCAATATCCAACTACTCTCCGTTTAGCCGTTCTCTAGTTTTCCTTCAGTACAAAAAGGCACATAGAAGAAGGGTTCAGACTTGCTCACAGACCAACATCCATTCGTTTCGCTTGGCTCAGCTGTTCTTTAGTGCAGTCTTATGTGGGTGTCTAGCTTAAAGGCAATACCAAAATGGTTAGTTATTACATAATACCTCAGCCATGGATGTGTTCATCTCTTGTCTCCGCCTGCAGTGCTTCTTCTACACACAGGGCTTTGCTTTTTGTGACGTCAAACCAAAACCTAAAGGAGTGATGTGTACACGGCTTAATTACAATCCAACCATTATCTACTTAACAAGTAGTTACGGGGAATGAGTCAGTGTTATATAAACAGTATGAAAACCAGAGACGTGCCAGTACACCCAGAACGCTTTCAACTACTGAACACAATAGCAGATGTCAATTCAAGAAAGAGAAAGGATACCCCAACTAGGGCTTACCGATTTACAGATACCAAAATTTACGACAATAACCAACGTCATTTTTTGGTATCAAAAAAATAAATTAATGAAAGTTGGTTTTGGACGTGACTCCGAGGATTGTTCAAAGGTTGTAGCGGCTAAAGTAGACGAAGTTAATGTGGGAGGGGGTGAGCAGCTTGTGGAGTAGTTATCATCTATTTATTGTTATCGAGGGGAACTGCTCAATATATCGTGATATTGATTTGAGGCCATATCCTCCAGCCCTAACCCCAACTATTGTCGTCTTTTTTTAGCACCTTTATCCTTGTCATCTTTTACACCCAACTCCTGACAGTGGTAGATGAGCAGACTCTGGTTTTACCCCATATACATATTCACAGTAGGGCCCGACCAATATGGATTTTTTGGGGCTGATGCCAATACCGATTATTAGGAGGAAAAAAATCTTATACTCCGCATTTTATTTCTGAAAATATCGGCAAAAATTGGCGACTTTTGGCCAATTATTGATTAGTCTTAAACGGGCTAAAATTGGCCAATTTAATCAGCTCGCCGATAACTCTGTCGGGCCCTAATTCACACAACTGGAATAGATGTAATAAAACTGACTTTTATTATCCAGTGCCCCTCAGCTACCCTACCATTGCACTCAGCTTTGGCCCATAAGTGTCCATGAGTAGTAAAAATCTTCCCATCATTATTTCCAGCTACTACGTGAGTGCGTATATGAAAGCTGTTCAAGCTGGGATAGTTCTAGTGACAGATTTTGGTAACACCAGTAGTGTGATAGAATCTGGTTGTTTGTGGAACCTGAAGTGCGCTATCTGAAACTTGGCTTGTTAAGATAAGACACAGACGCTTGTAGGTGTTGTCTTGTTTTTATCCTTTAAAGGGCTCCAACTTTTCACGAGGTGCTACTAAATAGGCAGAAGAGATCATAAACCAACTGCAACATCAGATGTATAAATTGCAGACCTTTGAGACTCGATAATAGTTTACTATCTTTTTGAGGCCACAAAGAACCAAAACAGTTTATTTTTTAAGTATAATCACACCTGTCACGCTCCGACTCTCTTGGTTGCAGATCATACTGCCAAATGCGATCCTCTCTCCTTTTTTCAATATTTGTGAGGCAGACCTGTACTCGAAACTACAGCAAAATGCAAGAAAGTAAACTTAGGCTAAAGGTGCAACTACACAGCCAATAAACCCACACCACTGCTGAAGATGCAAGCTGCACTCATGGTTTAAGCAGTGGGCTTTCTTAAGCACTGCCAAAAGTAAACAGCTATAAGCTATAGAATCATCACACCCACACTTTATCAGATTTATAGCTGCTTTGTAAATCTGCGGGTTTGTATTTGCTTTATTTGGATGGACCCGATGGTGTTGAGGGGTAAGGCAGGGTGGTGGTGATGGTGGTGGTGGTGGTGGGGTGTTGGTGCTGACATTGAAGCTAACAGTTGTTGAAAGCACTGACAGCGTACTTTCTCTCCTCTCCAGTGCGGGGATGTCGCCCGGGGAAGATCGTCCAGATGACGGAGGCTGAGGTGCGGGGCCTCTGCATCAAATCCAGGGAGATCTTCCTCAGTCAGCCCATCCTGTTGGAGCTCGAGGCACCCCTGAAGATCTGTGGTCAGTGTCGCACGTTTCTGCTTCTATTTTGGGTTATAATCGTCTCATCATGTGATACTATCTAACTCAGTGTTTCCTCTGAAGCACGTCCGACCAGATTGGACAAACTATGTGCCAAAGAATAAAGTATTTTACACACTAAATGTATACAGACAGTATAGGAGCAAAGTAGTGCACATTCGCAGGCAAACTCTAGCTCAATATTTGAAATGCTAACCACTATCACTATCTCTCTTTTGGGGCTGCACATCTCTGCACACACTCCCACGTGCTTTATCTCGTCCCTGCAGTGTAGCGCTGAAACTGCAAACAACTCCGAGCTGTCTAATATATATATATGCCAGTCCTTGAAAATACAGTACACAAGCTCACATGCGTATATGCTCAGGCCTACACACACTTCATTTGTTACTGTCTCATTCCACTTTCCTCCCACGCATGTTTACTTTGAGGTAGTTTTAATGCAGGCGCTTTACTGTATCATCATCATCAGGCGGCTGCTTTTGTGTATTCATTTGCATTATTGCATGATTAATGGTATTACCAATATCTCTGACCTTACCCTTACCCTGATAACAGACTATTTACAGCCTCAAATGCCCTCAGCTCTATAGACCTTACCCCGGCACATGAATGTAAAATATGCATGAGTCCGAGGCGGTGTTATGCGTCACCATGTAAGGTTTCTTTGTCTCTCGTCTTTGTTTCGTTGCCCAATGTATAACTCCAGACTGATTACCTGCTTTTAACCCCACGGCTGTGACGGCAGCTTTCAGATCACCTGCACTGACTATAAAGACCAAACAGTGAATGCCTTTCATTATTCAGGAAGGCCACATGGATCAGGTTCTGTTCTCACTCTCTCTTTCTCTCTCTTTCTTTCTCTCACATGTTAACTAATGACCCAAGCAGTTTCGACGCTTTCACATTGATTTAAGCGGGGATGCTTTAAAATTGGATTTTTAAACACAGAGCTGTTTATGGTAATGGTAATCAAACCCTCATTGTGCAAACGTGTCGCACAGCCGTTTTGTTACTAAAATAACAGCACCCTGCAATCACAATCCCCGTGCAAAAATTGCCAAGCGGCTGTGCTTTATCTATAATAGGAGCTTTCTAATTTAGAGCAAAATGTGATTGATTTGTTAGCCAGAAGGATTAGCTGAAGAAAGACCACAAGCATGCATTCTTTGTTTACGGTTTTATGTCGGAGTCAAAATAGAACACCTATAATTACTTTCCGAGTGTACGTACTGATTAAAATAAACAACGTGCAGAATGAAAAAGGAAGTATAAATGTCACTTCTTTGGCTCTTTTCTAACAAAATATCGCTGACCTTTCATCGAAACTTGTCAGATTTAAGTCTTTGTCTTAATTGTTGTGTCGCACACTCATTCAGATAGACAGTATTTATCTTTTTGATGAGGTGTTATTTAATAAATGTTCTCACACTCAATATTCTCAAAGTTGAAATCAAATACTGAATTATTTTTTCACAGTTTTGCACATTTTTTCCTGCCTTAGTTTTGGTGCATGTGTGAAAACAAATCCTTCAGCTATTTTGAACAGCAACTGTGATGGACAGTTATGGACAGTCTGCCGACTTGCTTAAATATTACTCAGTCTTCCCCACACTGGGATTATGTGTTTATATGTGTACTTCAAACCAGTTGATTATCTGGTCATACAAGGTCAGGCATTAACACAACTTGATAACAGCTTTATCACCATAATGATAGCATAATAAAGTCATTAATATTGCACCAGGCAGGTTTGACTCTATTGGTTTGTCTGCAGCCGGTGCCTTTAATGCATATGAGCTTCTTGATTTATAACATTTGTGATGTGCAGTTTGACCTCAAGTAAACATCCAGATAAATTCAACATTGACCCCTTGTTAAAAATGATGAATGAGGTTTTTTTTTTTTTGGTTGTGTGTGTTTGTGTGTTCTTGTTATTGCCCTTCCTTTGTAGTTTATGGCCCTCGGTCTTTTAGCTATTTTTAGAGAAGTCCATAAATTAACTATTAATTATTGAAATTCTGGATGTATTCAGCAGTTTCACATCTGTAGTATTTGGTCCTTTGTCTGAGAGAATCCGAGTTCTTTATAACACTGGCCGCAGGTACAGTGCTCCATTTTTTTTCCATCTCCTTCTTTTTCCATTTTTTTCTCTTTGCTTTTAAAAACCCTAAACCTCTTCGCTCCCATTGTCGGACTGTTTTGACATTGCAGAGGCAGCGCTGAGTAAATAATTCACTGTCATCCTACAATTCCTTGCGGAAGGGCAAGCAAGGGGGGCTGCCCTGTGGAAAGCCAGCTTTGCTAAAGCTCACAAATGCATTCAGTCATGCAGCAACTCTTAGTGAGGAGTTAAGAGTAGTTAGAGTAAAGCTAACCTGAGGTGACCTTTCTGAAAGCAGAGATTTCTTAACGGGCAACAGTTAAATTGGATCATTTTACATCTCTCGTATATTTCTGCAGAATAAAGACAGAGACAGTTTGTCAGGGGAAAACACAACACAGCAAACAAAACAAATAAAAATCCGGCTGAGGCAACAGTGGAAAAACTGAGTAACTGTTTTGAGAAAGAGCATTATTTTATGGTCCAGTTTATCTTGGTTTTATTACCGGGACCAAGCTCAGTGAAGTTAGGCCTGCTCTTACAAAGTTCAGCCCTCTGACTGTCTCCGCAGAGATTACAGTCTACGCTGCCACGTCTCTTCATCCACACTTTAATCCAAATGTGGTTTTAATCCTGCATTTCATTTTTTTTATACCGCAGTGACACGTAGATATACAAGTCTAATTGTTTATTGTCTCAGGTCCAGTTGTTTTTTGGTAAAGGCTCAAGAAAGAGTTATTGTCTGCATACACCCTGTTATGTAGCATGTGCCGCCGTCTGCGTCCCAATTTTGAAATAATACTCGGCTCGCCAAAATGAGTCATTTTGTTTTGTATTTTTAGCTTGTCCGCGTCTTCAGGGCTGCTCCTAGCTTAAGCCAGATAATTTAAATTTCAACTGTTTCGATAAAACTTATTTTTGATATGCCAAAATTGTGTATAATGAAGAACACATTCCTTTGACATGACATGATGCTAAAATCATTGCTTACATTTGGCAGGAAATTTATTAACAAAACAGTACTTTGATCTCTGTCAATAGAAATTGTAGCATAGGATCACAGAAAATAATATAATTACTATTTATGAAACTGAATTGATATAAGAAGTTAACAGCAAAAGAAATGACCTTTGTTTGGATCAGTTAAACACTGGCCACCAAGGCATGATTGCATGTTAAAGTGAATCGTGAATGTACCTTTATTAAGGTCTGCTGAAACATTTGCACATACAACACAAAATAAAAGTAGTGCTGACAAGTGTTTATGTTGCTTAGCAACAATCCAATCTCAGTTAAATTCCAGTTTTTGTTGGTGGCTCCAAATGAAGAACTAAATCAACCCAAAATAAAAATAAAATTAAATCTGTTGCTGCTTCATATGTTGCAGAAATTTAAAATATGGCTTCCTTTCATTGGATATCGCTGAGAAGAAACCCAACAAGAAAAAAGTACAAGTGCAGGAGACCGAGTCTTTACTGAACCTAACTCTCCGCTCCGATGGCATGCTGGAGCTTTGTGTCCAGGGCAAAAAAGATTGATGATGAAATGTAACCCAACTGGCCAAGCACATGAACTCCAATTATAATACAGACATCCAGAGCTGTTCCTTTAGTCATTCATTAAGTCAGAGAAAAATGTGTGTTTTTGTCTACCATGCTAAAACATGCAAAAATAACAAACAGGCCTGTTGTCAGATAGGTTTGGTGCTTTTTGTGGTTTGGGTTTTGGTGCCTCCAAATACTGCCAGGCACCAAGAAATGGAATAAATCATGCCAGCTTCCCTCACAGTACAGATTTCCCATTCTTGTTGGTCATTTAAATCAATGAGCCGGACAGCTGCACAGCTGAGGGAAGCCTGTTATTTCATTTTAATTTGTATTTGTTGCCATTTTATAATGAAGTATTTCCATAAAAAGTTCAAGTTTGCCTCTCGATCTGGTCACCAACAAGCTTGTCATTATTGCCCTGCCTTCTCTGCCAAGGCTCCCTGCAGTCATCTGTGTCTGGAGCACTTAGCCCAAATTAGAGCAGCTCTTAAAGTTGGTGCAAGAGGATAAAAAAGGAAGCAGGTCTCAGCTAGGTGATGAAGTGAGCCTCCCCTGCTGCGATCCTGCACTTTGGTTATCGCAGCTCCGACACGTCTCTGCTTGACTGATGTCAAAGAGAGACAAGGCTGACCCTGAATCCGAGGAGAGCGGTTCAAATTAAAGTTTGTGTGGATATGTGTATGAGCCTCCATTTATTTTTATGATTAACCTGGATTGCCAGCGTTTTCTCCCTTGGTAGTTCATCTCCCTTGGGCCATGGCATCGATCTGGCGGCGGTGGTAATGGCTCACTTTTGATGTTGTTATCCTTGGGCTTGCTGATGTTATCCCACCAAAGAACAGTCACAGTCATACATCTCAACCGTTGACTTGGACCCTCCTTTTCTTACTCATCTCTCTTGCTCAGGTGATATCCATGGTCAGTACACAGATCTGCTGAGGCTGTTCGAGTATGGCGGCTTCCCTCCAGAGGCGAACTACCTGTTCCTGGGCGACTATGTGGACAGAGGGAAACAGTCGCTGGAAACCATCTGCCTCTTGTTGGCCTATAAGATCAAATATCCAGAGAACTTCTTCCTGCTCAGGGGAAACCACGAGTGTGCTTCCATCAACCGCATCTACGGCTTCTACGATGAGTGTGAGTAGGGTAGACAAACAAAATGGAGACCCCTTGATAGTTTATAGACACACTGAAGTTTCTACATTGTCAGGTTCTAATACTGTATCCTAATTTGTTCAACCAGGCAAGCGCAGGTTCAACATAAAGTTGTGGAAGACTTTCACTGACTGCTTTAACTGCCTCCCCATTGCTGCGATCATTGATGAGAAGATCTTTTGTTGCCATGGCGGTAAGAGAACCGCATCACATATTTTCTCTCGTTGTCCAAATTGTACATATTTACTATCCTCTAAATATGAACATTTTTAAAGTATTTCTAATCAAAATGGAACTTCCTCATTTTCTATCTAAGGGCTATCGCCTGATTTGCAGTCGATGGAGCAAATTCGCAGGATCATGAGGCCAACAGATGTGCCTGATACAGGTAGTGTGCACATTTTTTTTCCTCCTACTCATACTTTATACTGATCATGTTCACTTCCTCTGGATTTTAAGTGTGTCCTAAACTGACATCACCTAGCCTCCTCGCTGAAAGAAGGACTATTACATCAGTAAATCTCCTGTGTTACATCAGGAAAGTCAAATGATCGGGAGCAAATTCCTTTCTCCCGTTGCCTTCCCTCCCAGCTCTTTCCTGATTTTTATTTCCATCTGTCCTCTTGTCAGGTCTGCTGTGTGATCTCTTGTGGTCAGACCCGGATAAGGATGTACAAGGCTGGGGAGAGAACGACCGTGGGGTCTCCTTCACCTTTGGAGCAGATGTGGTCAGCAAGTTTCTAAATCGTCACGACTTGGACCTCATCTGCAGAGCCCACCAGGTAAATCCAAATTAGTGTTCTGCTATTTTCATACTTTGAAAACAATTGGTAAGTTCAAATCAAATCAAATCAACTTTATTTTATATAGCACTAATTCACAACAATCGTCATCCCAAGACGCTTTCCAAAGAAAAAGAGCAGGTCCAGACCATGCTCATTGTTTGATGAATTATCAAGACCCAACCTTAAGATGGGACTGATTTGACCTACCTCATCTAACATTAGGGACAGTGGCGAGGAGAAACTTCCTTTTAACAGGCAGAAACCTTGGGAAGGACCAGACTCATGCTAGACAGCCACGAGTAAAAGAGAGGGTGGGAGAGAGAATAGAAAACGAGGGTGAGAGGGAGGTTACAACAACACGAGACGCTATGACTCTCCACAACATAAAGCACCCTGTTCTCCGACACGTAAACAATTAGCTGGTCGGCCATGTTGGATATACCGGTGAATCTGACGTCGCAACAACACGCAATCTGATTGGTCAGAAGTGGACACACAGTATCCGAAACTTTAGAAAAATCGACCATGATCCGAAAAAATAAATGCTGCAATATCGCAGGACGGGAAAATGTCGCTGATGTGGACGCTTGTATTGACAGGATACGGGTTCAAAAAAAATATTGACGTCAGAAATAATCACACGAAAAAAACTCTCCCGGTGTGTAAGGACCTTTAATCTAATGCTCCGTCTTCAAGGTAAGTTAAAGAAGCTCAGTGGTCGAAAATACAATCCAGAAATGTTACTTACTGCATCTTTATCAGAAGCTGCTCCTGAGGCTGACTCCAGAGCTAACCACACATTCATGGACCTTTTGACTTCCTTTCTCCTCATGCATTATTCACCAAACTCTTCTTCAGCATTCAATTAGTGTCAAGTTTTCTATACCCAGTGGAGCCTGATCAGAACATTTGATCACTGTGATAGGAATGCATCACTCCAGTAATGTAGTCATCAACCAAATGTCAGGAGAAGGAGTTGATACTGTTAAATTGGCCGCAACTGTGAAAGCCCTGCATTGTTCAGGTCCTGTTGATTCAGGTGTAGGTGGTTTGGTACGCTCTACCATGATAAGATTCTTAGACCAGCTGAAGATGGTTGTCCGTATTGATCTCTGTGGGAGGAGGAATAATGTCATGTGGTCTTCTCACAGGTTGTGGAGGATGGATATGAGTTTTTTGCCAAACGCCAACTGGTCACACTTTTCTCTGCTCCAAACTACTGCGGGGAATTCGACAACGCAGGCGGCATGATGAGTGTCGACGAATCCCTCATGTGCTCTTTCCAGGTAGTGGGACAAATATTTACACATTCTCATCCTGATATCCTTTTGATAGTGACTCGAGAAGTGATCTACTGAATGCATTTATCCTCTCTGTGTCTGTTTTTGTCTCACAAATTAAAGATCCTAAAGCCCTCAGAGAAGAAGGCGAAGTACCAGTATGGCGGTGTAAATTCTGGTCGGCCTGTCACTCCACCCCGCACCACCCAAGCCCCAAAGAAGAGGTGAACGTACAGCCTCCCCTCTCCCCTTCTCTTCCTGTCCGTCCCCGGTCTGCTATCCTGGCAACCCCTGTAACTCCCATGTAAGGTGAAGATACAGGGCTTATCTAAATGCCCAAACCTCTCTCCCCCTCTTCTCCCTCTTCTCCCCCTTTCCTTCCCCAACTCCACTGACAGCTCTTTTCTTAATGTGTATGTGTACATAAATTTGCTGTGACCAATCTGTTTTTTTTTTTTCTTTGCCTGTTTGTTGGTATTTTTGATATTATTAACGGATGATTTGTGGTTTTACTTCCAAACATTTGAGGTTTTCTGAGTTTCTGTGTCGTGTAAGGAAAAAGCCCGCTCTGTGTAGAGGGGCACAGTGACTGAGTTAGAAGATTTCTTTTCCGGTCGAATAAAAAGACGTTAGAGATTGAACTTCTTTTTTTTTTTTTTGCCTTGACCTCTCAAAAAGTAGAGAGAAATCTTCCAGTGTATTCCAATGAGACTGAGGTTTCCGTGCAGTGTGAGAAAAAAAAACTTCTCTCATATTCTGGTTTAACAGTTGAAGTGCAATGCAGCATGTGCGATGAACTTTGTGTTGTGGTGCACTCTTGATGTATTTAACCATTTGGAAAAGTGCACCTCCCCATGAGAAGAAATGAATGTGAAGAGACCGGCGTGAATGAAACGTAGAGGCTAAAATCAGATGCTGCTGGCAGTGGACAAGCTCTACCCAAACACAACGCCCTCTGGGCATCGATACCCCCTTCTATGCCTCCCTGTGCCTCGACTCCACACCCACACAAACACACGCAGCTTCTCTCACAGGGCTGGTATTGACACTTTTCCTGGTTCCATTTATTATTTGATCTCATTAAGAGAAATTCAATCAGTAATCTTGATTTGTTTCGAGAGATGCAGATTTTATTTTTCCTGATCTTGCTCATGAAAAATTAAAACCATGCACATTATGGTGAGTAATTAACCTGCACACATACTGGATTCATGGTGTACTGAAATCCTAATAAAAGAACCATTTTCTAGTCTGTGGATAAATAGTAAAGAAAGGAAGAGATTGTCTTGTATAAGTGGTTGCAATTTTACCAGTGTCTAACTCATCTTAATCTATACAGTGTTTAAAGACCAATAATATACAAAGTGCAGGCTTTAAAGTGCTCCACAGTGTTTGAATACTTTAGTGCTGTGTTCATAGATGCACATCAAACTGAAATAACAAAGGAAGTATTGTCTTAAAAGTGTATTTAATAAAATGCCAGCTGCCCTTTTTTGTAAGGTACACACTAAGAAAGCTAATGGAGTCAGGAGAGGGTGGCAGGACTAGGCCGCTTTGCTATGTGATAGTGATGCCACCTGGTGTTTAAATACAAAAATGCAGAATTCACACCAGAGAGCTCGAGATGGGCTCTTCAAAACTCTGACCGAACAAAATGTTCCGTCATTACTCAAGGAGGTACATCAGTTTGACCGTGGGACTAACCAGCCTCTAGCCTGGTTGACGATGGCTCATTCAAGATGCAGTTGACCCTTTGTGGAAAACAGTTGCCTCTTTTTTTTCTTCTGCTTTTTGTGGTAATACTTCTTTCTGTTCTATTTCTTTGTTCTCTACTCACATTGTTTACTTTTTATTCACTTAATTTATTTCCTAACAATAATAACAAGAAAACATTGAGGTGTTACCAAAAGCTGTTTTGCAATTTGTACAAGTTTGTTGGAAAGTCTATACATTCAATAAAATGGATGGAAACCAACACTGTTGCCACTTCTCTTTACTCTCCTGATGCAGTCACAGTGATTGGTATCGCAGTTCTGTCATGAAACATTAAGTCACTATTTGTTCTACAAAACCCAATTCCATTGAAGTTGGGAAATTGTGATAAATGTGAATAAAAACAGAATACAATGATTTGCAAATCCTTTTCAACCAAGGATTTGTAAATCATTGTATTCTCTTTTTATTTACGTTTATCACAATTTCCAAACTTCAATGGAATTGGGTTTTGTACATGGACTTGCACTGGTTTCCCCTAGGGGTGTGTTCTCTCCCCTCTGCTCTTCTTGCTCTACACCAATGCTTGCAAATCAGGAGACCTGTCTGTCAGACTCCTAAAGTTTGCAGATGACAACACAGTCATCAGTCTAATCCAAGATGGTGGTGATGAGTCTGCATACAGACGGGAGGTGGATCAGCTGGTCCTCTGGTGCAGTCAGAACCACCTGGACAAGGCTGTGGAGATGACAGTGGACTCAAAGAGGAACTCTCCTGCACACACCCCTCTGACAATCCTCAACAGCAGTGGGGACCTGAGGTCGACCTCCCACGTAGACTCCATCAGAGTCAGAATCAGAATGCCCTTTATTGTCATTATATAGAAGGTACAACAAGATTGGAGAGCTTCTCCATTTTCAGTGCAACAGATACAAAAAAAAAAGAAAACAGAGACTGAATTAAAAGTACAAAAATAGTCAAAAAAAGAAAATAATAAAAAAAAAATTTGGTACAGACTATATACAAGATAAAATCCTCTAGTGCAGCGTAGACAGTGCAGGAAAGACCTAGCAGAGTTTATACTTCCTAACATTCACAGAGCCACAGGACAACCACTGAGCAATAACCCCTAAACTACACTGTGACTGTAAATAACTGTTTATCTATATAACCTTTATAACTCCCATCTATTACAACTCTTCCTCATATTCTAACTGCATACATCATCCTCTCATTAGTATATCACTATTGCACAACTGTCTTAACAGTACAGGATAAATCTCTAATGTAAGCTTTCACATATTCATGCAGTATTTCATGTTCAATGTTTGCACATAGAGAGCAAAGTCTATGTCCTTGTATGTGTGCACATACTTGACCAATAAAGATGATTCTAATTCTGAAAGGGTCGCTCTGATTGGCTGAATAGAGAGGTATGGAGTGTCAGAGGCACCTGTCAGGACAGAGTTATAGCATGGTTTGTAGTTTTTGTCAGGGGATACCATTGTAATTCCTTTTTTAAACGAACGGGGGCAACATGTTTTAAAATGTCCTGCACTACCTGACTGTTAATAACGAGTCAGCGCTTAAATATCAGCTCCCTATATACTGTGGATGGAGCACACTCACTGCTCATGCGCGGTGGGGTTACTTAGGCTTAGAGATCTGCGGCGTTTTGTGGGACGAGAGAAAGTCCCGCCCTACTCTGCTTTTGATTGGATCAACCAGAATTTCTTTCGCTCCAACAGTAACCAATCACACTACGCAGTCAAAGACAGACATGGTATCCAACCAATCACAGGCAGAGGAAGTCTGACTCCGGATACACGATTGGTCAGGTTTGTCGGTTAACGACAAAACTATTACCCACAAACCCTGTTATTCTTTGCAGCTGTGGACAAGTCCAGAGTCCATCCATGAAGGTAAAGTTGAAGCAGATAATGGTGTTAATTCGTTAACTATGTCTTTGCATCACTTTAGCCGTGCTGTTTGTCACATTTACAGCGTAATAAACACGTTTAGACCGAATGGCAGGACTTGTGTGGTGCAGTCATTCAAAATAACATGCAGTAGCTCAGCACTTCCTGTATGTGTGTGGAAGTAGCCTGTTAAAGGTTCTCCTTTTATTCCTTTACTTTGCTTTGTTGTAAGCTAAAGCTGGAATATATGGTAGAGAAATCTTTCTCTGGCTAGTTAACTGGCATGTTGTTTAAGTGTTTGTTAGTTGCAACCACATAGGAACACATTAATATCCCTTTTTTTCTCTCTCTTAATTTCCAGATAACACCAAAACCTGCTGAACCAGTTTCAATGGCATCCTATCCACCGAACACCTATCACCACCGGTGCAACAGGGAGACATCAAAACTGACCGACTGACTGAAGAATGGCAAGGTTCAGACGCAAATTCTGCATCACATTGATAGCTTTGGTGTTGCTCGTGCTGGTAATAACTGTGGTCTTAAAAGCGCTGACGCCTGAGGACTCTCCGTTCAGCAGCCTTGTTGGTGGTGAGCTGTTCCCAGAAAGAAAGAATGAGCTCCAGAGAGAAAGCGGTAAACCCTTCCAGACCAAAATGAATGACCCCCCTGAGTCAGACAAAGATGCACGCCTGGAGGCTACACTGAAAAGGCTTCCTCCTCCAAACTACTATCTCCATGCCTTCTACTATGTGTGGTATGGGAACCCCAAGTTTGATGGCAAATACATCCACTGGGATCATCCCCAGCTACCACACTGGGACACAAAAGTGGCTCAGAGGTATCCTCAGGGGAGGCACAGTCCACCTGACGACATTGGGGCCAATTTTTACCCCTCTTTAGGGGCCTACAGCTCCCGGGATCCTTCTGTTATGGAGGCTCACATGCAGCAGCTGCGTACAGCGGCCATTGGTAAGACAAAACTACATCTGAACTTGAGCTTTGAGATGGAAGAGTGATCACCACACTATCGCCAACGTTTTTTAACCAAACCATTTCATACTGAGATACTGCAACTGTAAAACTGAAACAATAGTGATAATATGGTTGCAATCAATTGATGCTTACTGATAAGACTAATTGACTGTTTGATTATAGTTTTTCTTCTTATAGTGACTTTCATCTAATTTTATCAGGCTGCTAACAAGAGGTAGCTTTTCTTGGCTTTAATTTAACTTCACAGTAAAAAAATGTGGTCCCTCTTTGCGAAATGTCACTGGAACATGTTTTCAAATCAACAAACTATTGTGATAAATTTTATGTTAAATACAAAATGCCTGTTTTTGACCCTCTTTACTGTTAAACCTCAGGTGTCGTTGCTGTTTCCTGGTACCCGCCAAACATGAAGGATGATAATGGTGAACCACTTGATGACTTAGTGCCTTTACTGATGGAAGTGGCACATAAATACCACATCAAGGTTTGTATGAGGATAGGGCTGGGCGATAAAACAAAAATGATATATATCACAAATTAATTTCCCTCCCATATTGATATGAAACATGGTCAATATGCTTTTCGATAGCTGGCATTCTGCCATGTTTTGGGTCGACTATTTGAATAGCCAATAAAAAAGAGGAGTTGCTACGAGTCTGCGCTGCGCTGAACCGACCATTCAGTCCACTTTCTGTAGCGCAACGCCTTACGACAAAACATGCTACCAATAAGCACTGTTAAATTTAATTTAAGAGTTACAGGGAACATTTGAGATTGACAAGTAATTATTTTATATCGTGATATATTTTGATATTGACTGATATGAAAAAAATATATCCTGGTAAACTTTTTCCCATATCGCTCGGCCCTATATGAGGATATAGTGAGTTTAACAACCTTTTCATTTGGTGGGGAAAAAAAATGGCAGTTTCTTTTAATTGATTGTGTCACTGTTCTGTTCAAAGGTCATTTTCCACATTGAACCATACAGTGGAAGAGATGAAGTCAACATGTTCACTAATGTCAAATACATCATTGATAAGTGAGTGTTGCTTTTTATTTTATTTTTTTAGCATTTTTAGTAAATTGAATCATCCTCTACTCTTTCATTCGTATCTGTATTTATCTGCCATTTTTACCTTTAAACACATCTTTATGATCTTGCTTTTGATTTTGACATTGTTAACATCCTCCTTTCAGATACGGGGAGCATCCAGCGTTCTTCAAGTACCGGACCAACAACGGTAAGCTGCTACCACTCTTCTATGTGTACGATTCGTATCTGATGAACGTGGAGCAGTGGGCCAAACTGCTCAAACACACAGAGAGCAACAGCATCAGAGACACCCCCTATGATTCCATCTTCATCGCTCTGCTGGTTGAGGAGAAACATAAGAGGGACATCCTAACTGCTGGTTTTGATGGTTTGTATACCTACTTTGCCACTAACGGGTTCTCCTACGGATCCACTCAGAGGAACTGGGACTCTATCAAAGCTTTCTGCGATGACAACAACTTGATATTCATCCCCAGCGTGGGTCCGGGGTACATAGACACAAGCATCCGACCCTGGAACTTCCAAAACACCCGAAACCGCATCAACGGCAAGTATTACGAAACCTCACTGAGTGCTGCGTTACAAGCCCGGCCTGATTTCATCTCAATAACGTCTTTTAACGAATGGCATGAAGGGACTCAGATTGAGATGGCGGTTCCTAAAACAAGCCAGACTGTGTACCTGGACTACCTGCCCAATAAACCTGCAATCTACCTGGAGATAACGCGCAAGTGGGCTGGAATATTTGGGGGTGAGCGTCGGAAATGGCAAGAATGATTTGAAAGCCATAAATGTTTTTATTTTTGACAGTACCAAACAAAGACAAGAGGACTAAATTAAGTCTGCACAGACAATGCAAATGAACAGTCGCTTAAGATTTGCAAAGCTGCAGGCAAGCGGACTGCAGTATCTCCACTTCTGATTCAGCGATTTATGTAATTTTCATTCCTTGTTAATGAATGACTGTACCTTTAACTTAAACTACATCTGATTTCTCTTCGTTTACACGGCACTGACCATTTTGGGATTTGTTACACAATCACTTTGTCTCTACTGTATACAGCTGAAACTGTGAATAGGCATGTTCAGCCACCCTGTAATCTGTGACTCTATTATACCTAGAGAGAAATTAATAAGATGCACTCTGTGAAGAAGGAAGGAAGGAAAGATGCAAATAAACAAAGCAGTCTGCTGGTGGAAAGCTGTCGCCCCACTCTGCTTCCAAGTCTGACACTGCCAGAAAACAGTGAAACAAAACACAACACAGATCTGATATTTCAAAGGCGCACACACCTCAAATCTGAGTTGAATCACAGCGCTGACAACAGTGGAGTGTTGTGCGAAACTTGAAATTTTAGAGTAGAGTAGTTTACATTCTCAGAAACGGTCTGATCTCATGGGGTCTGGTACATGCTGTCATAGTTGCAGGTTTCTGTCTGAATGTGTTTCTAATACATTAAATTATTTGTTTTGCTTCCTAGACTTGCAACTCCTCTGTCATTTATTTCATCTCAGTATGTGTCAGATGTTTTGTTGCAGTATGCCAGGTCTTCCCTGTAACATAGTATTGTGTAGATACGTAACTCTGAATCCTGTATACAGAATATTGTTCAGCATTTATGTGAAAAGTAGCAATACCCATCCCCATCAAACAGTCTACATCCCCATACCAGTGTATGGCTGCACTGATCAAAAGCCAGGTAGTCCCCCATCTCCCTTTTTCAGGCAATGCAGAGTCCATAATTTCCCATAAATCATGGACTCTGCATTGAAGTGGACACTTTTTCTCAGTGTATCTGTAACTGGCTCAGGCTCAGGGAAGTTATCGGCATTTCTTTTGCGATCCCATTTTTATTTATGTTATATGTATATTCAGTTTAAACACATGGGGTAGTAACAGGATGCAATCAAAAAAGTAAAGACAAACAGTGGAAAAATTCAAAAGCAAATACCAAGTACCGATAGAGAACCCCCCCCACACACACACACACACTACACACACACACACACACACACACACATGGACATATACACACAAAAGGGATAGCACAGCCTTGCAGCCTTGACCTACATTTTACAAGCATTATAAGTGATTTTGAACCCATGCTGTGATTTCCACTGCAGAGTCATGTCTGCTTTTAAATGAACAGTAGTTGATGAAGTACTCCAACTGTGTGCAATCTAACGCTCAGGAACAGAACTCTGATATTGACTTGAGAGACTTGGGCTACGTTCACACTGCAGGTTATGATGCACAATTCGGATTTTTTGTTAAATGTGTCACTTCACGGACACATTCCGTTTTCATTAGATGCCGCATTCGTTGTTGTAATGTGAACGACCGCACAAAAAGATCAGATTTAACAAAAAATCTGAATTGTGCATCATACCCTGCAGAGTAAACATAGCCTCTGAGATGTCCTTTTTACATCCATTCATGTTACCAACCTGCTGTAAATTCAGAATTACACAACTTTTTGTGTGTTTTGTTTTCCCTGTCCCAGCTATTTTGAATCCTAACATCATATATAAAATAAGAGTACAGTTTTACACAGTCACATTTTTTTTTGTTTCAACATTTAATTTGAGGACTTTGCACCATGTTCAAACAAACAAAAATAGTTTACATGATTTGCAGACTATAAAATTTGGCTTTTATCAACAGGAAATTGGGAATCAGTTTTATCAGCTTGACTGGCACTTCTTTCAAGTCCCCAAACTTAACGTTCCTCCTGTGTTAGCTTATACGCACCCACTATGTAAAGGGTCAGTTTTGACCCGTGTCTTAAATCAGCTGTAAATAACACTAAAAACATTTGTCTATCATCCAATTTGGTTCCCTATCTCTTGGTTACCTTGTAAGACTTCATTATTCATGAAAATACTACTTATAATAGTTTTTGTCAGTATACCCCTCATACAGACATCTTTACTGAATTGATCTCATATTTCTGGACATGCCTGAAGCTGTTTTTTGTGCCGCGAAAAACATGGCAAAACGAGAATTTCCTAAATCTCACATGATTGGAAGAGGATCTGACTGTCAGTGTGGTGCCTGAGAGTGCACTTATGATTTCAGTTTTTGCTCTGATCATAAGATATTAATCTAACCGGGTCAACAGCAACCCTAACACGACAAGTACCATCATTAGATAATTAGAGCATCTTAAAATCTAAAATCTTAAAATCTCATATTTTATTTTTATTTTGTTGTAATAGAGGCTCCTAACAAAGTCAAATAAAAAACTTATTTAACAAAAACAGGTAGATGTAGACCGTAACACAGGAGGAGGGTTAAATGATTTGCAGACCATAAAATTTTGCGTTAACAACAGGAATTTGGAAATCAATTTTATCAGCTTGACTGGCTCTTCTTCAAAGTCGCCCAACTTCACAAAAGTGCACAAACAAATGGCTGGTGCTTCCCTTTAAATGATTAATTAATGAGCTTACCATCATAACTGGAGTAATGGTGTTGTAATGGCCACATTTGGAGGCTCAAGTGCCTCTTTGAAGAATAATTAACCCACCTTACACACTGAGACATCAATGGTGGGTATGGCACAGATTGATTTATCATGAATTACTCAGCTGCTGTTGTGATACATAAACATCACTAGTGGCAGCATCAGTAAAGCCGCATACACTTTATGTTATTTCTCTCTTTGGTGTAAAGATCCAGGGGAAACCTTTTGGTCGCCTGTTTGTAAATGACTGAAGTGTTACATATACTCTAACGCTGAATCTCTGCACATCACACAAGACACACACACTCATACACTCCAATACACACACTGGAGCTTCGCCACAGCCTGCAGCTGCATTGACAGTAAACAGAGCAAGGTAGCGCATGGGCAGCCAGCAGGGAATTATTCCACATCGCATCACATCCCTGTGCATACATGGCGCCCTCACACACACAGCCATGAATTTAACGTGCAGGCTGACGGGGTAGCTGCACAGCTTTACATCCTTTCCTTTTTTTTCTTTCTTTTTTTTTTGCAGCCATCGTCTTTTGCGTCGGTGTGCATCACTGTGGGGAAGAATCAGCGCACATTGCTACAGTAGGTACCATCATTTTGTGGAGTCAAGACGATGGATGTGGCTTCATCTGGATTTTTCCCTGCGAAAATCGGCGGACGGGCGCGATTTTTCACTCCAAACGCATCCGCATCGTCTTCGCTCTGCGAAGTGTCTTTGAAAAGGAAAGCGACGGACCTCTGGAGGAAATGAGAAGAAAGGTCTATTTTGACTCACGCCTGTCGAGATGGTGAGTGAAATGCATGGCTATGTGTTTTTTTTCTTCCCCTGCAACCCAAGGATGGAGAGCTGCACCTGCTTTTTTCCTCCTCAGCTAATTAGAAAAATGTCACATTATCCATCAGCTGTTCCATTTACCAGCATATTTTACGCACACGAGGCGGTTAAGTGGCACATAAATGGGTTATCTCCTTGTAATTCAGTCTTATGGTTCTAAAAGTCGTGGTCGCATTGCATACACCGTTTATTTTCCATCCTCCTCCTCCACGCCAATATTTATATTCTTCGTGATTTGGTGCGCAAAAAAAGGGTGCTGTACGGCGACACGTTAAATACTCAAGCATGTCTCAAGTATTCCCATCAACCCCCTAACGCAGTGTGACGCCAAAAGACAACCATTTTAAACAGTGGCTCCTCTATACAGCACCACGCTTTAAAATGACCTTCAGTGCTCGGTGGCTGGAAATTGATCCTCACCTGGGATGGTGTCCTTTTTGCTATCACAGCTGTGGCCTTCCTCACAACATGCACATGAATCACAGTGTAAATACAGACAGAATGTCTTTTTTTTTCCTTGCAGCATTTGGGCGTTTTTCCATCACACTTGAACCCACCTGTCACCAAACCCACACCAGGGATTTGATGCATCTCAGTGACTGCTTCCACAGAAATCAGTGGCTGCATTTTCTTTTCTTTTTTTTTCTTCCCCCCTCTGCCTCTCTCCTCGCTGCAGACTACTCACCCATGCGGTGCTCTCACTGTGTCCCAAATACATCACAACGCATTTGACAAAACCCCAGCTATGCTATTAAAAAAACCTGTACAAGAGCTTCGGCTGCACATGCATCCTTCAAGTCTCATTTCTACAGAGTACAAATAGAAAAGATGAGAGGAAAGTATCATCCTCTCACGTTAAACACTCTGACCTCAGCACCATCACCATGGAGACACTATAACTTTACCACACACTGCATATTTAATAGGCCCGATTTTGATCTCTCTGCTGCCATAGCTACTCTTCAGCATCTGTGAATTTAAACTGAACATTTTACACCAATATGAAAAGTATGCACAGGATGCATCTTCTGTAAAGCACAGAGCTTATCGCTGCCGGCGACAGAAAACATGTTCCGGCGACGTAAGAGGATTTGCCAGCATGAAAATGTATTGATACAATAAGCCTTTGAAAGGAGTTGCACTCATCTGGCTCTGATTCATGTGGCCTTTGTGCGCAGGAGTGTGAACCAAAGTCACAGATGGGAGAGATGAAGGGGTGCTGTCTCACATAAGCCCCAAATTATCGACCATATGTTACGTTTGACATTTGAAAACTGTGTTAAAGCCGGTCTTTTTGATTCAAGAAATAACAAGTCACCTCTCAAGGTCTGTTTTTGCGTCTCAGACTGCTCGTGTGGCATCTTTATGCAACATGCAGGTGTGCTGAGCTTTAGGGAGCTGTTGAGTCAGGGGGCCTTAAGATGGCAGCATTCTCTTATAAAACATCACATGGAGCCTCACTAATAACAGCTGGATGCTTATATCCATGCTTAATTGGAAAATATGAAATACCATCTACCACTAACGGGCATTATTTGCAGTAACCTTGGTGTTTTCATTGTCTTTCAGCCCATTTATAAGATCTGTAGATGAAGATGAAGCCGATCTCTGCATGATGGTTGCCTATGACCCCCAAAAACGAGGCTGCATGTTTCCCCTGTGGTGATGCTCAGGATCTTGTCTTCTCTCGAATCCTAATTGATTGTCTCTGATTCTCTCTCTCTGCTCACGTAAAGGAGGCATCATTAAGGAGACCTTTACATTCCAGATCAACCACGCCTCATTAGATCATTGTTATTCTGCGTAAGAGCAAAGGCGCATCCCTTAGCTGTGACCTGCACACTGCTTTTGCTTATAAGCACTGAATCACAAAGAAGATTGATCCCTCCGTGGACTCGATGTAGGAACACCTCCCTCCGATTCCCACAGCCTCGACCCGTGCTTGGATTTCAGCATTCAGTCAAATCCAGAAGGTTGGTGTTATGATCAGTCTGAAATTGTTGTGAGTTGAATTGGCATCTCTGAAAGTCTTCTCCCTGATTACAGTGAGAGGGAGAACGATTTGTTCACATACAGATGCTCATAAGCTGTAATTGAGGCACAAATGATGTTCAGAGTCAGTGATTAAGTGTAATAGACATTGTAAATCCTTGAATGTTGAGCATGTCTCCATTCTAATTTCTTTTCCTTCCATCTGCTCTTCCAGGACAGAGTATGCCATCTGCACCTTTTCACAGAATTCTACGACCCCTTCTGCTCGGCACTTTCATCCTGGGATGCTTTGTGACTCTGTTTTTGATGTATTTTAAACCATCCACCAGCTGGTTATCTGGTCCTGTAGAGTCAACAGTATCCACAGACCGGGTCAAGAACCTCTTCTCCACCAGGAGTGATAAAAACGTGACCACCGTGCTCATCTGGCTCTGGCCGTTCGGACAAACCTATGACCTGGGAGTGTGCAGCTCTCTCTTCAACATCGAGGGCTGTTTCATCACAGCGGACAGGAACCTGTTCAACAAGTCTGATGGGGTCGTCATCCATCACCGGGACATCTGCACTGACCTGTCCAACCTGCCGCCGCTCCAGCGACCTTCTTTCCAGAAGTGGATATGGATGAACTTGGAGTCTCCATCGCACTCCTCCCAGCTGCCTGGGATCGAGAACTTGTTCAATCTGACTCTTAATTACCGTCAGGATGCTGACATTGAAGTGCCTTATGGGTCCATCGTAGCAGCGGAGGGCGAGGAGGACTTTGTTCCACCCAGCAAAAACAAGCTGATCTGCTGGATTGTGAGCAACTGGAACCAGGAACACGTGCGAGTGAAATACTACAATGAACTGTACAAACACATTGAGGTTCACGCGTATGGACAAGCCTTTGGGGAGTACATCTCTGACCAAGACTACTTTCCCACCATGGCCAGCTGTAAGTTCTACCTGGCCTTCGAAAACTCGATCCACAAGGACTACATAACAGAAAAACTGTACAACCCGCTCTCTGTGGGAACCGTGCCAGTGGTTCTTGGCCCACCCAGGCAGAACTACGAGAACTTTATCCAGGGAGACGCCTTCATCCACGTGGACGACTTCACCTCACCTAAGGAGCTGGCTGATTACCTGCTGCTCCTGGACAAGAACGAGGAAATGTACCTCAGGTACTTTGAGTGGCGACGGCACTTTAAAGTAAAGAAGGCCTATTTCTGGGCAGAGCACACATGCCTGGCTTGTGATTACCTGCGTAGGCACAAAGAATACAAGGCGCTCAGTAACCTTGACAAGTGGTACTGGGGCGGGTAGTGCTGTGAAGGGCTATGCAGTGCTTGTTTTGTTAAAGAGGGCAGCGCTTTATGAGTTTTGTCCTTCGGTTAACATGGAGGTTCATTACTGTTCTGTCCTAAGCTCCTGAATCATCTTTTCATTTAGTCTATTTGGTTCAAAGGCCCAGTGAGACATCCATCCTATCTTTTTATTTGCAAGCCAATTTTGCTAAGCCTTATTTTGCCTTCTATTATTCACGTTTTATTTAAATGGATTACAAATGCACTACATTTTTTACTTTTATTTGAACCCTTATTTTGCTCAAAATGCCCACATTTGCTGCTATTTTTTATTTATGTCTTGTTCTGTTGTTTTTTTTTATATGAATGGCTGAAGGGTTGGAGTTTGTATGGATATTCCTGTTTAACAGATATCATTCATGGTGCAGGGTTTTTTTTTCTTCGTAAATATCACCTTCTCATTAAGTGGCACACAGCAGACATGGGCGTATTGTTAGCAGCAGTAGGAGACTGGCATAAAAAGAGAAAATATTTATGTAATATTTATTAAAGTGAGGCATTATATGACAAAAAAAAAACAATCTCATCTGTGCTAGTGATGCAGTCACCTATGCAGTGTTTACTGAACTCAAATGTGAAAGTAGTTCAGCTGTGTCATGTACATATGGTGTATTTTTGCAGATATGCATCCATCATTTTTCTGTATTTCTCCAAGTTTGCATTCGAATTGAAATGTTTTGACCTACTGTAGGTACAGAAAGGCAAACAGCCATTACACGACGTGGCTGTACATGGCGTACGGTGATCATTACCAACGTATTTCCAGACAGCAGATGTGGCACTGCTCCGTGAGAGGGAGGTTTCTATTTTAATCAGATTGTGAATTGTTCATTGTCAAATGTAATGTGCCACAGAGCAGTCGGATCCCATGTGGATGATGATAATACAGCACAGAACCATTGTACTGCAATATGAAACTCCCACACAACACAGTATGTTGCCGAATGATTTTATCTACAGAAGTCTGTAATTTAGAGTCGAATACAGTGATGGGAAAGAGCACAAAATGATCACCGTCCTCATACCTGTGATTAAGCTATCTTACTGTGTGTACTGTACTGTCATCCCACAATGTGACCTTAGGTATTTACACTGATGTTTTCTTTTTTCAGCGATTTCAAGCATGTGTATTTTGGATCTGCCCAAATGTTTGGGACCCGTTGAGAAAAATGTGAAAGATGTGACTGCAAGATCATCCATATTTCTGTTTTGAATCATCACTCCGCAGTGTTGTTCTGGGAGTAAGAGACTGCATGTGAAAAGTGTTTTTCTGTTTACACTCCTGTTTACAGTTTTGTGGCTCGCCAGCCAACCTACACCACTCAAGATCACACGTCTCAGCATCTGTAGATATACCACACTGCTTTTAAATATTGTCAGAACAGCCAATCCACAAACAATGCATCCTAACAGCACTCAGCAGCTATGACATGATGATTACGTCTTTACAGAAATTAACTGCGCAAAACTATGTCAACATTTTATGCAAGATGAGCCGGCGTATTCTTGGTCAATTACTCAAACATATTTCAGGTTATTATTATTTTGATATGTCTTCACTTTAAAGGGACCATTGATGTAAATTAGGATGAATCCACTTATTTTTCTTACTGAATATGGTCCCAAATGCCATATTGAAAAACTGTAAATAAACCTTGTAGTGAACTGAACCATCACCTGGATCAAACCAGCCCGCTAACACAGATCATTCCTGTTTATTCACAAGACTGAGAGAGCTCCTGCAGTGTTCGCATCAACGAGAAAAGAAACAATGTGTTGTATATATTTTTAATGTTCGAATCTCTTTATAACATGCAAGTGTTGTCAGGCAGTGAATGTGACTTCGCTGCATCTTTATAAATAATGTTGGTGCTTCAAAAGGCTGTGAATCAAGGCAAAAGTAGAGGCAGACTTGAAAAGGGTTAGCGTCAGAGACAATGGTTTTAGTGCTGGGAGGTGGATGGTTTCATCGAGTCAGGCTCTTTTACACTGATGTTTTTTGTTTCCTCGAGTGGGCGGTTATCTCCTTGGCATGACTGAAACAGTCGTGCCAAAATGCAGCAGAGATTTATATCTTTTATTGATGTGGAGTTTTGTGACTCACTGTGCTGATGCCTGTCTTAGATGGAGATGTTGTGAATTCAGAAACTGTCAACTGAGGTCTCGGCTGCCCCACTTATTACTTATGAAACTGCCACTCATGGTTTCATATTGTACAGTCCAATCTCATGTATGAAAACAAAGGTTTCTTGTCCATTGTGGTTGGTGACTTTAAGGAACAAAAGATTTGATTTTTCTGTGTCGTCCGTCTCTTTCATCTTCCCTCTCTCTATTTTTGCACAAAAACAAACGTGAGGAGCCTTGTCTTCTCTCAACCCCATCTGAGTATGTCACAGCACCAGAGAGTGAATCAGGATGTCTCTGAAAACTGTCTGACCTGGCTCGTAGTTTGCTGGAGTTGTTTAAACACTGAATTATCAAGTGGGATGAAATCTTTGTGTGTGATCGTACATGAAGATTTCACCAGCGATGCTCATTTTCTGCCAGTTCACTGATATGATCAGTGAGTCAATCAGTACAAGTTTTTTGCCAAATCATTGTATTTTGCCAAATGTTGTGTTTTAACTGTAGATGTCTGATAGTGTCAAAGAAAATAAAGATATTGTTAATGACCAAAACTGAGTAAGGCATACAGAGCTTTTTTTTTTTTTTGTAAGGTAAATGCCGCATGTACTTCCATCCTCCTCCTTGTAAAAAGCGAAGCCAAAACACCCTTCAAAGGGCTGAGGATTTGTGCTGGTGATGTGATTCGGGGCAAAGGCGTGCTCAAAGTGATAATGGAGAGGTCAATAACGCTCATGTGAAAGTTCAACACAGTTTCTTCTCTACTCTGCTCGTCTGGTAAAAATTGCTGCAGAAGCCCTAATTCATCTACAGAGCTGTCAATCATCACATTTGGTCTACTTGATTTATTCTCAAACAACAAGAATAGGATAACTTATTCATGTTTTAGGATAAAAATGTAGCAACAATCAAAAACTAGTTTTAGTTTTTTGTTGTTATTACTTCCATTTGTTCTTGTTTTTTGTATGTAACATTATTTAATTAGGTCTAAGTTAACTTTTTACAATTATCTATGCATGATGAGTGTACTAATTCTTTTATGTTTGCTGTGCTGATCTTTTGCTGCTGTTAACACCGCAAATTTCCCCACTGTGGGATGAATAACGGTTTATCTTATCTTAAGCTAGCTAGATGGACACAGAGAGTTTAAACAAGACACTGAGCACTTGATTACATGAAAAAAGATCAATTTATTGCTGCAGTCTGACTAAAATTGAACTTGAAAAATCCCACTATTTAAATTGAACTTCTCATTGTCATACCTAGATACTGCGGTTAGGGATTGGTTTTATCCCACTGAGCATTTTTTGGTCTAAAAAAGTTCTAATAGACGTCTAAATGTGGCCTAGATGACTGGTCTAAAATCAGACTACCACAGGTCTAAAAATGAATGTTTCTTAGACATCTAAATTTAGACAAAGTTTAGACTAAATCTAAATCTGGGCTATATCTATACTACACTGTATATTGCTCAACGGCTATCAAAATTACTTTGGTTAAGTTCTTGGAGATCAGTTATGCAACTCACAGTTGCTTTTTGAAATAAATAGTTATCGAATAATGGGTTAAAAAATATGTAGATCTAAAAATATACAGAATCTAGACGGTTGAAATTAGGTCTAAAGCAAAAAAAACTACGTCTAATAAACATCTATTGCCCAGTGAGATGCTGCTGAATCAGACTGAAAGTGGCCTCATCGTTCTGTGAATGCTCCAGTGTTCGGACGCTGGGATTTTGAGTCAGATGTGGAGTAGCATAAATGCATCGCAAGGAATCTGAGCGCTAAACAAAATGAAGACAGAACATGAAAAAGGTGCAACTTTCCAATCAAACAAACAAATGGTGTAGAGCTGGAAAAGTGTTGTTTTTATCTTATCATTCGACATACATCTCGTTAGCCTCTTGCTCACGTTTTGTCGATTGATTTGGTTCGTAAAAGGTCTACCCAGAGACGGGTCGATACAAACAAGCAAAGTGGGCATGTTGCTATCTATCTACCACAGCAGAGACCGACATGCTTCTGTCAATCATTCGATTGTTGCAGGGTGTATGTAAGTTAGGATAAAGACAGTCCTCTAGTTAAATGACTGCAGCTTGACTCAACTGTGCATGTAAACATACTGAGAGGAAAAGCCAGTTCTGTCATTAGTCTTTGTTTTTGAACTAACAAAGGAAACAGCCAGCTTGACAGTGGTATCAATCCTCTCAAAGTTCTCAGCAGCTGGAGTTATTTTAAGTCCCACTCCGATCATTTTTTTGACTACTGAAAGTGTTCTCAGTGGTCTTTAAATTGTGATTATGAAGTTTTAACCAAAAATCGCTTTACCTGCGTCATTTTCAAGGGCTTTTCTTCTGCAGAGCTTCAGTAGCTGTCTCATGGGCGGAGACAGCGCTGCTCTGCACACTCCTCTTCACGTTAGCTTGCAGCCAAACATTGCCGATGTACTAGAAGTGGCAGGTAACATAGGAGCTATTCAACTCTTGGATTGGTTACACATGAAATCTCACTGTTTCTGAACCTGCTGTTTGGGTCTGCCAGAGATTCACAGAGATCTGGATGAAGAAATGTTCAGAAAAGCAATTTCGCATTTGGTTTTCTGATGATATGTCCTGTAGCATCAGAAAAATGCCATATGAACAAATAAAAAACAAGAAAAACATGTTTTTCATCGAAGTGGGTCTTCAAGAGCCTTTACTGTGGTCTCAAACTCATGTAACTGTTGAAGTGTCTCATGGTTAAATTTGTTCTCATGCAGCGTTTTACATAAACCATCTTCAAGCATCTTAATCAAAGATGTCTTCCAAAGGTGCAGCCCACACTGATCTCTAGCACTATGTAATAGAGGCCGGAATATAAATAGCTATTCAAAAGCCTTGATAAGTGATTAATGAGAGCGTGAAGACTGTGTTGTGTTAGTTACGCCTCAATCCTCCGGCTGTTGTTGGTTACCCCATATCCTCACTAGCACTCTGGTATTTGGAGTCGCCTCCTTCGCCGCACAGAGATGACACATCTTTGTCCACTGCCTCTGCTTAACACCGTGGGTCAAAGTGTGTGATAAATGTGCGTGTGCGCAGGATCGGTGGCACAAGTAATCCAGCGATGTCAGTTGGGGATTAATGTGAAAGTTCAGGTGGCGGGAGGATTTTCCCTTTGGTTTTCAGGAGAGTGACAGAAGAGTATGTGAACCTCTGCAGTTGATTTTACACTACAAATAAATACAGCACAGAGCTCAGTAGACTGATAGAAGATGAAGGGATATTCCCCCTCAAGAGATGAATGTTGCCGACTGCTTGCTTCTCTAGTCATACCAACTTTAGTAACGACCGCAAAACGCCACTCTATAGCCACGAATAATGCTCAGAACAGCACTTAACTTCATCAACAGCACTAGCCACCAAACATCTTTTTAACTTTGCCTGATTTCTTTAGCAAAGAGACTAAACACAACTCACCTACTCTCTTCCAGCAGCTGCTTGTTTGTAGCGAGACCTCAGGCGAGTCCATCGACTGCAGCGGGGTGACGCAGCTCAAGGAAGTAATTGAAGTAATAATCACCATATTAATAATTTTGCAGTGCAGACGCAGTAATTCTTCTGCCTCAGTGTCTCGGTCTGATTGCATTTCCATGAGGTAATAATCATAAATGTTCTTCCTTGAGCTGCGACACCCCGCTGCAGTCGATGGACTCGCCTGAGGTCTCTGTACAAACAAGCGGCTGCTGGAAGAGAGTGGGTGAGTTGTGTTTAGTCTCTTTTCTAAAGAAATTAGGCAAAGCTAAAAAGACAGTACTAGCCACCAAAGCTAAAGTTTGGTGGCTAGTACTGTTGATGAAGTTAGGTGCTGTTCTGAGCATTATTCGTGGCTATAGAGTGGCGTTTTGGTTGAGGTTTGTTTATAGCTCCTCAGACTGCTGTGTATCGCTATCCTGCGGTCTGTATTACAAGCAAGCTGTCGGCAACATTCATCTCTCCAGGGGAAGAGGGGAAATTAATTCTATGCCAGAATATCCCTTTAAGCTATCTTCACACAGCTGAAATTGTTGATTTTTGAGAGGAACATGTTATGTAGAAGAAGTCGTTTGTAAAGTGGTTAAAAAAGTGAGAATTAAAGTGAGTTAATTTAGGATTTACATTCATCAAACTGCCCAAAGCACAACTCAAAATAGACACTGGCTTTAATACAGACCCACGCACTATTTACATTTCACTGCGGCTTGTTTGTTTGTGCAGCTCTCTTTGTTTAATTCTTGTGTAATAGGAAGATTTCCAGGATTGAGGCGATCTCTGGGAAAAGTGTTTCTGCATGTTGGAGTTTAGAGGACCTCTTCTTCTCTGGTTCTCAGGCAGACTGTCGGAGGTATGTTTGTTTGGCCTGGCATAGACTGACTGAATTCAGAGTTATATTTTTTTGGGAAATAAGCTGTTGTGTTTTTTTTTTTTTACTCTGATTTGCTGCTGCTGCTTGTCTACGCAGTTAGTCCAAATAGCACCAAATCTGCAGGGCTAGGAAAGGCCGAGGGATCGTTTAGGAGAACATTTTAATGGGTTGTGCATTCCTTAGAGTAGACAACTTTCACTCCTCCTTAGTGGCGGGGATCATATGTCCGACTCTTTCACAGGCCTTGTCACCCGCTCATGGCATGACTCATTCTGGTGACGCGGGTGCTCCCAAGTTCTCCCAAAAGGGGTGTAAGGTTTTTGTGAGATAGTAGACATAGTTGATTGTATCTCCTCGCCCCCTGCCAACCCCCTATGTGGCTATCCAGTTTAGTCCGAAACGCTGTGTTGAAAGCAAGCTTTCCAAGTCGCAGAAGAGTGCTGAGGCCTGCTCAAAGATCCAGATTTGTGAGAGACCTCTCATTAACAACTGGACCTGCCCCTCATCTCAGCCTAATGGATCCCACTTATGCTGTCATCGCCATGCCAACCAGCTGTCAACTCCAGTGCATCGAGGCTTTTGTGCTTCAACCGCGTCTCGCTGATGTGTCCCAGTCTGCAACCAGTCTCCACCTCAAAGTAAAAGCCTCTCTTCTTTTGTGAGATCATTTTATTGGGAGGGGTAGGGGGGGGGGGACAGCCACTGACACCTTATTGTAAAGACTGAATACATTAAGATAAGGGGACACCTGAGTCCAGCTCAAATAAAAGGCCTTTTTATAAGAGCGAGACAGGCCACGGAAGAAATCTGTTGGCAGCTGACTTCAGACGATTAAGCAGGCAAAAAAGGAAAACCCAAGATCAGCAAGCTTTTTGCTCCGCAGAGCAAAAAGTCAATAATCCACAAGACAAAGACCGGCACCTGTTATCTATCAGACAATCAGGGCGGTTATGACGTAGCAGCCTTGCACGATACAGATTAACACTCACAATATAAACACAATATATGATAATCTCTGCTTTGAAATCCTGTGACACGCAATTTCCTTCTTTCATGACTTTCAAATGAATATACTCGAGGAGAGGAGAGTTTTTGTTTGCCGGTGAATTTAGGTCATCTTCACGCTGACTAAGTCACATAACGACGGACATACTATTCAGTAACCAAGATTAGAAGCTTTTCTGAGACGATGACTGTATTTGCCTCCCAGTTGCTTCTGGGTTCAAGGTTTTTAAGGTGTGACTGGCTTTGTGTTTTACAGTCACTGATCTGGACATCAGCAGGGAGCAAGGATACAAAACAATGCAGTGGTAATCTAATCCGAGCAGCAGATGACTCTGAGTAATCCGATGGATCCACCTACTTAAAAATAGGAAAAACCTGAAGAGTAGCACGACTAGAAAATCACCAATGTTTCCCACACCTTAAATCCAGACATGACGGGGTTATGTTGTAACTGAGACTTACATAAGACGCAACGTGTAGGTCAAAAATAACATAATCTTACATTGTTCCTCTGAGGTTTGTTGATACCTCCTACATACAAACACAATCCATGTTCCTCCATCATTGGCTGGTCCTAAAACAGAGTACATCTTGTCTATTTACAAGAGAGTAATGATACACAAATCTCTCTACAAGGAGTGGTGCTGAAGAGGAGGGGACGCAGAGAGGGGACGAGAGTTCATGGAGGCAGAATCGCATTCCTGTCAGCCTCATCCCTGCCGCTGACCTTCCTGTGTGTGTGTACCGGGGATTAGGCCTGTGGGCTGGGCTGGTGGTCTTCTCTGGCTATTTTTACAGAGATGCCCGCCCCCCTTGATCCTTTTGGTAAACTGATATGAGCACATGTTCAAATGTAATTAATTGACCGTCAGTGAAAGATGAATAACAGCAGAGGTGTTTTTTTTTTCTCAATTAGGTAGAGAGAGAGGGGATTTGAACCGTTAAGACATTCATGAAGATCAAAAAACACCCATGGATATCACTTCAATTAAAAGGCCACCTTTTGCACTTTTATGCCTTGAAAATCCTGGAAATGAACAGTTGTCATGTACTCTAGCTCTTTTTAAGACCTGCTAACTGGCGTCCATAACGATACGATAAGATATGATACGATACGTTACCATACAATACGATACCATACCATACGATACCATACCATACAATACGATCCAATACAATAAATTACCATACCATACAATGCAATATGATACGATACCATACAATATGATACCATATGATATCATACAATACGATACGACACAATACGATACAATACGATACCATTCAATACGATATTATATGATACAATACAAAACGATACAATATGATACCATACCATGCAATACAATACGATACAATACCATACGATAATATATGATACCATACCAAACGATACCATATGATATCACACAATACGATACAATGTGATATGATACAATGCAATAAAATACCATACAATACAACATGATATAGGATGCACTGCATGGATACTATACCATACAATACGATCCAATACAATATGTTACCATACCATACAATGCAATATGATACGATACCATACAATATGATACCGTATGATATCATACAATACGATACGATACAATATGATACGATACAATACGATAGGATACCATACAATACGATACCATACAATACGATACAAGATGATACCATACCATGCAATACAATACAATACAATACCATTCGATACTATATGATACCATACCAAACGATACCATATAATATCATACAATACGATACAATACGATGTGGTATGATACAATGCAATAAAACACCATACAATACAACATGATATAGAGATGCACTGCATGGGTGCTATAAATATAAAAGCTGTTTCAACAATCTATGCTTCTACTCAAAGAAGTGATATGAAACAGTAGTATTACATAGGTATGCATGGTATTGCTGAAATCCAATCTGCAGATAGTTTCAAACTCATCTTGGTCGATAGTGACAGTGATACCAATTCAAGAACATTATTAGCCTGCAGAAGCTCACATCTTCCACCACCCACTGAAGGCTGGTTATTGAAAACCCACTGATTTCTTTACCTAACGTTAGCAGGATACTTCAAGTGTGTTTTAATGAGCTTATAAGAGGGCTGCTTTCAGCTGAACTGTCACCATCAAACTACCATTCCTCCTCCTCCTCCTGCTTTATTTTGCGGTGGATGTCTTGCACATCCACAGGCTCACAGCTTCCCCTTTCTGAAGTGCTGCCAAGGCGTTCTCGATATCTACCGAGAGGTCCTGGCATTATAGTACAGTACCTGGCAGCCACAAAGCTGCTGGCAACTACCTCTCTCATAAGCCATCTGCAACTGCTTGTGTGTGTAGCAGGCACTGACAAAGGCCACGAGTGTGTCCAGGAACGTCAGAGCATCCAAATAGCTCACTATGTGTGCTGGGATACTGATACCAAGCTACACTTAAGGGCGGAAAAATAAACAATTTTAATCTTTCCACTCTCAGATCTCATCAGTGGTGTGTGTTTACATGATATTGATCAAAAGTATGGCTGTTGGCACTGTTTGTTATTGAGGCATTACAGAACAATAATCATCTTATGAGTCCTAAAACTACTCTTCTTTTTGTTTTTATGTCTCCCCACGATAAGATTATTACAATTAAACCATTTCTGAGGCTCAAAGATCTCTGCACCATCAGCTCCCTTAAAAGGTGTAGTATGATGCACTCGAGCATGGCCATTCTCCCTGGAGATTATCACTAATAAGAGGGCCAGTATTTATAGAAGATCCCCCCTCAGTGGATACCCCTAATCCTGCCTCACCCCTTTTCATCCCTGCCCCATCCCTGAGCCAGGACCGCTCGCTCTCTACAGATTCAGCCCCCAGTTCAGCCTCTCAACTTGACAGCTGAGGTAGACTCTACTTACAGAAAGCTCTTCTTCTTTCAGATTCCTCTGAAAAGGGGGAAAAATTTGTTTGGCAAAGATTTCTTGGACTATTCAAGGCTATTTTCCATCATTCCTACAGTTCTTGATTGTCCAATTTTCCTCCTCCTGCTCTGTTTGACCCGCAGCTAAGAAAAGCAAACAATAATGTCAACCAGCGAGCGTTTCGACTGCCATTACTGCAAAGACTCCCTGTTGGGGAAGAAGTACATCATGAAAGAAGACACGCAGTACTGCACTAAGTGCTATGAGAACCTGTTCGCCAACTGCTGCGAGGGCTGCTCTTTGGCAATTGGATGCAACAGCAAGGTAAGGAAGCCCCATTTTTACCCTTAAAATATACATATCATGTTAGTAATGTGTCAAGTAAGATTGTAAAGTAAAGTGAGAGTTTAACTGTTAAAGATTACCTGTTACTTCAAGTGTGGCTGTAACATTTTAGGTCTTTTACACTTATAACAAATCAAAAAGTTTGATCAATGCTGTGTTGAACATCTATAGGACCTGTCCTACAAGGATCGTCATTGGCACGACCAGTGTTTCAAGTGCGCTAAGTGCAGCCGCTCTCTGGTGGAAAAGGCCTTTGCAGCCAAGGATGATCTGTTGCTCTGCACCGAATGCTATGCTAATGATTATTCATCTAAGTGTGCCACCTGCAAGAAGACCGTCATGCCAGGTATAATTGATGACAACAATAACCATGTATAGGCTTTGACCATCTGAGCTAAAATATATATCACAGCCACATTTGTCTTCCAGACATTACATCTAAAAAGAAAACAGTTTTTTTTAAATGTACCAGAAATAAGACAGATTTTTGGATGTGCATTTTCAAGCCAACACTGACCAGATGTTATTCGGGTTCTTAGAGAAGAAGAAATTTGAAGATATGATGTGACTGAACATGGATGAACTCCAGTAAAACAGTCAAAATCTCAGCTTTTGTGCTTGGCATAAAAGTAGACAGTATTGTCTTGTGATATGTTAGGAAATAAACTTATTTGGTACTTCGTTTTTCTTTTTTTTAAATGAACCTATTTAAATCCTTGGACTTCACAATCAGCAGTAGTTAGCCCAGCCTGGGACAACAAGCACAGACAGATGAAACCAGCTCGCTTGGCTGTGACATAAAGTTATGATAAAATCTGCTTATAGGAACTCTAAAATTCAGAATTTATAATCTACATTCTGCTTTTTTGTATTGAACAGGCTGTCATGTTAGAAATGCTAAAAAGTCAAACCTTGTTTTTAACTAATTTATGAACGACAAGCTCATCTAAGGCAACTTGACAAACTATGTTTGGTTGTTGATTACACTTCTTACACAAATGGTTATAGTAGTTTCTCACATTTTTTAGAGCTATAATCATTTATAGTTGATATATAGATGTTTATTTGTTGCCCTTTTTTGTCCTTTTGGGTACACCATAGTTAAGCTATACTGCAGTGACTCCTCTGATGGGAATTATTTGCATTTTTGCATGGATCACTTCTCTTTCAAAACTCTCATCTGGATTAGTGGACAAATCAAAAGTACTGCAACGAGTTTTTGAGCCTCTAAGCATGGGGCGCTTAGGCTATCAGCACCCCCAATAAGAAGTTCTCACATTATGCAACCATTGAGTTACTCCTCTGGAGCTTTTAATCACACCAAAGGATTTCCTCCATCCTCAGATCTAGCTGGTCTGGTTGTCATGGAGATATCATTCTGGGCGCTCCGATACCTCTGTGTGTTTGGTTCAAGGTCTCTATGATATAGAAGTTTAGTTTCAACATTTGGTGCATCTGCCGAGTGCAGCTTTGTAACACAATACAAAGTCAGCTCAATGAACCCTATGACAAAATGAAAACTTTGTCTGGTACAACTGTGTAAAGACAAGGTAAGTCTTAAATAATGTACTGTATGTGAAATAATACTAAATTATAAACGTTAAAATGTACACATTTAAAAGAGCAGACAACAGTGCAGCTTTATCTTCTCTCAATTTTCTTTCCTAGATGATTAAGACTGCTTAGTCCTCTCCCTACAGATCAGCCAGGACTATTTTAGGCTGCAGTGTGTTTCTGTCATAGAGGTACCATATGCTGACTAAGCTGCTCTCCTCCCTCTGTGCCAGGTTCCCGCAAAATGGAATACAAGGGGAACAGCTGGCATGAGACCTGCTTCCTGTGCCACCGCTGCCAGCAGCCAATAGGAACCAAGTCCTTCATCCCTAAAGACACTGGCTACTTCTGTGTGCCCTGCTTTGAGAAGCAGTTTGCCTACCAGTGCTGCGCTTGTAAGAAGGTACAGTTAATGCCAAGTGCTGTTTTTCAAATGCTACAGCACAGTCAATCCCCCTGACTCTAACACTTTAATCTACTTGTGCATAAAAATATAAAGAACGCACTGTGTGGTTTCTTTGTGGTACCATCAGGCTATCACAACAGGTGGAGTGACCTACCAAGACAAGCCCTGGCACCGTGAGTGTTTCCTTTGCATCGGCTGCAGAAAGCAGCTGTCAGGTCAGCGCTTTACCTCCAGGGAGGACTACCCATACTGCCTTGAGTGCTTCAGCAACCTGTACGCAAAGAAGTGTGTGGGCTGCACCAAGGCGATCACAAGTGAGTCACGATTCCATGCACCCTGATCCACATAAGGTGAGGATCCTCCATCATGCAGCGTTTTATATCAAAGCATGGGTCTCTGTTTGGTGTGTGCAGGTCTGGCAGGAGCCAAATACATCTCTTTTGAGGAGCGCCAGTGGCACAGCGAGTGCTTCACCTGCATGCAGTGCTCCGTGTCTCTGGTGGGACGCGGCTTTCTCACCCAGCGCGACAACATCTTGTGCACCGACTGCGGCAGGGAGAAGTGATCTTTCCACGGAGGAGGTCACAGTGACACCAGGAGGCTCTTACTCTTACAAAGATATGCATTACTCAGTCACATTTCGACACAGCATGCCTGCTACATAGAGAAACCCTGAATGTAAAGTGCTTCTTGTTTTTTAAAAAGGAACTTCAGTGTGAACATATTGCACACACTCACATGAAACAGATATGTTTCATTAAGATACACAAGCTGAACCAAATTTTCCTGCTTTCTAACGCATGTTTACTTGCTTATTTGAATGTAATATCCACATTTTTCCACCTTATATGCTTTCATTCCTTACAAGAAATAATATTAGGAACATGTTAAGGCTCGGGTGGGTTATTTTTTTTTTTGTTGGCTGACAGAAAACTGTTATTTGTTTCATGAAAGTGCTCATAGATTTTGTCACTTTAAAGCAAAATCCCAGTTTTGTCTTCCACTGTCATTATTTGTCTCTCATGACACTAAACTGAATATTTGGGGATTTACTGACTGTTATACAGATAACGTTTTGGACATGAGGAAACTATTAGTCTGAGTGGCATTAGTAGTTTCGCCCTTTTCTGGTATTTTATGGACAAATACTTTTGTGAATGAATAAAGAAAATAATCAGCAGTTTAATTGTTGATTTAAAAAGGTTTCGTGCAGCTCTGGTTTCTCACGTTTCTGCACATCCAACATGCTACCATACATACCAACAACAGGCTTTCTAGGCATATCGTGTTTATATAGATAATCTTTTGCATTTGCTCTAATGTTGCCATCCAGAGGAGGAGTCTGCAAACGTCAGCTCAACAAAAATAGCTGATGTTAGGTTTGAAATCCAGATCTTTATGAGATCGTATTGTCCCTTCTCAGTCACCCTTTGGACAATTATTGCTGTAAAACAAACCTCTCTGTGCCTCTGTTGCCTCCTGACCTGGTCGCACCCTGCTCATTCACATTGTAAACAAACCGAGAGCGACCATATATGGTTTGATCAGCAGATCACTTGTTCTTCTACTTGTCAATTATCCACCGACCAAAATCCACAACTTTGGTTCATGCACAAGCCGAGAAAACAGACGGACGTAACTGCGGGCACCTCAAAATATCTGTTCTCCTCACCAAATCTATTGTTACGACACTAGTAAAAGTTTTTTTGTTGTTTTTTTTTTCTCAAGGGAGGGCTGCTGGATGAGTTGTGTAAGTGTCCTCACATGGCAGGATGAGCAGTGAAAATGCTGACATAGGTTTCCTGTCACATGGGAGGTAACGCTGGTTCTCACTTCATAAACTTGTGCAGGAATCAGAGAGGAAGGGGGAGCAGCAGAGAGGTAGGGATATATCTTATCTTGCATATTTTATAGAGGATCTTTTGCTTTTTACGATTAAATATTTTACCTTAATTTCCTGCAATGGCTTTTAGAGCATTTACACAAACGAAGGTTTATGAAAAGCAAGCAGCCCCAAAGGAAAAGGACAAAAGCAGCATCCAGTGTATTGAATGCTTTGACAGAAATGTGTACATAGGGACTAAAGATGCAACAGTCCAGCATCTCATCCTCCAAAGTAACGCGAATAGAGAGCAGATATTAACCAGAGAAGGTAAGGTGAGGAAACTCGGCTCAAGCAACCAGGTCGTCCAGCTGCGGGCGATCCCACTTCTCAACCATCTGCTGGTTCTGTGGGACCGAAGCGTCACGGCCCTCAACATGTTCTCCTTAGAGCCGGTTCCTGCTCTCAAGAAGATCCAGTACGTGTCTTTGTTTGAAGTGAGAAACGTCTCCCTAGCACCAGAGGAAACTTCTGTGGAGATGGTCACTTCCTCCAGCCGCAGAAAGGTGATCCGGATCCATGTGGTGGGCGTCGACAAGTGGGAGATTATAAAGGAAGTCCCTCTCCTGCAGGAACCGGTGGCGTTGGCGGTTGATGGTGATAATCTGTGTATAGGAACAAGCGACAGGTATCTACTCTGCGATGTGACAACTGGGAGGAGTCAGGAGCTTTTCCGTCACGCTCACAGCAAACAGCGCGTCTTTGTTGCACCAGCCGGACGAGGGGAATACCTCCTGAATGGGCCTGAATCTTTAGGTGAGTGCTCCAAGAAGTTAATCCGTATTTTCTATGCAGGCTGTCAAGAAGAAGAAGAAGAAGTCTCATTGTGTCACTTTCTTCCAAACCATCTTGTTTCAGTCCCACATTTATCAATCTAGCCAAAGGATATTTGCTCAGACAATCTATCATGTCTCCACCCTCACCCTTCAGGCATGTTTGTGATGAAGACGGGGATCTGCCAGCGCCCTCCCCTACAGTGGCCTCAGGAGGTGCTGGCAGCTCAAGTGTGTTTCCCCTACATCATAACCCTGCAGCCTCAAGTGCTGTCTGTGTACAGTGTGCTAGATCAGCAGCACAAACAGACTGTGAGCCTCAGTGGAGCCAAGGGTCTGCTCTCAACATCAGGTACACCAGGCAGCATCCATTCATCACCTAATCCTGCCAGATTGCAGACGGAGAGCCTGTCGAACTGTGGTTTTTTGTTTAGAGAGACAGAAAGAGCTTTTGTCTGTCTCGGTTTGCACTGATTCAGTCAATCATTCTTGCACCCACTGTTCGTCACACTTGTTTCTGTAAAAAAAAACAACAACAAATATCCCCTCAGATGGCGTGTTAGTGTTCACGGAGACAGACATTTTCAGCCTGCGTTTGGTGCCGTTTGAAGAGCAGATCCACGCTCTTGTGAGGCTTGAGAGGGTTGAGGAGGCCTTAACGCTGCTGGATGGAGTTCAAGGTTATCGCCCACTCGACTCGCACAAGGTGACATGTAATTTATAGACGCATGAAAGGTTGCAAACATGCCCTGGCTTTGAAATTGAGGTTTGTGACAAACACAAGCTGGAGGATTACTGGCAAAGGCCTATTTATAGTCCTCCGCTTTTTTCCAGTTTAAACTACAGGAAATTGAGCGAGCACGAAAGTAAATAAACAAATAAAAACCTGCACCACTATTGTCCATCACAAACTATCTTCAGTAACTCAAAACTCAACTTTCCTGCATTGAAGGTTTTTCTTTTTGTAGCCGTTAAACTCATTATTATAGCACAGAAATGTTAAAACATCATAGAAAGTAAGTATATAGAGAGGTTAACAAGGTTTTAATCATGTTCGCAGCTCTGTTCGTCAAACAGTCAGAGCCGGCTGATATTAAACAATTACTGTTTCTGTAGTATCTATGGTTTAGCATGTTAGCATTAACGCAAACCATGCAGCTGCAGCGAAACATAACACAGCTAAACCTAAAAAGTTTTCTGTTGGCTGAAAGAGACACGGTGTGTTTTCGGTTTAGTAAATTTTCAGTCACAAACTATTAGACAAATTAAAATCCTGACCTTTTGATACTGAACGATCAAAGCGTGGGGATTAATCACAGCTGATCCTGATGGACTTGAATGGCTGTGCCACTGTTTTGGAAATTTTAACAGTAATATTCATTTAAAGGTTGAAATAAAAGGTCTGGTCATGGATGTGTTAGGATTTGTTTCTGCAAACCTAAAATATGTGCTGAGATTTTATCCTTTTTATCTTTTGTTTTTTCACTATTACGAATAATTTTGACCTGCTGTTGCCACTTAAGAAAAAATAAAACAGGTTTTAGTCACTGGGCCTCATGAATGTGTAAACTCTGGTCCAGCTAATCAATGAATTGAATTAAATTAAATTAAATTCATTAAAACGATGGACTGACTAATAAAGCGGACTGTCCCAGAGTGCATTCATTAAAAAAAAGAACATCTTATTTTCAATGAGAAAACATTCAGCATTAATTTTACTATTTAGCAGACACGCTCACACACCGATGCGTGGATAATATACGTACATCACAGCCTCGTGCGGCCCCACGTTGTAGTGTCTGTCTTCAATAATTCATCACTGTTGTGAGCTGCTACATTTTATGCAGTTGGATGACTAGAGCTGAGGACAGCAGATGGTGTGAGAGATTTAGTGTCGTTTGTGGCTCATATCAGGTCACACTGTAGAGGTGATGATGATGACAGAATGAACATGCTGATGAGTCAGTGCTTGTTTGTTATGGTTGGTTGTGTTCGCCTTCTCCGCTTTAGTGATAAGCTCTTATATTGTTGCGTTACTGATGTTCATGCTCTCATTACCTGGAGTAAAAACGTCCTATTTTTTCAACCGACAGGAGCTGCAGAGAGCCATCACTTGCCTGGCTGGATTTGTTCATTATCATCAGGAGGGTTTCGCTGAGGCCAAAGATCTGTTCATGTGAGAAAACACAGCCCTTTACAGAGCGCTACAAATCTCAGACTTTCTAAATAAATCTCAACTAGCAGTGTGAATTTTGTGAATAGTGGCTCTTCCCCGCTGAAATCTACTCTAGAGTCTAACAAATCAATACTCACTCCAACAGTAAAGGTGAGCTGGACCCCAGAGAAATCATCCGCCTCTACCCTGACATACAGTCTGGCCTGTGCGAGGACTTTGAATCCCAGCTTGATCAAGCGAGCAAGGCCAGGGATCTGCAGGTGCTCTGGCATGAGGACAGAAACACATTTCATCATTACCTGCTCTTCCTGAGAGACTTTCTCAGAGCAGTCAGGGGGACAGAGCGAGGCCGGGAGTGCGGTACGGAGGTAGACTGCGCCCTCCTGAGGCTGTACGTAGAACTGGAGGACACTGAAAATCTGCAGCAGCTTGTAGCTTTCTCCAACCAGTGCAAGCTGGATCATTGTGTTCCTTATCTGGAGCAACACAACAGGTGACGACAACAAATAGTGATATATTTTAAAATGGATGCGACAAGGAGAAGAAAATGCTGTATTTTAATTATTCTGATTGGTTAAATTTGTTATCTTATCCTTTTTGTCCTCCAGATTTTTTGCATTAGGCTCCCTCTATCAAAACCATGGTAATCACTCTGATGCCCTAAAGGTATTACTTCCTAAAATACTGCATACTTCAACAAAAATGATCATGCTCAACAGAGAAATTATTTTTAGCCTCTTGTTTTCTCTTAGACTTGGGTGAAAATCGCGGATGGCGTCCACGAAGACTCCTTCTGCTCTGATGTTTATGGACACATCATTTGGACTCTCAGTCAGTTACAAGACATTGATGTTGTGTGGCAGTTTGCGGACTGGAGTCTGCAAAACAACCAGAAGGTGTCTTTTTAAAATGATCTCTATGTTCTCTGCCTGACTGTAGAGGGCAGAGTTGCACAGAACAACTCAATTGCAGCCAAATAAATGAATAAATTGCATAACTTATGAGATATAATCATGATTAAATCAGTTTTCCTTTATTTAAAAATAGAGGGGTGTGCAGATCTTCATCAGGCGGCCACCAGATGCTCCATTAGAGACACAGAGAGTCCTTGTTTTCTTGGAGAAGTACCCGCTGGCGTTGCTTTTGTATCTCGAGTTCTTAGTTCATGAATTGAAGAGTGAGGTGGGAACAGCAGCATCTTTCTTATCTAATTACCTGACTCCTTTATTTAATGCATGTAGGCATGATCTGTGTCATTTGCCCTCAGGAGGAGAGACACCATAACCGTCTGGCCCTGGCATATGTTACTAAGATGCTGCAGGAGGAAGACGAAGATGCAGATTTGATAGAGATCAGAGGGAAGCTGCAGCAGCTGCTTTGGGAATCTGAGTGTCTTGACGTCTCTGTCGTGCACGGTGCGTGGACGCTTGTGAGGAATTTAATAAAGGCCAATTCTACTATATCCTAAGATTTGTCTTTACTCTCATTGCAGAGAGATTAAAATCTACAACCCTGCATGAAGAGAGAGCCATCCTCCTCGGGAGAGCTGGTGAGCACGCTCAGGCGCTGCAGGTCCTCGTTCACCAGAAGCAAGACCTCCAGGCTGCACAGGCCTTCTGCTGCAGGGCCACTAAAAACCAGAGTTCACAGTTCTATCGGACCCTCCTGCTCACCCTGCTCCAAATCTACCTGAGCTCCACAGATCTCACCAATGCCGCCGTGGATCTGCTAAATGACAACCCGCAGGTTTTTGAAGCAGAGACGGTCCTCCAGCTCCTGCCTGAGTCCTGGTCTGTCCAGCTGCTCTCCCAGTTTTTAGTCTGCTCTCTCAGAGCCACCTTCCACCGGAGGCGGATGGCAAGGCTGCAGATGGCTCTGAGCCAGGCGGAGCTCGTGCGGCACAAGGTCATCTGGGTGAGTCCAAGAAGATATTATATGCAATTTTCATGTTTGAACATTTTGCGTATTTTGGTTTCCTTTTTTTTTTACTCTCCTCCGCAGATGCAAACCGCAAAAACAAAGGTCAGTCTGGACAAGGAGCAGAGGTGTAAGGGTTGTCAAGGGGACTTTGCTGAGCCGCAGTTTGCCTGTAACCTCCAAGGTGAAATGATGCACACCAAGTGTACTGACCCCGCATCTCTGTAAATACACAGATGGACCGAACTGTACTGTGTTTATGCAAACGTAAATGTGTGCGTCTGGCTCCTACCCAATCATTTCTCTAGATTAGACTGGACAAGGACTGAATTCAAGGACTTTGGACCAGACACTTTCCCTAATTAGAATAAAGAAAATACATTGTGTAAATAACAGGTTTCTAAAACAGCAAAAAGAGCGAGCGGTGCACTTTTCCAGAACGGCATGTCTGAGCTGTTTCCTACAGACACACTGTGGACAGCAGTAGCTATAAAGTGAATTGTGGAGGACACTCAGGGGCATGTGTTGACTGATCAGACGGTGCTGTTTTACATGGAGACCAACTGTGGTCAACTTGATGACCCTGGAGAAACTGGCCATCCTCCATCGCTGTATATATGCATCTCCACCATCCTGCTTTCCACTGACGGTGTATATTTGTCTGCAAAATGCTCGAAATAGCAAGTCTACTGAGAAGCTGCACGAGAGGCTTTTTTTATGCATTAAAATACATTTACGACCCCTGAAAATAATCACAATTACAGGTTTAAAACTGAAAAGCAAACAGGTTAGGGAAGGGCAGAGTTTGGGGTCATTCCAGTTAATTTTGTACGCAACCAAATTAGGCACTTTTCCTTGTAATATTAGGGTAAATGACAGATGCACGGTGTAAATCGTGTAAATAAGCTTAAACACATACAATTAAGTTTGACGACACTGGAACTGTACTTATTTCTGCTGTAATTTAGTCATTAAGGCTGTGAGTATTTCTTCATCCTGATGCATTTTGGGACAGGACTAACGGAGACGCCTAAATGAGCAGGAACAGTAGCAGGATTTGGCTCCAGTCAGTGGAAGTTTTTGGCCCAGGGTGAGCGACTAATTGCACCGTAGATAAATCGAGGATCTCGAGCCTGCTGGAAAGGATTATCGCTTTGTGATGCCTGTGCCAAAATTTCCTCTGTTTTCAGTCCTAATGAGGTTTTTGTTGGAGTTCTCACTGAGGGTCTGAGCGTTGTGCATTTAATGTTTCAACTAATGCGAGGGTGTCATGAGGCCCTTCAAGGCTAGAACTACAATAATAGGCTGAAAGATTACACCTGGCTTAAGCTTGACATGAAATGTCTCGCTTTGATTGTATAAATTCAACCTCTGACTCAGGTACATGAGCTGAATTATATCCCAGAAAACTACAGGGTTAGTTTTTTGTGTGGTTAGAGAACAAACGCCACGTCCACTCCTCCGTGCCAGCATGTTAACTTGTTACCTAGTCCTTGTTTAGTTTAGTTTCATTAGACAGGAATACAAGAGGAACTATATTAATACCAGAGGATGTTTTTTTTTTTTTTTCTGGTTGTAAAGTTCGATAATTGTGGATCGTTAACAGAATAATATCTTTAAAAATCATCAGTCTGAATTTTTCAATGATAATCGTCCAAAAAGAGGAAAAACACAAAAACGAAAGTTCATCCTGTTGCAGGTTTCAGGAATTGTGTGTTTGTGCCTCTGCTCTGTGATTGGCTAATGTCTGGGCCGTGCCCCGTGACCAGGGACTTATGGGTGGATCTGAGGTCAAAATGATGTCCACTCCTCTCCTCTCCTCTCCTCCTCTTTTCAAGCTTCCTTTGGGAGCATTTATGATGTTTAAAACACCTGAGGTTACGCCGCTCCTCAAATATGTTTCTCCCATCTTTGATCCCGACCAAAGTAAGCAAAAGGTAAAAATACTCAAAACAAGGACTGTAGAGGCACGGCTCCTTCTCCTTCTGACTAAATTCAGAATCACTGGACGCTGTCTGGTGCATTAAAGTATGTTTTCAACACTTTTTTGTTTTAAAAGCACCCCCTGTTATGGGATATTATAGGCTGATATTTTATTTTCTGTTAAAAGAAAGAGATTTCTCACACAAGAGGAGAACTTCTGGAGGAAGTATGGAGAGATGTCCAGACGCTGGACTCTGGTTATAAATACCCGTGCCACCACAGACGGGGTGCAAAGAAGGAAAACAAGAACATTCTCTTCCTGTACTTTTCTAAATATAAGAAAAATAGTCGTCTGTTCGGACTTCAGGGTGTTTACATGTTTGCTTTGTTTTACATGAACCAGAAAACACTTATATAGAGATGTATATACGACTTAATTACGTGTATGTTTTATCCAGTCGTGATCTCCAGGTCATGTCAGAACACGGGGCCGTGCTGCACGTAAACCTTTTCTGATTTTATGAGAGTCTTTTGACTTTGCTAATGCAAATCATACTTACTCTTATTATTGGGAACAACAATTTTATATCCGCTCTGACTTTAGTGTATAATATTTTGAGTGATTCTGAACCTAAATAAAGCGGTTTGGATTCTTTCATTTTAAGTTTTTTATATCTATGTGTTCTGAAAAAGAACTTTCTACACAAATAAATCTCAGATATCATATCCAGATAATCACAAAATCTAAATTTTGGCAGGATGAAAAGCTTTCTGGAGTTGAAACAACATTTTCAGGGGGATATTTAATACAGAAAAGGTCAACGCTGACACAGTAAAGGTACAAAAACGCCTTATTTCCGCAAGCAGGACATCTGTGTCACACTATGACAGTTTATGAAACACATGCTGTCCCAGGATAAGAGAAAGTCACATCAGGTACCACACCAAATAAAACCAATGGCAGAAATGAATACACAATGCTTCTCTGTGCATCATGCATCATATTTATAGTCAAAGCCACAAATTACTGTATCATGTCCCTCATGACGCATTTTTCAGTCTCTCAGTGGTCCCACAGAGACAAGGAGAATCTTAATTTGCAGCCTTTTGGTAGCAATAATAGTAAGGTAGCAGAAAACCTTAAAGGATTGAACTTTAATTTCTACTTTTCTCAGCAAAACTAATTCTATAGATATAACGGAATAAGTATGGGAATAAATAGCCAAAGAGGATGATCAAAACGGGTCTTTTTTTAACTCCCAAAGCAACGCTCTCATTTTCATGGTTTGCTACCTTGGGGTTTGGCAAAGTGCCACTGGGAGAAATGTGAAGGGTGGCCCGCTGGAGACACACAGGGCAGAGACAGTGACCACAGACACCCACCCTGCCCTGCTGCTGCACGGAGACTTTCCCTATATACATTAGGCTTTATGGTACAGAGAGTCAAACCCAGTCGACAGGCCTCATACTGTTCTCTGTTTGGACTCCAGTTTGTTTCCTCCTCAGGATATTCTGGGTGAAGATTTGATTTGTTTATTTTACCACTTTCAGGATGATTATCTTCTCTGCAAAAACATTATTTCCTGTTAATCTGTTTCCCTACAGCCCAATCGTATAATTATAAATATGGGCAAGTGGCTTTGGGAGTGAACGTAAGTTATTCAAGGAAAGGGGTGGCGAAGTACATGTGTCTGGTCATTTTTTTTGTCTTTCCCTGTACTTCTACATCACTGCAAAAAAGGAGGTCCGCACAAGTACATACAACTGATTTATCTCATGTGTCCCTCGATAGGCTGATTGGAACTTTACAGCCAAATCTGATAGTCTACAAGCGAGACATTTATCATGATATTGGTGTCTTAAAAAAAAAAAAAAGTCCAGTATCTGTGAGTCAGAGCTGTATGCTAATGGGTCTTACACTTTCTCAGAGATTCATGGGTAAATAAATGATTATGGGACATACTTTAGAGGCGAGTCGCTGCTGTTGAAAGTCATCAAGCGCATGTCAGAATTTTAATACCGCCCTGGTGCCACTGTTAGGCAGCTGACTTATGTCTCCTCTCAGTATCAGTGCTCACAGGATGAGGGATTAGTGTGTTTTATGTCTCTCTCTCTCCTTCTCTCTCGGTCTGGATGAGCATCCAGTTTGTACCTTTGGGTTTGCCAGCCTTGTGCCAAGTTTTAACCCAGTCTTTACTATTAGACCACTACTGATATACTAGGGGACTAGGGGATCCAATCTGAGCTTAAGTTACATCTAAAATCATAAATCCATATCTCCTAGTTTGGTACTTTCTGAGCAACTTTCGCTCTGCACCTCAATGTGGAGCTAGACAATAAACAGAAAATTTACCGATACTGAAATTTATGACAATAACCAACATCATTTTGCCCATATCAGTATATTTGGTGTCAAAAATTAAATAAATCAAAGTTGTTTTTAGATGTGTGTAGGTAGGCTATGGTCTCATGTCCCTTTAAGACGCTGTCCTACGTCAGAGACGTGACTCCACCCCATCCAGTCCGTGACGAAGAGGAAAAGACAGGTGAGGAGATGGAGGACGGAGAGAAAGATGTCGCGGCTGGAGCGGCAGCTAAAGTAGACAAAGTTAATGTTTGAGGGGGTGAGCAGCTTGTGGAGAAGTTATCGTCCATTTATCGTTATCAAGGTGAACTGCTCAATATATGGTGATATTGATTTGAAGGCATATTGCCAAGCCCTAACTCAAGGGTCTGTTTTTCTACCCACTGTCTCCTGAGTCTGCATTAGCATATTTCTACCTTATGTAACCTATCTACCTTTTAAAAGGTGCAAAAATAGATTTGGAGCTGGAGCATAAAGAATAAACCACAAGATTAAAAGTACAGTACGTGTAAACAGGAGTATTTTGAAGACCAACGTGGATGTCTACCTCTGTAAATTAGAGAAGAAATTTGGGATTTTTCGTCAGATTCTCCTTCTCCCTCGAGTCCATGAAGCAACAGTGTCTGGAGGACAAGAAGCTCCTGTGATGCAGGATATGTATCATCCTCCATTTGTCAAGTCTTTGGAGTGGAAACATGGCCGAGGAAGATGGCAGCCTCTGTGGAAGAGAACCGCTCCTAAGTAAATATAAGACAGGCTCATTCATGGTTTTCATGATCAGGCGATTATACACTTATTTAGACACTTATAAACATTATCGTCTATTTCTACTAAGTTTGCTCTGCAGTGTTCCTTTAAGGTCATCCTAATTACAGTCTAATAACCCCAAAGATGATTTTCAGATCTTCTTTTTTAGCTCTTAATTTGCCAGAATTCGCACAGAGATATCAGGCAACCTTTCAGACGTACACAGACACTTTAACTCACCCAGATTTAGATTTCAGCTCTAATCAACTTAATGATCTGTGCTGCTGTGTACAGCTAATGACCCAATTAAGGGTGAAGAATGAGCTCTCATTTTTGGCCGTTGGCAGCCTCGTGTGTTTACGCTGCTCTTTGTAATGGGTGACTTTGTGTATGGAGTTAAACACCTGGCCGGCAGGTTTGTTTGTTTGTTGGAGTGGATACTGAAATCTGATAGACGAGTTGTTGTGTCGGACACACCTGCTCTTGCAATCATCATCCTTAAAATCAACAGTTTTTAATTCTTTTCAAACAAATGACTCACTGAATCCTGTTAACATGATGGTCTAATCCAGATTTCTAATCGTGGATGTCTGAATTCAGAGCGTCCTGTTGCTGCTACATTGAAAGAGGTCTATTAAGCGTGCAGCAGCGGCAGCAGGTGATGAATTCAGCCACACAAACGGTCTCATTCTCCGTCCTGTGTGAAACAAACATAATTACAGCTCTGGACGTGCGCTCCACGCCACAGGGTCCCCGGGTTTAATCCATGAGCCTGCTCCTCATGTGGTGCTTGACATCGCTGATTAAAGAGCAGGCGCTGCGATAACTTACTCTTACTGTACCCTGGGAAAGTGTATAACATGGGATCCTGCATAATTAGACATTTAGCGCCATCCTCCCCACACATGAACACACCCTTCACCACAACTGATGGCCCAGGGAGTTAAAAATGTCCCAGCACCCCCCAGATATCCACCGCCAGAGTCAAAAACGCCCTCCCTCCACTATCTAGGACTGAACTTACTGTAACCCACGCAATAAAAGCTGTAGAGACGCATGAAATATAATACTAACCCCAAAAGTTGACTCATTTAAACTGCAGGAATGTGTATTTCAGCGCAGAAAACTATCATAAACTTAAATATAGCGATCCAAGCCCCAATCACAGCTCAGACAAATTAGAGGTATATCGTGTTTTAGCATAGAATTACAATCTATTTCTACAGATCGAACATCTCTGGATGCATCGAACGAATGGCATTTTAAGGCTTTCATTAAATCTTTCATGAACCCTGACTGGGCTCAGAAGAATAGAGCGATTCTCAGCTGACGTGAAGCTGCACGACATCTCTGCACTTTGTGGTTTCATGCGCCGACACATACCCATACTTGTGGGTATTTTCAGGAGTGCTTCAAGCATCATATTGCATCCCCCCAGAAAAAAAAAGGGAAAGAACAAATCCAAAAGAGAACAAGATGTTCTTTGACAAGCGCAAGATAGATTAACAAGAAGAGCTATAAGTTCCTAGAGTGGAGTGAAGTGATTTTGATTTCATTTCTGTTTAAGGTGTTAAGTCGGTTCTTGAAAAGTACTGCAGCGGAGGGACCTCAGCTAGCTAAAACATGAGTTTGTGTTCGACAATTGAACAATAAAATTAGAGTAGCAAGTGTTTGACCAATGAAAGCATCGTTTTTGTTTAAGATTTTTAATCAACACAAATTCCAGGGTGGGCCACCCAAGTTTATTTTCAACCAATTTCCATGCAGACTGAGGGATATGACCTTAGACTGTATGACTATGGACAACTTGGTTTCACCCTCCGCCTGTATACGAATTTTAAAGCCGAAAAGCTCTCGGTAATTCTGTGTTTTCTTCTCCAATTCCTGAAACCAACATTGCGCAGTAGCGTTGTGCGCATTCGGCGAGAGAGTCACCGAGAGTCGCTGTGATGACGCTCGGCTTTAACAGCGTATCCCCCGGGTAGGTTACGCAATCTTTGTACGCCCATAGGCTGTATCAAGTGTCAATCATAGAAAACATGAACCCCCTAATAACTTTAAATCGGAGCTGTACGGAAAAAAGAGGACTTGAGCACAAACCAGTCTGACAGTAACTACATGTCAACATCCCAAGCAGGGGGGAGAAAAATTTATATTCTGTGTAATAAATTTCTAAAGTTTGTCCACGGCTCCATAGGGATTGCTGGAGGAGGCGGGATTTATGACCTATACTGCAGCCTATCACCAGAGGGTGCTGTTTTTGGGGTGGCTTCACCCAGCGAAGCGGTAGACGGTGTCCATTTTATATACAGTCTATTGATGTGACCTGTCCTAAAACTCATAAAAAGCATAAACATCATGGTCACTGATGCAAAACGCCTGAAAAAGTGACTACTAGACCAGCTGCAAAAAAAAGGTTTTAGACTTGTTGCAAAAGTCAGAAACAAAGTGACCACTGTGGACAAGAATTAGAGAACAAAAAAACAATCAACAGATCTGGTTACCATCTGCAAAAAGTTTAAATGCATCAATCTGTAGGCAACCCTCTTGCTTGTAACTACAATAACTTCAGTATCATCATGTCGAAACTCTTATTTATTTGTGTTTTTTCAGAAGTCAAAGTTCTGACTACATTCACGCTTGAAACAAAGTTCCATCCATGATTTGCTGAGTAATGTATTCAGGCATCTTTGCGTCCAAACTCTGTGCACCAACTTAGAACAGTGAATCAAAAAGCAGGCACGGCTGTGGTGACGGCACAGTGAATCAGGCATCCTAAATAAAGCTCTCGAGCTTTCCATTGTCTAAACACCAAAACCAACCCCGAGCTCTATAACATAGCACTCTGTATGCTAAATTAATGAAGCAACAAAAACCATGGCAACAGGAACAATTACAGAGTAAAACAGGGGGAGTGTTTTACTCAAACCCATAAAAACCAGGGGAAGTACATTTGGAGGTCTTGTTCCAAACCTGAGGCCAACTGTGCTTGGAATATCCGAAAATCTTTTGTGTCTCCCTCTACATGATGATACTCTTTCTGTTTTCAACCATGACATTATGACCTCCTGCCAATTATTGTGTAGTTTAGTAAAGAGACACTACACCTATGAGTGGCAGATCCTTTCAGTCCTGGGCCTTTGTGGATTAGATTAGACTCTGTTGTCTAGAAAATCCCAGAGATGCTGGTGGATTGAGATCTGGAGAATTAGGGGACCAAGTCAACACTCAGAACTTATTGTGCTCCATCTATACAGCCTTATATGTTCCACTTTGGTAGGTAGTGTGACCACTGCAGACCAGGAACACTCCACAGATTTGGACATGCTCTGACCCAGTCTTTGTTTGATGTTTAGTCCCACTAGACTTCTTTGTGTTCGCAGCATTAAAGTCCTGCATGAAAGGTTCTCAACGGGGTAATCTATTTAAGACAAAAATTAACAATTATGGTCAAACTATTTATCAAAACGTGACTTTTTCTGTGAAAGAGAGTTGAAAAGAAATTGTTTACATTTCCATGAGCGCCTCAGGTGAGTAATAAACAGACTTGTGTTTTACCTGCTCTGGTTGTGGTCTGTCTGTCTGATCCCAAAACATGTTTAACAAAGTGTGTGTCTGTGCACCCCTGCCTCTTTTTTTTCCCTTCATCCCTGGGTGATTACTGACATTTTCAGTTTATTGCTGCAGTTCA